TCTTTCTTCGCCGCAGCCACCATCTATCTTGTTAACACGAACCAGCAATAGAAAGAGTTATAAGAGGCCTACCTTGTTGGCCTCTTCGAAGAGGGCGGCCGTGAGGTTCTCGAGCTCGGTCTCGATGCCCTTTTTCTCCCTCTCGACGGTTGTCCTGCGCCTGCGCTCCTCCTCGAGCTCCTGACGGGCGACGGCGAGGCTGTCGTCGAGGAAGGTCTGGTGGTTGATGGCCTGGATGAGCTTGTCGCTGAGATTGGCTACCTCGTTGCTGAGGTCGGGGTGGTGCGAGGCGGCGGTGGAGGCGGAGCGGGTGCGCGAGAGGTCGGAGGTGCTGGCGACTCTGGGGTCACGGAGGGTAGAAAGCGAGTTCTCGGGCCTGTCTCGGTTCCTGTCGAGGGAGCGGCGGGCAGCAGGGCCCTGGACGACGGCGGCAGCCATCTCAGCGAGTGCATTTGAAGATTTTGCGCGCGAGACGAGCCTGGGACGGTCCGGATACAGCCCGTAGGCAATCAACCTGTAGTCCACTTCAGAAGGAGAACAAGAGAGCAAGGGAAGCAAGAGAACGACGATAGAACGAGAGACAAACGAAAGACAAACGAAAGAGAAGAACGAGAGAAGAGGTTGGACTTGACTTACTCTGCCATGGCGGCTCGTATCGTAGCGCAGGGGATGGCTTGAGGACAGCGCTAGTGACAGCGGATCGAGATGGCTTCTAGCCACGCAACATCGTGAGACAGCCAACGTTCGTATAAGTAGTGTTGAATATAGAAGAGAAGGTCTGTAGACGTATCCGTAGAAGCCTGTAGGGCGTCTGTAGAGCGTCTGTAGAGTGTGTATCTGCTGTCTGCCGCTGGTCGAGTGGAGGAGTTGACGTAGGAACCGGGGGCGCAGAGAAGATCCACAACCTGCAGTCTATCAGTTGTCTCTTGTCTTGTTCTATCCTGTCTCTATGATTCCTCTCTGTATCCTCTGTCCTCTCTGTATCCTCCGTCCTCTCTCTATCCTCCTGTCTGTCTCTGTCTGTGTCTGTCTGTGTCTGTCTGCTAGATTCTGCATCGACGGGAAGAAGACCCTTTGACGGGTCACGTGGTGGCGAGAGACAGCGTATATAGTAGAGTATATAGTAGAGTAGATGAAGAGTAGATGAAGAGTAGATGAAGAGTAGATGAAGATATATAAGATGGTGAGAAGACGTGAAGTGTAGATGAGGCTGTATTAAGGTAGAAGCACGGATGAAGTCTTTACTTCAACGACATCGACAGAAGATGTAAAGTAGACGAGAAGACAAGACGAGAGACTGTCACTTTTACACTCTTATACTTGCACTCTTCTCTTCTCTTCTCTTCTGCTTCTACTTCTTCTCTTCTCTTCTCTACCTATAAGGGTACTTTACATGCGCCAGACAACGAATTAATCCGGTTCTTAACATAACTACCATGGCAGACGCAGAGCTCGAGGAGGTCAGTCTCTTCTCCTGATAACGATATACACGGCTAACCCGCGGTAGATCAGAAAAGCCCGCCTGGCACAGCTGCAGCAGGGCGCCGGTGACGACGACCAGAGGTAGCCCGCACCTACACCCATATATATAGACACACCCATACATAGAGACAGATGTTAACGGCAGCAGGAAGGAGAACGAGGCCAGACAGTCGATACTCTCGCAGATCCTCCTCCCCGAGGCCGCAGACAGGCTCGGACGCATCCGTCTCGTCAAGGAGTCCCGCGCCACAGACATAGAGAACAGGCTCATCATGCTCGCCCGCTCCGGCCAGCTGCGCCAGAAGGTCACCGAGGACCAGCTCAAGGAGCTCCTCAACGCTGTCGCCGACCACAAGGAGGAGAAGATTGTCATCTCCCGGCGGGGCGGATGGGACGACGACCTCGACTTGTAGTGTTACTTAGCATATTACTTATCATACATGTTTCCTACTTCTGTTCTCCTACTTCTGTTCTCCTACTTCTCCTGCTTCTCCTGTTGCTTCTGCTTCCGGTGCCGCCGCCGCATCTCCCTCATGTCAGGCGGCACCTCGATGCCCAGCTCAGCCCGTAGCTCCCCCACGTCCCGCTCCAGCAGCTCCTCCCAGTAGACACATATCAGCTCTTTGCTCCCCGCCCCGCTCCGCACCGCCCACGGGAGATACACGTCCCAGAACCGCTGCCTCTCCGCCCCCTTCAACCTCACCACAGCAGCAGCACTCAGCCCCGTCATCGGCAGCCCCGTGTTCATGTACTCGAATATCTTCAGCGCCAGCTCCCCCTCCACCACGATAGGCAGCCCCGTCACCGCGTGGTAGAAGTCATGGCACTCCCGGTACCGCTGCATCACGTACGCGCACTCCTCGTCGTCGATGTACCGCACCCGGCTGCGTGTGTCCGGACTCACCCCCTCGCGGTCCAGCCACGAGGCGAACGTCGCCCCCAGAGACGTGGGAGGCAGACTGCGTAGGTACGGGAGCGACAGCGTCTGCGAGGTGATGCGTGGTCGGTCTCGAAGGATGCGCCGGCCGGTTGGGTCCGACAGCATCGCGTCTCGTAGCCGGTAGATAAAGTACGGCGTTGCCGTTGTTTCGCCTAGTGTTGCTATCAAATCTATGGAAGTAGAATCAGTATATAAACTCTTATATATATATGTGTGTGTGTATGCGCACCATGACGGCGTGGGTTGAGGAGAGAGCCGATGGCTGAGCCGACGGCCATGGTGCATCTCTCCACCGGCGTCAGAGGGACGTGGCCGGCGTAGTTGGCCGCTGGACGGCTCAGCACCGAGAACCCGCGTCCTCCTCGCAGCAATTGACTTGGTATCTTTAGTCGTGACATCGTTGTCTTTCTTTGTTCTTCTCTTGCTCTTTACTTCGTTACTCTATCGTACGATTGAGCTTAGTAAGCATATACATGAGTAGTAGTATAAGAGATATTAGTATAGATATTAGATGTAGGATAAAGAGGTATAGTATGATAGTACAAGGGGTAGATAGAATATATGTTACAGCCGTGAGAGGTCGAAAGGAACTTCGTCTGCCTTCTTGCGGCCTGATATCCTCGACTTGGCCTGCGCCAGCTGCACGACCATATAGTTCAGCGCACACCTCACGCCCACCTCCTCTCCCCTCCGGACGATGTACCCATTCATATACTCGATCTCGCTCTCCTTGCCCAGCCTCGCGTCCTGCAGCATCGAGCTCGTGTTCTCCGCCGTCCGCCCTGCCACCCCCACCGCAAGCGTGCGCAGCCGTTCAGGCGAGAACCGCACCTGGAGTCCCGGAACCCCCTGCAGCTCAGGCAGCGCGCAGATCACCGCGCTGACTTCGATCAGGAGCAGTCGCTGCACCCGCGTCAGGTTGTAGTTGTACAGCAGCTCGCCGTTCTTGCAGTCCATCAGCACCGTCAGCGGGTTGATCACGCAGTTTACCGCCAGCTTCTCCAGCTGTAGCAGCAGCAGGTCTGTCGCGTTGGTCGATATGCAGGCCAGCTCGGGGGCTCCTGTCAGTGCCTTGAGCAGGTAGGCCGTTGACGGTGCGAGGCTTGTATTATCCTCAGTGTCTTCTTGATGAGACTGTCGAACCACGCCGATAGTCGTCGTGCCCACTCCGGCATGCGTCGTCTCAAACAGGCCCGACTTGTACAGCCCGTGGGTCGTGATTCCAAATAAATAGTTGGGCCTCTGCTTCTCCTCCGGCCATATCTTCTCATTCACTTCCTCCAGCACCCCCAGCCCGTTGGTGAGGAACAGCACAGACGAGTCAGGCGAAAGTCGATGCCGTACCGACAACAGCGCCTTCTCAACCTGTGTCGTCTTCACGGTGACAATCAAATGCTCGATCCACTCCTCGTCGGCTGGTACGTGCTGGCCGCTGCCATCCACCTGCTCTCCCTCTCGAAGGGCAAGCTCCTCCTTCACCAGCTCCGGCGGCGCATCCGCGATTTCCGACGGGTAGTACCACGCCTCGTCCTGGAGCACGTTGATGCAGAATCCTGATCGCTGCTCCGGTATACCGTGCCGCTTCACTGCCATTACGCGGCCGAAGCGGTTCCAGTCCTTGTAGAAGGCCGGATGGTGGAAGAGGAGAGTCAGGCGGGCTCGGTCGGCGGCAGAGCGTGAGGCTAGTGAGTGTGCCACAAAGGAGCCTATGTTGCCCACCCCCATGATGTGTATTCTCTTGGGCGTTTTTTTGGGCATATTACTTGTTGCTCTCTGGTCTGTGTTGTAGTCTTGCCGGCTCTGTCGTCCAGAGGAAAACGGATGCACAGAACCGGTCTTCCATCTATGGGTATATATGTGTGTATGTGGTTCTTGTATGGGAGAGAAGCTGCCGAACCGAGCCAACAGCCTCCTAGAGGTATTCATCCCAGCCTCAGCGCCAGGAAAGGTATTATCACGCTTGAAGTCTTGAATATGCAGGAAATGCCAATATCTTTAGTATTTCTATGAGCCAACCCAGCGAGATCCAGCTCAACTGCGCTTAACCATATCAATTGATGGATTATTCAAGTTGTTCAAGTTGATGTAAAAAAGTCGAAGTCGCGATTTTGATATCACGTGAAGTTAAGTTTATTTAAGGTTCAGTAGTTCGTCATTACATAATCATTGAATATTTCGAAAGAAGAAAAGTTGATAATGAAATAAATCAAATCAACAGAGATAAAGCAAAGATACAACGGCAGAAACATGACCACGGAGACAACAGACCTGAAGCCGCTCCTAGAGCAGCTGGAAGATGATATAGATGATATCGAAGACGCCCTAGAGCCGCTTCTGGAGCATGGATTGGCTACCACCTCGCAGAAGCTGCCCTTGATGGAAAAGGCGAAGCTTCACGTTCTTCTCACATACTCGATAGAGTCACTTATATTCTGTATGATACCGCGCCTCGAAGCTATCAATTAATTGCAAAGCTAACATTTCCTAGCATACTTGTGCCTCAACGATGTAGATGCAAAGGAACACCCGGTATTCAAGGAACTTGCCCGGGTGAGACAGTACCATGAAAAGATCAAGACCCTAGAGGCCCCGCCGGAGAAACGAACAATGGCGCTAGACAAACAGGCTGCGGAGAGGTTTATAAAACATGGACTTGTGAGTGGAAGGTGTCTATGGCCGCCTAGAACAAGACGAGCTAACTGGGCTGCAGGCTGGTAATGATAAGGTAGATCTCGAGCGAGCCGAGCGGGAAGCAAAGGACAAGGCGATGGCACAGCTACGGGCGTCACAGTTAGCCAAAATGAAGGGCAACGTAGCAGCTGCTGTGCCGCAGAAACGGCCGCTCGATGAACCCGAGTCGTCCGAACGTGATGGTACAGAGTTGTCGTCGCCTGAGCCGAAGAAGACTAAAACGATAGAACCGGACGAAGATGACGAAGATGACGAAGAAGAAGGTGACGACGACGATGAAGTAGAAGAAGGGGGGGTTGGTGAAGAGGACGATGAAGAGAACGACCAGCCAAATGAAAAGAAAGAAGAAGCGTTCATCAAACTAGATGCTGAGGCCAAGAGCACAAATAAGAAGAAAAAGAAGAAGATGACCAGGGCGGAGAAGAGGGCGATAAATGCCGCAAAAAAGGAAAAGAAGACTGCAAAGAAGAAGCGGAAGAATAAGAGAGAGAGAGAAGCTCAGCTTGCAACCGCCAATACAAATGCCAATGGCTGATTGTCCACCCGTTCCAACGAGATAGAGCTGCATCTGTTGACGATGCTCCCAAAGTCATCCTCCTATAATACAAATATTAATCCTTTAATGTTGCATCTTCACTGTTCGTCTCATGCGAGATCGATAGGCAAAGCGCTTTCTGCATCTTTCGACCAATCGGAGTTAAGCTTATTACCGTCCAAGCGGCCCGACTTTCTTCCGTCATAGAACTTTAAATTCCATCTCGTATTTTTCTTCCTCATCGTCGACTTTGCTGTGATCAAACGAGGAATATCAACAGTATATCAACGACTAAACCCGTCGAAACAACCCATTTACACCCCCACAACACTCAAGATGGCCCGTCAACGTCGTTCTGCTGCCCCTGCACGCAGCGCTCCCACCCGACCCACCGCTGCTCCCGCCAGACCAGCTGCTCCCCAGATGCAGCAGCAGCAGAGACCCTCCTCCACCGCTGCCGCTGCTCATCCACAGACTCAGCAGGCTCCCGTTGCCCAGTCGAGCGGCGGATCCAGCTTGTTCGGCCAGATGGCTGCCACCGCCGGGTAAGTCGCATTCTCGAGCTGGAAGACATCAGCCGGACATGCATCAGCCAGGCAGCTTCATAAGCTAACTATCGGATATAGTGGTGTTGCTATCGGTTCCTCCATCGGCCATGCCGTCGGTAGCTTCTTCACCGGTGGCTCCTCCAGCGCTGCTCCAGCAGAAACCCAACAGGCTGCTGCTCAACCCATGGACAGCTCCATGTACCAGAGCAACTCGACCAGCGGATGGGCCGAGGACGCTCCCTGTGCCGCCGATGCTCGATCTTTCAGGAAGTGCATGGATGACAACCGGGGTGACCTCTCTATCTGTGGATGGTACATGGACCAGCTGGTACGTCTTTGTCTCGATGCAAGTGTCGTAGTGTGTATGAAGATGATAGGACTAACTTAGGCTCTTTTCGTTTATAGAAAGCATGCCAGCAGGCCGCTAAGCCTTACTAGGTTGATGCGAGGATTAATCCTCTGCACTTCCGTTCAATCTTTATGGCCCAGCGTTCATACCTTGTCTTCTCAGCTCTAGACCAGAACGATCTCATGTCTTTTGTAATACTATAGAATCAAATCCAATTCCCGCACAGCGTGGGCCATGGACGACCTCATACCTTGTTATAGCGCAATACATATGCATACGTTTTCAATTAGAGAATGTAATTGGTATTCAAGTGATATATAGTAATTAGAATATGAGACGTGGAAAGATGCAAGTAGGTTAAACAAAAAGGAGTCATTAATTATCATCATCCCTTTTCCGTGGTTCAAAATTCAACTAAGCAGCAGTAGTTAGCATCCGCTCGATCAGGCTATAGACGTAAGAAAACATACTTGATTCCCGTTATAGAATTGCTGGTCATCCTTCCCCGAGTTAGCGTCGTGTAATGTTCTGATCCTGTTGCGTGCAGATGGCCGGGCATCTGGTCTCCTGGCGGGAGCTGGTTCTTCTGTGGCTGCAGCCGCCGTTGTGGACGCATTCCGCCCGACGGCAGCTGGATTCTGACCAATCCCTAGAGCTGACCCTACGATCCCGGCTACAGAATTAACTGTCCCGGCAACAAGGTTGTACCCGCCCGAGATAACACGGTAAGGCAGCGAGGCACCTGTATCTGAATATGCCTCCGTATACGATCTTATAGGCACCATGACCAGCGTTGCCGTGGGGCCAACGCCTAGTTCCTGCAGAGTATGGTCTTCTTCCGACAGTGAAATCGTCTTATTCTGCATTGGTGTCAATATATGCTTCAGGGTATACGGTGCATCTCCATCAGTGCGTTCCTTATCGAGCCACGACCGGACATCGGCTCCTATGGTGTGGTTGGGAGCGAATGTGTTTCTTATAGAGCTTCCGTCGAACAGACGGACCTGCAGACGATACTTTTGCGCAGATGGAGGTGATGTGCTTGAGGACCCATGCTGTACCGCAGCAGCAGCCCTCTGCCTCTCCGCCTTTGCCTTGCGCTCCTCATTGTCCCGTCTTATTCGCTCAAGCACCCGCTCCCTCTCCTCTCGTTCCTGCTGATGTCTCCTTCTCTGTTTGCCCTTCCAGTCTAGTTGATCCTTCTTTTCCTTGTCCGGCTCAGCAGGCTGTTTGCCTTCTCGGATATCATCCCGTCTTTGTTGCTCGTTACCATGGTTAACTGCTGGCGGATCTACAACGCCGCATGAGGCTGTCGGAGCTGCTGCAGGTGTGGCACGGTTGACTGGGGTGGCTGGCGCTGGAGTTGGAGCTGGAGATGGAGCTGGAGGAGTTGAGACGGGGCGAGGAGCAGAAACAGGGGCTCCGGTAGCCACAGGGGCAGCAGGAACAGTGGTAGGAGACACTGCTGGGCTCTGCGCCTGCGATTGTGCCTGCGCCTGTGCCATGGCCTCTCGCATCCTCCTGGGCGGCTTGTTATCCTCCAGAGCTGCTATCAATCGGCGCTTAAACATGTACTCCTCTGTCCTCGCAGCAATGTACTCGCGAACGATGCCATTTCTGTCAGCAGCAGTCAGCATCAACCATCCACACGGGAAACGACCTGTCAGGCTCACTTGATAACGACCAGTGTAGGCGATTCGTTCACGGGACAGAAGGTAGACAGGAATTCAACCTCTTGCGAGCCCTCTACCAGCCGTAACGCCACCGCATTTGCAGATATCAACCGTACGATCTATATGGCCCAGGTCAGCATCCCCTACCACTGGGAGCCATGCAGCACGACACACCCTCTCGTCTCGGAGATAATCGCTCTCCCACACGTTGCTGAGTCGTCCGTTGTCTACATAGTACACAGCAAGCCGTGGCGTCAGAAAAACCTGGCGGAGGTGAAGATCTAGAGGTTCTGGCTAGCTGTTGGAATACGGACCTGTGATGAAGCAAACCACCTGCTTGACCTCTCGAACCGCCTCGTTGATCCCGCTCTGCAAATCTCCGCGGTAGAACATGACGAGTAAACTTCTTATCCTGTCAAGTGAGCACTTCAACGTTTCTTTTCTTCTCTCTGTCTTCTTCTTCTTCTGCTTTTCTTGTCGTTTCGTTTCGTTAAGAAAAAAGCGTGGAGAAGCGCACGGACCAACCACTTCCCTTTTGCATTAAAGACAAAAAAAGTCACGAAGAATTCGAAGCAGTTTTTTCTTCTTCTCTTACATAGAGACACGAGAGAGAAGTGCTTAAGGTCAGATACGGGACAGCTGGGTGGAATTGTCTTCTTTGTCCTGAATGTCACGCTGAGAAACGAGCAAACAACGAGCTTCAAGTACGATGGCAGCAACTTTCTCCCTACGACGGTTTGCGCTCTCGCCCGTGAGCAGACGGCCAGGACTTCTCTCGACAGGACGGATACAGACACCGTGTTTACGATGCGTGAAGTCTCAGGTTCGACGAGCTCATACGCCGGCCGAAGACCCCAATTGGACATCGATCGTGGACAACCCTGCGAAGCTGGTTCGGACAGGAGGGAAGCACGGCTATGGGTTGATTATACTAGGTATATCCTGCGTCTTTCTTTGCTTTTTCTTCTTTACTCGTTTGATATTGTTCAGCTAATACAGTATCTAGCAATCATCCCGATCACAGCGTTTGCCCTGGGGACGTGGCAGGTGCAGCGCCTCGAATGGAAATCAAATCTAATTGCAAAGTACGAAGACCGTCTCATCAAACCTCCGCTGCCTTTGCCACCGATCGTCGACCCTGAATCGGTGGGAGACTTTGAATATCGACGGGTTTATGCAAAGGGCCGTTTAAGACACGACAAAGAGATGTTGATTGGACCCCGCATGCAGGAAGGGAAGGACGGATACCTCGTCGTCACGCCACTGGAGAGAGGGGAGGGTGAAAGCACGATCCTTGTCAATCGCGGTTGGATTGCAAAGACGCTTGAGAAACAGTCGGATCGACCGGAAGGGCTCCCGCAGGAGGAGGTCGTGATCGAAGGGCTGCTGCGGTCGCCGTGGAAGAAGAACATGTTTACGCCCGACAACAAACCGGAAGAGGGCAAGTTCTACTTCCCAGACGTCAGGCAGATGGCCGAGCTGACGGGAAGCCAGCCTGTCTGGATCGAGGAAACGATGGGTGAGTCTGCGCCGTAACCCTTGCTGCAGCGCCTTTCTTTGCCCCGTGCGACTCTGACAAGTCAACAGTGCAGGATCTCTTGTCCATGTACAACAGGGAGGACAAGGGTATACCAATTGGCCGTACAGCGGAGGTACATCTCCGGAATAACCATGCACAGTACATCTTCACCTGGTAGGTTTCGGTGTCTAGCAGGGAAAGGATGAGAATGCAAGCAATATCGAGCTAACCCAGCAATCTAGGTACGGGCTCTCCTTGGCTACCGCCATCATGCTGGGCATGGTGATCAAGAAAAAGCCAAACGAAGCAGTCCGACGAGTCCGTCAAAACAAAAGCTGGTAATTCTAGCCACCAGCCTTACCTCTCAAAGCCATCAACCTTTTGGAAGACGAATGTCCTGTAGAAGCTCCTTGGGAAGATGTTTTTGAGCGAGAGCAAACACTGAGGCACTTTTACCAACATGTCGTTGTCTTTTTGCTTTGTGTTAGCTCTCAACCCCGTATCTCGTCGGATGGGATGGCCTACCTTCTCATCAGTGCGATGACATCTGTTTCATCAATTGTTTTTCGGCCAGAGTGTTTGGAATATGTCGACAAATCCCCGCTCGCTTGTTCGAAGAACCAATCCGTTGCCTGCTGGATGGCCGCCATCGTATCCTTGTTGATTCTCGTCTTTTTATTCCCGGACCTTGCAAACCGCATGGCCAGCTTCTTTACGACTCCAGAAGGCAGACTTGGGACCGGTATCCCATGTTTAGACAGCTTTTGTTTCTTCTGCGGTGGCTCAGGCTGGTCTTCCTGTTGCTGCTCCTGCTCCTCCTCCTCTTCTTCCTCTACGACTCCCCGATTAGACGACCTATCGGTCATGGCTGGTTCGAATCCTGCTGTCCCGAAATCGCTTCCTGATGAAGGACTGTCTGGTCCACCGAATTCGGGTGGCACTGCATCTAACTCGAAGGTGTCCTGCTCATTATCATTCTCTATTGGCATAGTATGAGGCGCTTCAGGCGTTGGGAAGGCAAAATCGAGGTTAAATCGGCCCAAATCCTCGGTTTCTCCCCTATTGTAACATTAGAATAGCGAGACTGTATAATTAGAATATAAACACACTCACCCTGCATCCAACATCGGTTGTCCGGTCGTATTGTCAACATCCTCATCAAAGTCCTCTTCTGGTCCAACACGAAAGTCCAATGCCTCTGCCGGATCTTCAAGGTTCGTGGTGTCCCCAAAATGATCACTGAAACGATTACTGGCGAAGCTTACTCTCGACAGCCTGGCCAGATCTCGACCTGACCGCTCTCTCCGGGGCAATTCAATCGACCCTCTCGTAATGTCCTCATCCTCTGGGAGGAGAGACAGTTTTGGAGGGGGTATCTCGGGACTGTTATCGTCCTCCTGGACCACAGTCATCTCATTAAGCGGGAGTGAAAGTCTCGGTGGTGGAATGGGAGGCTCCCTGTCTAATTCTTCAATTTCGTCCACTGGGGGCTCCGGCTCGTCCTCTAGTTCGGTCTGCGGAGAAGACGATACCGGTTTTGATATTGGCGCAAGAGCTGCAACACGGTGAAAATGTTAGTACTATATATCCATCTGTTCCATCGGTGATAGCAGACGCCCGACCTTTCCCCAGGTTTTTCAAAATATCCATTGGCGTCTCCCGCTTGAAGCGCTGACTCTTCCGTCTATCCCGCCCCGGAGTATATGTTGCTGCACGTCTCTGGAATGCCCTTATCGTATGCGGAGTCACTGGTATATGTTCACCTCCGCCTCTTGTCCGTGACGGCGTCATCCCTGATTTCCGGCGGCCAGCCCGAGACGCTGACGGTCTGTTTGAGTTGAACGAGGTAGCATTCTGCTGTGCCGGAGTCGAAGGCGCTGCCACTAGTCTCGATAATCTGAATAGCTATGTAAGAATGTTAGATTGAAGCTTGAACATTCACAATCACGGCTGCATATCATACCGCATTGTAGGGTGTTTTGGCTGGACTGGAGCTGGGTCCAGCTGAGTTTAGCGGTGTCTGCCCATCACCACGTCGATTTGGCGCCGACATTGTGAACAAGTCCGTCACTCCAGTTACCGCTCAGCTTCAACAGCAAACAGGATAGACTAGAGTCAACAACTTGTCAAAATGTGAATTCTTCTTCGAGCTTGATCATGAAAAGTCGCGAAACGCGCAAAGTTGCGATAACAAAGATGACTAAGCACGATAAGCATTCGGCTTTTTTTTCTTATCGCAAAAGGAAATTTCGAGTAGAAGAAATAAAAAGGACGAAAATAAATACCACAATTGACAGAAGAATACAAGACGTTATACCGCTATGGCTTCTTCCGTGACATCCCAAAATGCGCCGCTAGGATCAAATAAAAGAAAACGTGTTGATGAGGAGGATGCTGTCGAAAACACAATCACAGCGGCTGGCAGCCAACAACCCAGCAAGAAGAAAAAGAAGAAACGGCCAAAGAACGCAAAAAATGGGAATGAATATGATATAAACAAGGTCATGGGCAAGGATGGGGGAATTGACGAGTCGATTGGAAAGATGGACGGTAAACTACTGGGAGATTACTTTGTCCAGCGAGTTAAGAGGCATAACAAGAACTTGACTGCTGTGGAATTAGATGATTTTTACATTCCAGGTAAGCTGCAACATCCTCTATATTGTGGCCATGGCCTTTGGCACCTATATAGCCTCTATTCTAACGGAGTTACAACAGAGCATGCATTCCTTGATACCTCGTCCTGGGACTCCTCGCGGGAACTTGAGAATATGCCTTCCTTCTTAAAAGCATTCAGCCCAGAGAATGGTGCATCGCTTTCTAAAGCATCCGAAACCAAGGGATCTCCGCACACGCTGGTTGTCACGCTGGCAGGTCTTAGAGCAGCAGAGATATCAAGGTCGGTTACTCAAGCTCACACAAGCATAGCATATATAAGCTAATATCTCTTAAAGAACACTACGGCAATTCCAGAACCAAGACTGCGCTGTTGCTAAGCTTTTTGCTAAGCATATCAAACTAAAAGAGGCTCAGGAAACAGTAGAAAAGACGAGGTATACTCATTTTGACCAACATGGCTCTTGCTTAGGCTAACTTGTTGGACAGAATAGGAATAGGTATTGGGACACCAGTCAGGCTAAACGATCTTGTAAATTCAGGTAAGAGCCATGGGCACTTTATTCTGAATCATACATAACTAACCATGTTCATAGGATCATTGAAACTTAATTCGCTAAAACGCATTGTTGTTGATGGCTCTTACGTTGATCAAAAGAAACGTGGTATATTCGATATGAAAGAACTACACTTCCCTCTTATCGAGTTTCTAAACCGGGCCGAACTAAGGGATCGGTATCAGTCGAAGAAAGGTGACAAGGTGCAGATCATCGTCTTTTGATATTCCTTCGGCCTAGGACAACAAACATCAACAACTATGCCAACCTGTGACTGAGCACCTATCTGGCTAGACAAGTGTCTACTAGTTTATGAGCACCAGTCGAGCGTTCCTATAAGCCGCCAACGGCTGCCTTGATAAGACATACTGCTTCAAAGGGGACAATATATAAGGGCATGTCCGACGGCCATACCAGGAAATATTGGGATAATAACTCGGGAGAGGACGACTAATAGACGATACATTTATTGGTCAATGACTTTGGCTTTTATTGAGAAACTTATATCCATGAAGCTATTGGTGAAGGAGATCACATACACTTCGTAACCTTAGTCACAATCTCTGTACCCGAATCGAATATCTACCTCTAAACTACCATATCAAGACCAAATCATCATTTAAACCGTAGACTATTCTTCAAATGCGGTTGAGATTGCTGTCTTTTCCATGTAGATTCAACGTCTTTACGCTGACATAATACACTTTATTAATAAGCATAAAAGGTTATAACCTTATTTCCTTCACCGCCTTTCATCCTCGGCCGGCAGAATTTTGGACCCACAAGAAAGTTTTTATGCAAATCAATTTCAGAGAGAAAGAAAAATATATCCAGACGTTTTGGCTGGATTATATAGAGGAGGATAAGAAGACATTGGCATATCTACTATCTCATAGCGCTACTGGGGTGTTCGCGATCTAGTTCTTCGTCACAATCATATACCCCGCTCCTACAGACCTCGAGATTCGCTGGCGATCATGGGCGATAAGCGAAAGCTCGACGAGGTAGCCGTCGACGAGAACGATGAAGCCGTTGTCGATATCGCAAAGACTAAGAAAATAAAGAGTGGTGATAAGGAGAAATCGAAGGACAAGAAGAAAGAGAAAAAAGACAAGAAAGACAAGAAGGATAAAAAGGAAAAGAAGGAAAAGAAGAGAAAATCCAAAGAAGAAAACGTGAAGGATGAAGAGACAAAACCGGACGAGGAACCTGAGTTGCTAGAGGAGACAGTAAAAGCCAATGGCATGAATGGTACCGCTGACGAGGACGCCATGGACGTGGACGGGCAGCAGAATGGAGCTGAGAAAGCAGAGAAGAGCAAGAAGGAGAAAAAGGAGAAGAAGGAAAAGAAGAATAAAAAGGAAAAGAAAGAGAAGAAGAGCAAGGGTGAAGGGGAAGTTGACAAGAAGAAAGAGAAGAAGCAGAAAAAGAAGCTAGCTGAGCAAGAAGAGAAGAAAGAGGAAGGGAAAGAAAAAGCCAATGGCGCGGAGGAGGTAGCAGAACCCACAGCTGTTCAACCAGAAACAGATACGCCAGCAGAGAACGGTATAGAAGCTGCTGAAGGCGCCGTTGGCGATGCTGAGATTGACGCAGCCCAGAAGAGCCAGAGATTCATAGTGTTCATAAGTATGTTTCCTCCATTTCCGTTACCAATATACGGTTCAGTCGATTAATGTCTACAAACAGGCAATCTACCGTACTCTGCCACCCAAGAGTCAGTCGCCAAGCACTTTGAAAAGCTGCAGCCGAGTTCAGTCCGCGTTCCACTAGAGAGATGCGGCAAGAAAGGGCGCGGCTTTGCATTTATTGAATTCTCTGCGTTCGACCGCATGAAGACTTGCCTGAAGCAATATCACGGCACCATGTTTGAAGATGGGAAGAAACCTGCCCGTAAAATCAAGGTTGAACTGACGTAAGTTATGATACCTTTTATTCAGATATATTGGAATCATCCCTAACGTATACATTTCCAACAGTGCTGGCGGAGGAGGCTCAAAATCCGAAGCCAGAAAGATGAAGATTCTCGAGAAGAACCAGAAACTAAATGAAGAGCGTGCCCGGGATGCTCAGGAGGCAAAGAAGGCCAAGGCAGCCTCAGCTACTAATGGTGCCGCAGCGGCGGATGATCAGTCGCATATCCATCCTAGCCGAAGGGCGAGGGTTCCCGTATAGGTCTGGATAGATTCATGATTGTTATCCCAAAAGTGTTATTTGGATTATATGGGCTGCGAATCTTATGAGCAGTTATGGCGTTGATATGGTGTTCTATCTTGTGTATTATATTGATCGAATGGCTGCAGACTAGATCACTCATCATGTTCATTCTATCAGTCCTTCGCATAAGAGGCTACACCATGAAGAGCTGGTAAAACGGCTGCACAGCCACTTTTCATCTAGATCTCGCGGTACTTAAAACGGGTAGTAAAACAGGTAAGAAATTAATTATGTAGGAGAGCGCTAGAAACAGGCGGAGGCTTTGGGGAAAGGGTATTAAGTTCCAGGGGACAAATGAAACTAGACACAATTAACAGAAGAACAAACCGGGGAACTCTGAACAAGGATGACGGATGTGGAGGTAAAGAGACAGGTTTATGGAGTAGAATGTAACAAATATTCTCCACATGCGATCGAAGTGTTATCATAAACAGACAGAAGGGCGAGATAGAGAAGAGGAGGTTTGGTCGTGGTATCTTATTTACTTCATGAACAGGGGAACCATTGGATTGAAGAAGAAAATGTACTCCATATGGAGCTTGAAGAGAGAATATGAAGAGAACCTTGCAGTATGAGCAGTTGCTCCGTCCCAATGCAGGAGGTAAATGAGAAACGCTCGTCATTAAAATCGGTAAGCAGAAACAAAAGAAGAGAGAGAAGATATTGCAGGTTTCGAGTTTGGAGTTTCGGTTTGTGGTAAGGTCGCCAGGCCCGTAGAATGATGCGCGTGAGAGGTTTGAGGGAGTGGGAAATGAGATCTATGTATCTTCTGGTCGTTGATCGCTGAGAAACGTTGCATTCGTCTTGATCGCGTCTAGAGTATTTGGCACTTTCTCTTTGGTTTCTGGGTCGGGCGGGGGTTTAAGACGGCCCTGATAAGAGTGAGTATGTGTGTAGCCTATAGTGTTGGACAGTGTAAAGACCTACCTGATAGCTTCATCGAAGACGCTCTTGAGGTTGCGCTGAGTGAGAGCAGAGCATTCAAGGTACTTCTGGGCCTTGATCTCCTTTGCGACTGCGAGTGCCTGTTCATATGAGACCGGCTCCATCTTCTTGGACCGAAGAGCGTCCGCGGTGGCCTTGTCTTCCCTCAGGTCGAGCTTGGTACCGACAAGGATAATAGGTACGTTTGGCGCGTGATGTTCGATCTCAGGGTACCACTATACCGTCTTGTTAGTAACCGTTTTTCTCCCTTTTTTTTCTCTTCTGATAGCACGCGTTATACCTTCGCCTTGACGTTGTCAAAAGATGGCGGGCTGACGATGGAGAAACATATCAAGAACACGTCCGTCTGGGGATAGGAGAGAGGACGGAGTCTGTCGTAGTCCTCCTGACCGGCCGTATCCCACAATCCGAGGCTGATGGGCTTTCCATCTACCATCACGCTGGCTGAGTAGTTGTCGAACCTGTAGAGGCGTAAGTATGCATTCGTCTTGAGAGTGTCTGAAGAGTCCGTCGTTAAGAACATACACGGTAGGGATATATTCTCCTGGAAAGGCATTGGTAGTGTAGGATATGAGCAGACAGGTCTATAGAGGGAGAAGCCATTAGAAGCTGTTTATAATATAGTCTTGAAGCTGAAGAGAGGAAGACATCCTTACCTTGCCAACGGCACCGTCACCAGTAACGACACACTGCAGAGACAGCAAAGTTAGCAACTGCACACACTCTTTTCTCTAGGAGAAACCAACTTTCAGCGACTGAGTAGCTGGACCAGAAGCCATCTTCTGTATATTCAGTCTGGTCTGTCTGCGTTGACAGTGGGTGACTTTCGCAGGGAGAAGATAGAGGTGAAGATGGAAGAAGAGCAGCTACTTCACAGGATGGTCAGTCTGGATCTCAAGACAGGACAAGAAGGCAAGCAAGTGAAAGAGACCTTTTTCTTTAGTGACAAACAGGCTGACCGAGAGAGTGTGTTGTATGCAGATATCCAGGGAGCCCTTTTTCCCTTATGATGCTCTCTTGTGAGCTTTCTCCGTCTTTCAATATCAAAAAAAACAGCTTTGGTGGCGCGTTAGCAAGAACTAGTCCAGCGAGGGCAGACCTTTATGCTCCAGCCACAGAAGAAAAGAGGAAGAGAAGATCAAAGAACGTCTGAGGAAGAGCTCCGTTCACGGATTCATAGACGGTTGTGTCTCGAAGGTGTTGGATGTCCCGCGCGCGTCCTGGGTCGAAGGAGGTGAGGAGGAGGGAGATGGCAAGACTTCAGGCCACAGAACTCCGTCTCTCGATGTCTATCAATTGAACGATGGATATAGACTGCGGCTTACGGCGTCGATGACTGGTGGCACAGAGCTTCTTCTCTTATCACTTTCTGCTCCTCTCCAGGGATAGGGGAGGCCGGCCTATTTTTTTTTTTTTTAGCTCGGGAGAACGCACTGAAAAGTTGAACCCTGGAACGGTGGGAACAGGAAGCACAAACGCTACAGGACGTTTATAAGATTCGGTATCTCTACCGTGAATCGGTTAGAAGGACGGGGAAAAGGGGGTCAGCAAGTTGCTGGTACGGCGTATCAGGCTTCCAGGTATACAGGATATCTCTCTTGACAGGTTATCCGGCCTACTTCTATTCAAACTACCACCACTCACTCTACGAACAACCCCTTCTACAGGACGATTGGAAGACACAACTCGCTTGGCAGCATGTCTCATCTCCATCATCACGGCCAATGGCATCAGTGGCTATCCTCGGGTGCATAACCATGGGTGGGAAGAGAGTTTCCTAGTGCACCTCCTGTTCGCCCATCCCTCCCCCTGGACCAAGCAAGGAAGAAGGATAACAAGGACGGATGAGGCGGATGGAGAGGGGGAGGGGACCTCCAAACCTGGCGGCTAAAAAAGAAGTTCATGCGGCTGGAATGCATTGTTCGCTTCTATTTCATATGAAGATCCTTCCAAGGTGTGATATCTCTTTGCATCTATAAGATTCCGGATGGAGACCCATATACGTCTTCCCTCGCTTGCCATCAGAGGGGAAAAAGTTATCGACGGCCCACTTGTTCTTCAGTCGAAAAGGGCACACGAGTCAAGCTCTCTCTTCTGCCGACCCTGGCACCCGGACGACATGTACTCCGTTCCAACAGATCTATAGATTACTACTCTATGAGCGTCAAGGGGGGAAGTTGTCTCTGGTGACACAGCTATAGCAGCCCTATTCATGCAGTGGAAGGGGATACAGGGCCAGCACGTATCGGAAGAAAGCCAGAGTATCACAGGCTATTTATATATGCCTACTTTATATTGTATATTCAACCGTACAAGAGTAGAACGAGTTACAGCTTCGACCGTGATTCGAATCCTCCGACCTGGCTGGCAAGCTTCACATCCGCTGGACCCTCGAGCAACGGTGCAACCGCCCTGGACCAGGCCTTGAAGTGCTCTGAGCCGCCGTGGACTTTCACTGCATCCATATTGGCGTACCTGGTACACAGCATCAGTAACCTCTCCCCCTTTATTCATGTCACCACGGGAATTGATGCTCACTTTTCGACCACGATGATCTCGTTCGACTTTCTCACATTCAGGCCATAGTACGTAAGGGCTCCAGGCTCGTTGGCTTTGACCTTCTCGGCGGTCTCTGCCAGAATTTTGGCTACCTGTCGACCTATCAGCTTCGTCCATATCCGTATGAACTGACTCGACTGATCGACGTTACCTCGTCCTGCTTCCCGGGCTTTGGCCTGAGGATGGCCACGATATGGACTTCCCTCGACGGCATGGCTGCTCTGTCTTGGTCAATTGGGGAGGGAGTTGGCTGGTTTTTTGCTGACCGGTCCAGCTACATATGTGCCGGGATGAAGCTGTTATATAGAGGACACTCGTTGCCACGATAACCGCGGGACCTCGGCTTTCATGATGTCATCTCCATCCATCTATACAGTGTTTTGCCCGACGGGATGTCAAGTGTTGATGTTGATATATAGATGGGTAGACGGGACATGGGGGCATCGCTCTCATAACACCTACGAGTTTGATGACTGTCTTCTTCGACATGACAGCAAGAGAATATACACACACCTACCGTACTACTGATCAGGCCGCCAGCGCTTCTTTCTCTTCTGCTAAGGCTCGAAGCGCTTGGCTCGTATCTATACTGGCCTACCCCTGAATCACCATCCCGACCAGACCAGAACACAACACAACAGATGGAGATGAAGAGAGCTACGTCAAGGACCTTGCTGTGCCACCCCGCAAGCTGTCTTCAAGCCCCTGTGGCCACAGGAAACGTCTTATCATCGTGACGCAGCAGGTGTGGCTTGTCGTCCCCTTCGTCCATCCCTAGTAGACAAAATTGCTGGCATACGCCGAACCAATCCGAAATTAGACAAGACATCAGCAATAATAAATATAGCATCTTCATCGCCCATGTACGAAACGCATGCAAGGAACAGAAAAATATATTCAAACACAGCAAAGTTGTTGGGCTTCCTGCTGACCAGGGCTTTTGCTTTAGTCCTTCTCCAGAGTTTTATCCTTTTAAGTGGCCAACCCGGTCGACGTCGATGGTTGGTTTGGTTGATATCAAGACCAATTTCGCCTTTGGACCATCGCTCAGCTGGAACCTGTGCCAGCGCAAAAGTCGGCTTCAACTCGCGACAGGTCACATTCAGATAGACAAGATCGAACTTCGCCAGGACGGATCCCAACGATGACAGACCCGGGGTTGGACGTCGCCACATCTCCGCAGTCGGACAAGGACACGCCGCTCTCCTCGCTGCCTGAGAAGGAAATTGAGAATCCAGAGCTGACGGAGAGCCTCGCAAAGGTCGATAAGGTGTTGCAGTCAGATGTGCGTGTTGATCCGGTCGTCTGCTTGCATCCTTGTTGCCAGGTCTGCTAACCGGCTATATAGATCGGAGTGGCTACTCTACTGACTCGCCTAAAGCAAAGCATCTCCTCTGCCAAGGTACGTTCAGGCATATATACCGCGGATGGCGCAGTAGAAACAAGTCTAATAGCAGCATAGGACTTCGCTACCTTCCTCCGTAAACGCGCCATCCTCGAAGATGAACATGCACAAGGCCTCAAGAAGCTCGCACGCGCGATGCATGACTCGTCCATGCGCCAGGACAACCGCCAGGGAAGCTTTGCCCGCAGCTATAACGAGATGAACATGATCCACGACCGCGTCGCCGACCATGGAGTCCTTTTCTCACAGTCCCTACTACAGATGGCCGAGGAACTCAACGATCTAGCTGCCAGCATGGAACGGGGCCGTAAACAGTGGAAACAGAACGGACTGACGGCCGAGAAGAGGGTGCAGGACGCAGAGATGCTGGCGGAAAAGGCAAAGGCCAAGTACGATAGCCTCGCGGAGCAGTATGATCGTGCGCGGACGGGAGAGCGACAGGCCGGCAAGTTTGGCTTGAAGGGGCCGAAATCAGCGGCACAGCAGGAGGAAGACCTGTTGCGTAAGCTTCAGCAGGCAGATTCAGATTATTCGACAAAGGTGCAGGCTGCACAGACACAGAGACAGGAGCTGGTGGCCACTCTTCGACCCCAGGCTACCCGAGCTCTACAGGATCTGATCATGGAGTGTGACTCCGGCTGCACACTTCAACTGCAGAAGTTTGGTACGTCCTGCTCCTTGTTCCTTTCTATTTGACTATGCCAGTACTAAACTTCTATAGCATCGTTTAATGAGAAGTTACTGCTTGGAAGTGGCTTGGCCGTTAGTCCCATGAGGACGGGGAATAGCACTCCTGACAGCCTCCGAGAAACTGCCAAACGAGTTGATAACGAACGTGATTTTAGAGACTTCATCATCGGTCAGTCTGGTAAAGTCCCGGAGACAAAGCCAACGCTCAAGTACGAGAGACATGCAGTATGTGTCCTCCTCGCCATACGATAGCATGGTTGATATCGAACGCTAACCATATACCAGACTCTGATGCCAGCTTCCAACCCCAATGCTCATCCAAAGAGACAGTCCCTCAGTCTAAACGCCAACCCGACCCCTCCCCCTCAACCTGCCGCTCAAGTCTTCAATACTATGTCACCGATACCACGGGACTCGGCTCCGGGAGCACAGGGCTCGCCGCTGTCAATGCAGCAAAGGCGCGACTCATGGGCTTCCCAGCCTCCATTCCCTACCTCAACGCCGCAATATAGCAACCCAGCTTCAATGCAGCCTACATACCCTCAGCAGCACTCATACCAGCCTCCGCCCCAGCTTGCTCAACATGCCCAGCCGCGGCCATCGATAAGCGATGTCCCGCCCAATGCTCATCCGGAGTTACCCCCTCTTAATCCCGTCTTTGGTCTGACTCTGGACGAGCTGTTCAAGAGAGATGGCACTGCCATTCCGATGGTTGTGTATCAGTGTATTCAAGCTGTAGAGCTGTTTGGTTTGAACGTAGAGGGCATATACCGGCTCTCTGGGAATGCGAATCACATAGCACATATGAAGAGCTTGTTCGATAATGGTACGCCCGCTGTCCTTATCTTGATATGGGCATAGGCTAACAGCTTCTGCTAGACTCATCACAAGTCGACTTTACGAACCCAGAAAGCTTCTACCACGACGTGAATAGCGTTGCTGGCCTGCTGAAGCTGTTCTTCAGGGATCTGCCTGATCCGCTGTTCACGAATGAACGGTACTCTGCTTTTATCGAGGCAGCCCGTACGTTCCTCCACTCCAGTCAGACTTTGATGCGTTGCTAACATAGCATATACAGGCAAGGATGACGATATTCAACGCCGAGATGCGCTTCACGCATTGATTAACAGCCTCCCCGACCCTAATTATGCAACCCTTCGGGCACTGATACTGGTAAGAACTTGCACGCCTGAAGACTAGACTTCAAGTACTAACTCCGAACCCAGCATCTTAACCATGTCCAAGAACGGAGTTCCGAGAACAGGATGAATGCCGGAAACATCGCCATCAGCTTTGGGTAGGCCTGACATCTCTCCTTGCTCCAGAATACTTGCTGACTCCTCCCAGGCTCACCCTCATGGGCTCCAATGCCGGCCGTAGCATCGCAGACTCGGGATGGCAGGCTCGTGTGATTGAAACTATACTGCAAAACACCTTCCAGATCTTCGACGATGACTGAAAACCGAGCAAAGATAGAGAGATGAAAAGTTTTCTCGTTTATATTCCCCCTTCGTTTTTCCTTTCACTGTCTTCCATCGAATGGTGATAATGCACGATAAGACGACACTCGAACGTTGGATGATGACGAGCCAGTTAAGAGATAACGCATGAATGGATATGGATGGGCATATTTCTGGGTCTTTCTCATTCACTTCTCGGTTTCGACTATTTCTGTACATAAGATGCCATGTTCCTACATCTCTTTAACGGTAGAAAATGCTCATCTCCATCCCTCGTTCATGTATGGATACTTTAATCCGCCATGTCTATCTCCAGAATGACATCTAGGGATGTAGGTATACAAGATACTCTTTTCCATGCTACGGTATCAAGAGAAGAATCAGCTTCTGTTATTGGAGCAAAAGTACGAAAGCCGCTAAGATCCCGCCGAGAACTCCATCAGGCGAAGAAAAATCTTCAACCCGCCGGATTCTCGATCTTTTGATGTTAAAGGTCGTTTTTATGTGTATAGAACTATATATAACTTGCATATAGTGTCTGTGGCATCCATATAGCATCTATCAACTAGCCAGGCCAGCGAGGCAGCCATGGGCCAACCGTCGTTTCAAGCCTCAAACGCCTTGATTTATCTTACCTACGGTGCATTCCTGTATGTCCAACTCCAGCTCAAGCAGACATCTTCTCGCTAAATAACATAACTACGACAGGATCGTTGGCCTCTATATCGCATGGCGGCTTCGAAACCAGACCAAGGGCCAATTTCTGTCCAGTAACGGAACGCAAAAGGGTTAGAAACAGAGATATATAACTACATATATCCGAGAGGCTTAGGCTACTTCTCTTCCTTTCGTACGCTGTTATAGATGTGCTAACATATACATGCTCGATAGCTCTACCGCTTGCCTTGAACTTCATTGCTTCGGGTGAGTTGCTTGAAGGGAACAGTCTCATAGGCTTCTACCCTTCTCTCTCGTGAGAAGCGGCAGCTCTCCAGGGCATATGAGAACTACCGTGGAATGGATGTTATATGGAATCATGCTGCATTAGCCAGGTTCGTATCAGAGAATTCAAGTTCGGTGCATATTGTCCTGGATGGCTTCAGTTGGAATGATATCCAGCTCTCCAGGACGATACGCACTGCGGCAACACTACGGGTGCTGATTGTGGCACTGGACGATTCATTGACGATCCAACTCCAGTCTTGCTCTGAGGAGATCGTTGATTCCAGTGCGAGGATGATGCTGAGAATGTACCGTTGAATACTCGATCAAGTTAATGCTTGCGTGGGAAACGTGCTGCCGCTTCTCCCCCTTTCTCCGTTTGCTATATGCATTTTTTGAACGAGAGGACAAGTTATGCTAATGATATACAGCACTTGGATCCGGCATTCTCTTTACATACCCTGAGATTGCTACTATTGCGGGTGTTCAGGGGTTGGTCGTATATGGACTCTCGTCAGCACTGCCTCTACTGGCATTTGCCTTTGTTGGACCGATCATTCGCAGGAAGTTCCCTGAAGTGTTCGTCCTGACTGAATGGACTCGACAGCGCTACGGCCTGGTTGCCGGGATATATCTCAGCATTTTGACGTGGGTTGTTCCCTTCAGCATGCTATTATATCCGCTAACCGTGATATACAGGCTGATCACTCTCTTCTTGTACATGGTTGCTGAGCTCTCTGCATTGCAGCAGATTGTCACTGCTCTTACTGGACTCGATGGCCTCCCAGCTGTCATCGTCCAGGTGGTCGTGACAACCATCTACACCTCTCTCGGTGGCTTCCAGGTCTCCTTCTTAACGGATAACATCCAGGGCGGGATGGTCGTCGGTCTTATCATCATTGCCGTCATCACCGTCGGTGCTAGAACGAATATCGACAAATCACTTATCGATTCCTCAGGTCTTCTAAAACCAACTCTACTTGGATGGCAGCTCATTTACATCTTGCCGGTTGCCATCCTGACCAACGACTTCTTCCTGTCGAATTTCTGGCTTCGGACATTTGCTTCAAAGACAGATCGAGATCTACGCATCGGAATCTCCATTGCGAGCTTCGCCGTTCTCTGCATCCTGGTCCTGGTTGGATCTACTGGCCTTTTGGCTGCATGGTCTGGTGTATGGCCTGGCGACCCGCCACAAGCGGGCTCAATTGCATTCTTCCTCCTTCTAGAGAAGCTACCAAGCTGGGTCGTTGGAATCGTGCTGGTGATGACGGTCTCCCTGAGCACGGCTGCATTTGACAGTCTTCAATCCGCCATGGTCAGCACTGCCAGCAATGACATCTTCCAGAACAAGCTGCCCTTGATATATGTCCGTATCGGAGTGGTCCTGTGCATCATCCCAGTTGTCGTGGTTGCCCTTCGATCTCCTAGTGTCTTGCAGATATTCCTCATCTCCGACCTAGTATCGGCCTCTGCCATACCCGTACTTGTCCTTGGCCTGTCCGACAAATTGTACTGGTGGACAGCTTTTGAGGTGATTATAGGTGGGCTAGGTGGGATTCTCTCTGTTTTCATATTCGGCACAATTTACTACGGCAACGCTACTGAGGGAGGGAAATTGATTCTTTTGCAAAACGGCCTCTATGCTAATGATTGGAGTGCATTCGGTATTATTACTCCTACCCCTTGATCGGTCAGTAGTACCTGCTGACTATCATATAGGTGCCTTTGTCGCTGCCCCCGTTGGCGGTTTGATATTCGCTCTCCTTGCTCTAGGTCTACGGCTTGGGTATAAGTTTGTTCTCGCAAAGGCGACTGGTGGACACTTCGATGCTTTCGACCGGCCTCTCCCACGCTCTCGTATGAGCCCAGCGCTCATGCATCTAGATGAGCCGGAATTTATAGCCACTGGGACCGATGCAACTATTCGAAATAATGACGAAGAGGGTGCTAAATTCAGGGCAAATATGTAGATGGTCTATATCCATATCTCATTGGAGGGAGATTTCAGGCCGATGTATATGATAGATATAACTTATCTGAGAATCAGAAATCTCAATAGGTTCGTATATTTACACGTTTATAGGGAGACTATCCAGCTGAAGTTCTTGTTAAAAATACATTCGAAGAAACGCTTCCAAAATACACACATATTACACTTTATACTGCTTTGCGCTGGCTTATCTCGAAGACAGCATCTCAATTCGGTCTTTCATCGTTAGTCCCTGGGCAAACATCGGGTTCGTTTCGAGGTCTTCAACGGTAGTCTCCTCTGTTAAACCCCAAACCTTCCAGTCACCGTCTTTGCCGCCCCACATAAGTCTTTGAAGAACTATGTACTCAGTGCAGTCCCTTTGTTTTTCCTGCTGCTGGTTCTCTAGCTCTTGTATCTGCTTTTCTCCCAACCGAGATACAGGGGCGGATGGCGTGATAAGGGACTGCCGACTCTGTATCCGTACGACAACCTGTCTGATCCCCATGCCAGATGCACCGGGTAGGGCGGCAGCACGATCAGATACCACACGAGCACCAGTTATACTCATCGAAGATGGGAATCTAAGGTATTTATGTAATTTCCAAACAAGCTCTGGAGAGGATGGGGGTCGTCGAGAAATGCGCGCGGCAAACGTTTGAAAGAGACCCTGGCAGCACAGCTTTTGGAGGGCAGCAACGTTTCCACTGTCACATTACACCATCAGCATTGTACCTATTATATTCAAACCACAAGGCCATACCTAGCAAACTGAGTGTACATCTCTTTGTGGAGCTCAATGGCTTTCTTTTTCCGTTCTCGAAGTCGCATAGGCATCTTCTTATTCATATATTTGCAGTATGTAAATAAACTAAATAGTTTGTTCGTTAGTATTGAGTATTCTATTGCCCCAGGAGGTCTGGAGGAAAAGTGTCCAGACGAACCTCACAAAGTTCATAACCTTCGACTTCCAATGCATCCATTCCATGCGCCATCGCATCTTCGGGTCCTGGAACACTGATGGTAGATTCTTCCACACTGGCCGTATAAAGGTACCGGGTAATAGGCCAATATCATCCGGTATCATATCTCTATTTATTCCACTCATGGTATCATTTAGACGGGTCTTCATGCTCATCTGCGCGGGAGCTTTGGGCATCATAACTTTAGGCGCAGTCATTGCAGCCCTCGAGCTTGACTGGGAAAACGGTCGATATGAGCATTTCGAAGGCCATTGGAAGACAACTGAGCGGGAGGCGGAGGAGACTGTCCGTCGAATTGAGGAATTCATATTGGCTGTTTCACTTCGCTGCTGTCCACGGAACAGAAATAGTAGACGCGTAGATATTGAGATTGGAGAGCCAGAATCCGGCAATTGACCGTCTCTGCGCCTTTGGGAGAAAAACTGCGACTCCTTTGACTCTCTCCAACCTCTTTTTTCAATTCTTCATTCAACTTTTTTTTTGATCTTCAACTTTCGAAGCTTCAACGATATACGCGCTAGTCCGTTTTTGGTTAGATAAGGATAATTATTACTCCGGTATTCTATTTTCTGTATCTGATGACAATTGCCGTGTATTCATTGGCTAATATGTGGAAATGAATGAAATATCTGTATCAATCTATTAATAAGCAAAATACTACCTATTTGGGACATAAATTACGTAGTCATCAAGTATAAATCACGGGACATACATAAATCACGTAGTACATCATGTGCTGCTGACATAATATTTACTCTTACCTAAGCAGTGACGTCGTAAAGTTAAGATTGCGCTTTATCTTTTTTTGCATTAATTTGACGATTTATTTTCTTCTCCTTCAACATCTCAATTAAAGATAAATCTCGATTGCTTTGGAACGGTAGATAGGTTTGTTCGCCTTTGAGTGTTTCGCTATGTTGATATCGACGAGTGCTGATAGTTAGCCAGATACCCATATTTCCCGAATTAACGCCTTACACGTCACAAGAACAAGACAGATCACAATTAAGACGGCATTTGGACACTGCACATAGAACAGCCGAACGAAATCATTATACGTTATCCAGTTTCGACTGAGGGCTCACGGCGTGATATATTGAACTACCGATACTGTTGATACCGCTTTATATACATTCAATCTGGTCCAATTCCGCTTGTGCCGTCTTATCGGTGGATTTTGTGGGGAAACAAAATAAGGCCGACTCCATCTGCTGAAACGACACAAAGCTGAAGCTTGCCACGATATCAGAATAAACACATACACATATCCGACGACGTTGAACTCGAGGGCCTCTTCCCATCTACAAAGGAACCATATTACCAGCTCGAGGCAGGAAGGGTAACGGCCTCTATGCCGTGAATTGAGACTGGCGTCCACTCTCAAGATCCCTTCCTTTCCTCCTCTCCAACCATCTCGAAACCGCAGCCGCAATGCTCTCGTCTCTGGCCTCCGCAACCGGAACATCCCCTTTGAACCATCTCTAAACTCCGAACTACTCGCAGAAGCCATATCGAACCATCCACTCCGACCAGCCGCGTTGCTGTCCTCAAACCCGCCCTCCTCTGCCCCCTCTTCGACATCTACCGCCATTCCATCTTCTCAGCTATCGGATGACATCTCTGTTCTGGGAGACGTGACCTCAAACAGGCTGCATCCTCGTGTAGCCGTCATTCTAGGCGTTGACTGCCGGTGGTATATTCCGCTGTTGGTATGTCGAGCCTTGAGCATCCTTCCTGCTGCATGGTGGGGACTTCGATGTGCGTTCACGTTTCTAGCAGAATTGCTGCGCATTAGTCCACATATATGGCAGGAAGGGTGGACTGCGGTTGTCGTACGGGGGGCTGCGGTAGATTGGAATGTGGATAGGCGGTTTAGAGTCACAGAGGTCGCGTTGGCCATTGTGTGGGTGCGTATATCCTTTATCAATGTGTTATTAATGCCATCGGTTGCTGATACCATGTTTCTAGTGTTCGGCATCTGCATATTTATCATACTTCTTTACAGACTGTATGATGTCAAGATGGTATGTGTCTGCTCAAGTGTTATCATATGAAAATACATTCTAACACTCTCAGGCTTGTCAACTATACGCCTCCAGCCGTCATAATCCGCCTTCTCACTATAAACTGTCTAATCGCATACCTCACTACTTGGATCCTCTATCTTTCCGGTGCTTCTTCTGACCCTCGTCTTCTCCTCCCTGCCTGGATATCAATAACTTCGGTTCGTCTCTACTGTAAAACTCCCACCCATGTCTTCACACACCTTTTTAACCCTTATTATGCAACTATAGATTCTTACACTCCTGTACCACCTAACTCAACGCAAGATCAACATCAAGAAAGAAACCAAGGCTTCACTATCGGTCTTCTCCATTGCAAGCTTCATAAGTATGTCGTCGGTGTTGCTACAACTGCATTTATCTCGCGAAAATGAGCCAGAGATACCTCTTTTCGCCATGATACAGAAGGCCTGGAATGCCAGTATGCAGTGGATGATCGAGCGAAGAATTGGATCCTGAGCGGTGGCACTTCCTTTCGTTACATTCCGGTGTTGGCCTCGACCATTTAGTTATTTTCACCCTTTCGCTTCTTATATTTCTCTGTTTCTTTTCGTTTCTTTCCGGTGTTGGATTCTTCTCCGATATTATCCATTTAACCATCGAGAATTATCTTGAGACAAGTGTCACTTTTATATATTCCTTATCACCTCTTTCGTATCTTATGGTGAACACTTCTGGTTTTCTACGTCCACTCCGCTAGTTTTGTGTACTTCCGGTCAGCATAGAGTATAGAAAATGAAGCTTACGACGGAGTAATATGAGCAGTAGGTCAAAAAGCAAGATAATTTGCATTTTGTTTTTCAAAATTTATTAGCCATAAACCTGATCACTTTCCATCCCATCCCCTATGCAAGAAAAGGAACGAAACGGGCGGTAATGAAGGGCAGATAGCATGAAGGAGTGTCGGGCAAGTGCTATAACCTGGTGTGTGTACAATAATCGAAGAACGACCATGACGAACAAGTCAAAAGTACAAGCGAAGGGAATGATAACAATACTGAGAAAGAAAGACTGAAATGAAGGCAGCCATTCGTGAGATATCTATGAAGCTGATCATGGGTTTCTTAAACCTTTTTGCAAATGTCCCACGTCCCTATCCCGTCATCATCTTCGTTGCTGTCGTTAAAAATATGTATCTTGAAGGAACATCGTGACCGCCCTTCCCCCCGTTGGTTAATAGTCGACAGAGGATGGAGGAGAGGAAGGTCAAGAAGTATCCGGGTATCTTCAAAGGGGGTGTGCGTCTACCTCAGCCGAGCGGAGGTGGCCGACGAACTTGTAAGGAAAAGACCTCGTATGGTGCTCGTGTGCCATCGTTTGAACCTATATCAGCTCTACGGAAGTGTAAATCCCGAGAACACGAGAACGAGAACGACATGGTACACAAGGCAAAGCAAGAGATGAATCCTGGGATACAAGCATATTCTCCGGAGGGTTGTGGGGTAGGCGGAAGACGACGGACGGGACAGGGGGTGCGACGTTTCGTTTAGAAACCATGGACCTATTGCTGTGAATTAGGAAGATGATCTTGTGCCTTGTTTACAAGTCGTGCGAGGGGTTGACGCATACCTTGATGGTCTTGGCATCAAGCTCAAGTCCCTCCTTCTTGTCGACTAAGAATTCTTGGACATCCTTGCGCTGGTCTCCTTGCAACTGAATAACCTCACCCATCTCGGTGTCGTTCACGATGGTGCCATTGCAAGCTGGAAAGGTTAGCCACCAAGCATCGTTTAACGTTTGGGGGATGAATATATATGACGTGCGGCGGCAAAAACATACCGAACTTCTTCTTGATGACCTTGAGGATCTTCTTCTGATCGAACTTTTTAGGAAGACCTTGGACAGTCGTCAAAGTCTTACGACCATTGCGTTCTGCGGCACACCACAAGCCGTCAGTCACGGGACAAAGGCAAAAAAATGTGTAAAGTGACAGAATGACGTACGCTGAATCCGTATATGGATGTAATTTTGCGACTTTTTAGTGTCGCCGGTGTCTTCGTCAGCTTCGGCGAAGGGGTCTATCGCAAACAAATAAACAGTCAGTCCATGCTGTCTCTCCAGTCGGGCGTCGTTTCAGTCGTGATCAGAATTTTCCGTCTCCAAGCCACAGTAAAAAAGAAAAAATATATTGTGATGGCGCCTACCCCGCCATTTTGGGCTAGGACAAGGAGCTGTGAAAACCGGCGTAGGACACGCCGGGCTGAACGGGAGACTGCTTGACGGGCGTCTGCAGCAGCAGGCAGACTGCAGGAAGAGGAGGACAACATACCAAAGGTCTTGAGGTTTTCGATGGACATAAACTCAGCTGTTGACCGAAACTCGACTAAGTTCTGGGTTATAAGGGTTGGGAAGGGCGGGAGAAAGAGGAAGAACGTAAGGGAACTTCTGTCTTCTCTGGATGGGCTGTACGTCTGCTGGACTTAAGGAGTTGAGCTGAGATATCTGTAGGCCTTTTTCGTAGCAAGAGTGGAGAGAAGAAACTGCGAGAAACCGACGATGTTGTTGATGTTGTGAAGTTGAAGAAAAGAAGAAGAGCAAAAAGACTTTCTCTTTTGGGAGGCGGCGACGGGTGGCAAAAAGAGGCTGAGTCACAGCTTAGTCAGAGGCACGTGATGACATGCCCGAAGAGGAAGGTCGTAGTATATACACAGAGGAGCATACAGAGTACATGGATGGTATTAGATATTACTTGTGTAGAAGTCTAGTAGTCAGATGCAGCCAAGTTACAGCCTCTCGGAGGCAGCCTGGCGCTTGAGGTCAAGGTACTTGGCAGCAAAGTCGTTGGCAAGGACGAGGTCCCCCTGCTGGTACATGACAGTCGCCTTCTTGCCCATCATCTCACACTGGCCCCTGACCTCCTCGATGGACGAGTACTCGGCGAAGGAGCAGTCGAGAAACTCGACCGCTCTGGCGAGGAACTCCTTTTTCCGCGCCGCATCCTTGCGACTCTCTCCAGCCAGGCCCATGCTCGCGTCGGCCAGGTAGGAGTACATCCGTCCTGCAAGCGCACGGTCTTCGCACTCCAAGACCTGCGGCATGACGCTCTCCAACAGTTCCATTGCGGCTGAGAATTCGCGGAAGCTCATGAGGATGACGCACAGCGTGCCGACCGCATCCCATAGGCTGTGCAGGACTCTAGACTGGTGGGCGATTTTGGCGGCACGCATGGCGAGAGAGAAGCCTCGCTCGGGTTGGCCCGTTTTGTCGAAGATGCGGGCCTTGGCGACGAGGAGGTCGACCTGGGTGGCTATGTCGAAGTTTTCCTGGTGGATGGACTGCGCCAACTGGTCGACGCTCGCGAGGGCGGTTTCGTAGTCACCCTCGCGCATGAGGAGGTCGATCTTCATGAGGTTCAGCGTGGTCGAAGCCTCGGGGTCTAAAGGGGCGGCTCCCTCCAGCTGTGCCAGTAGGTGTTGGGCAGCACGTTGGTCGTCACTGTGATTCGTTAGCATCCTGGTCGTTATACCAGTTGGAAGTATAGCCGGTTGGACGGGCATACCGGTGTAGCTGGCGTCTCAGCTTCAGGAGACCCATAAAGAAGGTCCAGATTTGTTGGTGTTTGAGGAGCTGCAGACAGTCGGCAGGGAGGCTGTTCATCTGCTTCACCGCGTCATCGTGTCGGCCGCTCCATGATAGCTGCCCACATGTTAGATGGCTGGCCTGAATAGGGGGAAGGGGGAAGTGAGGGACAGGGAGAAACCTCACCACTTGTGCGCTGCGGAACGTGGCCCACAGGCTATCCTCCATGGGAGAAAGGCTGGAGTAGCATTCCAGGAAGGTCTCGTATGTCGACCAGGTAAGATGAGTCAAGCCTGGAATGGAGGGTGTTTAGCAACGGGGATACGTTGGAGTATTAACAGGACATATAACCAACCCAGTCTCTCGTAGAGCGAGGCATGCAGCATCATCTGAGGCCCCATGGAGTCATGTCTACCCCGTGTGATGTTGACATGGGAGGTTTTGATGATATTTTCAAAGGTCGAGGCAATGCTCCCTCCCTGCTGGAATGTCAGTATAAGGGGCCGGTAGTCACGTAAAGGAAACCTACGTTGGCCAGCTCCAGCCTGCCCTCGTTCAGGAGAGCAATGCTCAGCATCCCCCACATCTCCGTCTCCTTTGCCTTTGACTGGAGGAAGGCCAGGGCCTCCTTATCGCCTCCGAGCATGCCGGTATCCTGTATATCCTTGAGGTCTCCGGGAGACATCTTCCCGAAATGGTAGAGCCACGTCATGGAGTAGTTGAGGCAGTTCATATCATGGTTCTCTCGCCCGATTGCTATCGTCTCCTGGATGGCCGAGATGGCCTCTCCGTGACAGCCAAAGTCTGCCTGCAGCAGGGCGAGGTTGAGGAGTGCATACTGGTAGAAAGTGCGGTCTCTCGTCTGCACCGTGTAATCAAAGTACCGATGGAGATGGTCGAGGGACGACGGATGGTCCCCTGCCTTCCACGAATCAAGGAATCTAGACAGTTCCGATCAGCAAATATTCGTTCCTTTTTTTTTTTCCCTTTTTTTTTTTTTGTGTTTTGTTAAAGAGAGGTGTACAGAATGCCCACCTGAGGTAGTGAAAGAGGCAGGGCACCGTCGCACCGGCCATGATGATCCTCTCCAGCTGAGCCTTCATCTCCGGGGCGACTCTGGTCCCCTTACTCTGCATCTTGGAGATTTGGAATTCGAGCAGGCGTTCGACGTCTCTGACGCTCATGCCGGAACCCTCGTCAGCCTCGTCAGCGAGGTCACCGTACATTACACTGGCAAGCGGGCTGTCCAGGTCCAGGCCAAGTTCAAACAGGTTCGCATCCACCGTGAGCTGGGCGTCCGACGGGTTCCTCTTTGCCCAAGCGGCATATGTAGGCATCCTATACCGGATAAAGGCCTTCCAGAGGCCCATGGCATCGTGAAACTGCAGCTTCGTATACTCAAGCCGGATTCTGCGTACAAACGCACCCAGAGGCGAGTGGCGGGCCAGCAGCACCCTGCCGTGCTTCTCGTCTGTCTCTTCCTCTTTCTCTCCTTCCTGCAGCCTCTCTTCCCGCGTCTTGACCAGGATGTCTGACAGGCTGGAGATGAATTCGTCCAATGTATCCGCGCAGTCAAACTGCCAGAGCCGTTTGAGAAACAGATCCCATATCGTGCGCCCGGGAATGGACGAGGCCAGACCGTCTGTCACCTCCTCGATGCCCTCAACCGACGGCGTGCCCTGCAGCTGGACCGTTTTGTCTGCTGCTGCTGCGCCCGGCTCTTTGTTGTCCGCTGGCCTTGCATGCCCGTGTCCCACGGCCTTCGACGCCTCCAGCGGCAGCAGATGCGAGACGACAAAAGAGAGAATGGGCACAATGGCCGCATTGGGCACAACCCCTTCTGTGTATATGGATATCAGCGCCAGCAGCGCAACCTTTGACGGCGTCAGAAAACGGGCCATCCTGACTTCGCAGCGGTCTCGTAGCAATATTTTTTCGTAGCAATCTTTCTCGCAGCAGTCTCCTCGCAGCAGTCTCCTCGTAGCAGGCTCCCTCTCTCGTAGCGGTCTCCCTCGCAGGGTCCTCTCTGCTGCCGTAGGATTCTGTATCTTCCCGTCCTGCAGTCAATCGTTCACCGCGACAGAAGCAAACGGACAGCAAACATCATGCTGGACGACGTGCAGGCAGCTCGAATAGTAACTTCCAGGGATCTCACGCTGTGTGTACCCGATATCACGCTGTTGTTATGGACTGTATTCCGTGATAGAGCATGCATTAGTGCGGTGCAGTCACCCGTCAAGGAGGAAGACGAAGGAGAGAGAGGGAGAAGAAGCAAAACATCCTTGGAAGTTCTTCTACTTATAAGCCGCCATCCTCCCCCCCGCCATCCTCCGGGGGCAAAAACACTCTCTTCTTCCTATAGTTATAGATATCTGACAACGTTTCTTTTCGCTACCGACAGGCTCTCTCTCTATATCACTTCTACTTGCCCCAATGTCGTTCATCATGGAGGAGACTGACCTGAGAGGCGCCCTGCCTCTGGTCTCGCGCGGCAAAGTGCGAGATATCTACCAGATCAGCGATGGGACGCTGCTCTTCATCTCTACCGACCGGATCTCAGCCTTCGATGAGCTCATGGAGAATGTGAGTCTCGTCGTACAGGGGAGAGACAGACAGAGAGAGAGAGAGGCAGAGGAGAGATACTGACAGGCTGCGTAGGGCATCCCGAACAAGGGCCATATCCTGACTGCGTTGACTGTGTACTGGCTCAAGTTCCTCACTGGAGCCTTGCCCTCTCTGCGCACGCATCTCGTCTCTGTCGACATCCCGGCCGGGGTGCCAGAGAGCGCTCGCGAGTATGCGAAGAACAGGAGCTTGGTCGTCCGCAGGCTCAAGGTCTTCCCCGTCGAGGCCATCGTGCGTGGCTATCTCGCCGGCTCTGCATGGCTCGAGTACCAGGAGTCGGGCACCGTTCACGGCATCCCCTTGCCCGCCGGCCTGGTCGAGAGTGACAAGATTCCAGACGGGCCCTTGTTCACTCCCAGCACCAAGGCAGAGCAGGGTGGACACGACCAGAACATCCATCCAGACCAGGGTGTGTACTATATCTTTGTTTCTCTATCCCTTTTTTTTGCCATCTGCACGTACTGACATGGTGTAGCTGCCGATATCGTCGGTGCTGCGTACGCTGAGGACATCAAGGCTGTGGCCATCCGCCTCTATGAGCTGGCCTCCTTCCACGCCTTGCAGCGCGGAATCATCATCGCGGACACCAAGTTCGAGTTTGGCCACGACGAGGTGACCAACGAGATCGTCCTCATCGACGAGGTCCTCACCCCGGACTCCTCCAGGTTCTGGTCTCTGGACAAGTACGAGCCCGGCAAGCCCCAGGACAGCTTCGACAAGCAGTTCCTGCGCGACTGGCTGACCAAGGAGGGTCTCAAGGGTAAGAAGGGCACCGTCATGCCGGACGACGTCGTCTCCAAGACGGAGCAGAAGTACATCGAGGCCTACGAGATGTTGACCGGCCAGACTTTTCGTCCCTAACACCACCGCCATAACTACACCCCCGGACTGGAACAAGACGTACGGCCGGGTTTTGCTACACAAAAAATTAGGAAGCCGCCCAACAACCATCCCCCCTTTTCTTATCTACTAAGCTAATATATCGGAGATGGGGAAGGAGTCGAAACGAGCAACTATTCATTGTCTCTCTTTTTTTACTATTATTATTACTACTATGATATGTTGAGCGGGATCCTGAGCTCATCATATCGATAATTACTTTTGGTTCTGGAGGAAAAGTTTAGGTAGTTCAGTCAGGTAGCTTATTATGCATGTTCGTTTCTTTTATGATTGCAACTGGTAGACAAAACGCCATGTAGCTGTACATAAAGCATCTGATGGTCCTCATTGGCCGGATGATAACAAGTAAATTATGGTAGAAACCGGCTGGCGATGCATCATTTCTTCTGGAATCCCTTCAGACTCTTAAAACGATCCACGCCTTTAGACTCCCTCTCGACCAGGGACGAGTGATCGTCGTCATGTCTAGACTCCTGCTCTGACTTCGAGGCTGAAGAGACAGGGCTTGTAGCAGAAGTATAAACTGCGTCTTCTCCACAAATCCTCTTCTCTTCTTCCAGCTCCTCCCCGCACAGTCCGTTGGTCGCCCACATCCGATGAATGCGTAGATCGTACGGCCCTTCCACTCGGTCCGTCAGACCAATGCCAATCGACTTTACACGCTGTCGTAGCAGACCGGTCTGCGGTTCGACGACCGTGCCCAGGTTAGTGCGTACGAAATCTGACCATCGGATCAGTATCGTTTCCCACCCTGTTGAGCTGGGCTGTGGGTTGGTTACGTACGACGATGTCGTAGTTGTGATGTTGGCCTCTTCCGGAGGAGCAAAGTCGGCTAGTGCTGCGGGCGTTCGGGACAGTGACGAGGTAGAGGTGGATGGGAAGTCGGACTCGGATTCGGGTTCGGACAGTGATTCTTCTGGAGTTAGCGTGGAGGATGTAAGGTGGTCCGTGGGCCGGTCGAGTATTCGATGGTGCCGAGTGAAGAGGCGGTGCTGGTGAATGTCCGATTCAATGATCGAGTCCGTCTGTACATTGACCGTGTACCGTCTTCCGTCGGACTTGACTCGTAGGGCTAGGAATGTATACGGGTCCACGTCCCAGTAGAGTCTGCCCAGGAGCCAGAAGCCACGATCCTGGTTTCGAAAGGCCGCGTATCCTGTTGAAATACGATATGAGCATGCCACTTTAGACCCAGCTGTAGTTGGGAGTATGGCTGTTCCTCCAACGTACCGGTTCTCTGTATCCTCCAATCCTTGGGCAGTTTGGTCGATATAGATCCGTGGAATCGAGCGTGTGCTGGCGTGTTTGTTTCTGGGTCTGCTGGGACATAGTCCAGGCTCGCCGTACTGTATCCTCCAACCGCACGGTCTGCCATCGTCTTGCATCCTTGCACAGTTGCTTCCTTGGAGAAGTCGAGTAGGTGGTATTGGTCTTTGGCAACGTCGAGTGTCTCGAGCTTCCACGCTGGTATAAACCGTTAGCATTGTTCATTTTCAACTACCAAAAGCACCTTGCAAATAGTAAACGACAGGTCAGATGCCTCAAAAGCCGTTACGTACCTATTCTTGTTGCCCGGCTCAGCTCATCTGCCGTCTTGCGGAAAAAACCAGGCCCTCCTTTGGACATGCGAACCGCAGTAGCAAGCATCGTGCCGGTACCTCAACGGCAGTTAAAGTAAACAGTCACGTCACGCAAGTAGTATTTTTCATTGCTGCATCGAGCAATCTCTCTCCCTCGTCGTCTTCTGTCTGTTCGTTGTTCTCGCGTTTCTTCGTTTTTGAAGCTTTCAAGCAGCACCAAATTTATATCACGTGATATACACAATCTGATCAGATAAGATCTTGCTTTTTATACATAGTAAAAGCAAACGAAAGGATCTATGAAATAGAACGAAAGGAAAAGGAAACAGATACGAGCACTACTCAATGATTCTCATAGGTTAGATTGCCGGAGTTGATCAGTATATACATACGTTATCCGAAAGCATATATGAGAGGAAGAACACAAAAGCTATAGCTAGGACAAGTGAGAAGTATTGCGCTTAACAGATCAGGGAATCATAATGGAAACAACTAAAAAGCAAAGATGATTTCAATTTCCGACATCCGATAATAAATGCAGTCCATAATACAAAGGAATAAGAATAAAAACAACATCCGATGTCCGTCCATCCATTCACCGCTGTTCCAAACCAAAGGCAATAAGAGATACTCATTAGGTTTTCGTTAAATATAAGAATCGAAAGGGATGATATGTTAAACATAGCCTAGAGGTAAATAATAAGGTGCAGTCGTTGGCTGGTGAAAGAAATAGGTATCCAAGTAAATGCCCGCAAATCTCATGGAATGGTATCAAAAATGTTGACGCGTTGATAAGAAAATCAAGCTGGTGGGTATATATCGCTTGAAACAAAGGTCGCTAAGCGTTATGCGGTAGTATATCGGCTTTGGTGGAAGGGAGAGAGATGTATATCTTTTCACTTTAAACCTGGCCTGACCATACGGGCGCCAAAATACGAAAGATTGAGCGCTGTATCATTAACACCGGCAACAGGGGCTGATTCTTCAAGCATTTCCCACGTCCTAGGAGGACAGGGGCCAATCACTCGGTTACCCTGTTGAAATCGAAAATTTTGAATGGGTGAGTTTGTTTCTTCAACGGTGGGGATGGATGAACTTGTTTGATGAAGGACTTGAGCTTGTCCTCCCTGTGCAGCATGGTTTTGGACATTTAAAGGTGATGAACCTGGGATCGGTGGAGCAGACGTTGCCGTGGCATTAGAAGAGTTAGAAGAGGAGGCTTGGGGATCAGGCATAGGGCCGAAAAGGTATAGAAGACGATTATCCTGCTGCTGGACGAAGAGAGGGGACCGATCACGAAGGAAACGAGCACATTGTAGACGGGCATCGTCAGGGAGAGTGTCGACTAAAATGGTGGCAACGTCGACGGCATACGTTCGTAGACCATGCCAGCTTGCTGGGATCGATTGATATAGGTGCGCATATTTGCCGATAGGAACTGTAGAAGGATCCCCTATTCGAGAGAAGACTTGGCCTAGCCCCGGAGTGAACGCTAGGTAGCAAATGCTTAGCAAAAGGCGGGTCTGGTCTGTGAGGTCTGCTTTCGATGCACGCTCTAAAACAAATACTGAGCGGTACAGACTGACGAGGCGTAGAAGAATGTAAACCCATATGCCGAGTATGCCACCTTCATGACGCTGAGTAGTGTTGGCAGGATTCATTTCTGCGGTCTTGACCTTGGTAAGGAATGAGGTCCGTTGAAGCAATAAATTCATTCTCTCCAATAGGGCGTTACCGATCGGAGATGAAATGCTGTTCCTAGGTGCTTTATACACCAGCTCCTCGATGATGCGTAGGTATACCAACCCAAGCTCATAGGGTGTCAATGCTTCGTCAGTATCATCACTAGGGCCAGCCAAGGCAGAAGTGGCGGATGTAATGAATAACAAGAGAAGTTTACTCTCTGCCTTTTGCTGAATCTTTGGGGGCAGTCAGCTAGTGTTCTCTCCGAATTTAACGCCGCGGTGGCTTACCTGTCGCCTCCCTTCGTCATCCAGCACTGTAATAACCTCCAACCACCGGGACAGACCTTTCTTGACATCCATCTCAGCTGCGGAGAATATAGGGTCAAGAATGTTCTCCCTCCCCGCCGCATCCGCTCCTGCAAGTAGGAGCTGCAGTTTAATCAGGCAGAATGGCAACGAGAAGTCATCGATGCGCTGGATAATGCCTAGCGCTTGTTGCTGGACCGACTGAGAGCCAGGCAAAGCACGATCAAAATCTGCGTGCAGATTAGTATCAGTGGCAATATAGCCGTTGAACGATTGTAGCACGTCAAAATTACCATTGCTAGATTCCACATTAAGAAGACTATCCAGCGTTTGGGCAAGAAGGCGCAGGCCCGTTGGGAACTTCTCTGTCACCCACTTGACACATTCGTCCTTTGCGACTTTGGAATGACGGACGATCAGCTCGCAGAGAAGGGGGAAAATGGACTTGTTCCACTGTTCTTGTAGTGTACCATCTATGGAGGAATTGCTTGCCGATGCATCGATTAACACGTCACGTATAGTTCCCACGATGCCACAAAAGTGCTTTATGATGAATTCCTGCCGCGAGATCTTGAAACGGTAGAATACCTATAGTGTAATAATTAGTAAATGGTGCAACCCAGGGAGAAGCGTGTTGACTTACGAGGTCCGGCACTACCATCTTATCAGCATTCTCTAGCCCTAGAACGCTCAACATATCCAACCTCAATTGCATGACATCGGGTATATTCCTTGCACCCACCCTATCCGTATCTACGAGCTTCTTTACGAGGCCGAGGACCGCTGGAAAAGTGATACACCCCACTCCAATGAGCGGTGGTAGAAACTCAGACAGTTTCGGTCTCGGGGAAGTACGTATTATCCCAAGTACACGCTTCATCATCAGCCCATCGAAGGTTTTGGGATTGAACAGACGTAGCTGCGCAAGATATCGTGCAGCTTCGCTGAACGAGAGGCTGATATCTGCCTTGCCTGTCTCCAGCTTTTGGATGAGCAGGTCGAATATACGCATGAGCGTAGCGTCGTCCATACAGTTTCCGGACGCAAGAAGTTGGTCTAGCATCCCGCTAAAGGTAGGGTTAACAGGGTTGAGGGTGTCAGCCATATGCTCTGAGACTGGCGATGAGGCAGCCATGGCCGATTTCTTCTCACAGCGTGCTAGGTCGCGGCGCAAGACGGCGACCGTACTAGCTTCTGAGGGCAAGACCAGGGCTACATCTAACAAGGCGACTATAAAGTCTTGAAGATGAGTCTCAACCTTGCTGATCTTCGAATAAGAGAGAGCAAAGCTCTGGAAGAGGTCCATTGTTGCACCGATAGCAGTAAACGAGGGAAAATGGTAATTCAGGGTATCCGTGATGGAAGCTAAGACGGTAGGATTGGTGGATTGAGAGAGGAGTTTGAGGATGTCAGCGAGGATTGGGAGGTCATTCATGCGCTCAAGGATGCTGCGGAGAGAGTAGAACTGGCCGGGCCTTAGAATTATAGGTGCTCTTTGGGTTATTGCACCGCTGGAAGGCTGAACTTGAGCCTGTGCGTGAAGTTTAGACGCGATCTGCTCCCGTATCCAATGCGAGACATCTGACCTTACTGTCCATGTAAGACTAGCCCAGTCAAAGTCAGCACCAATCATCTCAGCGTAGGGAGTATCAACATGCTCAGTGAAAATATCAGGGTACATCTGTTGAAGACCAGCCTTGATTTGGCGGATTTGCCACGTCTCAGCATCAACTGACACCCCTGCTCGAGAGAGCAGAGTATTCCGTAGATTCCAGATATGTTCTGGTAGCCTACTTGACGGGATATGCCTTAGCAGTTCCACGTCAGCCGACAGACATTGGTCAAATGCATCAGGGCTTCTCACCGCACCCCTCGCCATAAGCCACTCGAGGTACTTGCCGACGGAAAATGATTGAGACCGCACCAGTTCTGAGATGACATGGTAGATATTTTCAAACTGTCGTGTTGTGTGTTGATTATTCTCTGCCAAAAACGAGAGAATATATGCATCTGTGTCGATGGAGAGCTTTCTCCAGCGCCGTAGTAGCCGCGCGGAGACATATATGCGTGTGGATCCGTATCTAAACGGTGTAGACGACCATTCTAGCAGGGTATAGACTATTGTTCTGTGATCCAGTGGGAGAGACAGACACTTTGAGGCCAAAACAGGGAAAACATTGTGTGTGTATGCCAAGTCAAGATATGATATCAGTTGTTGGGGGGCAGGCCGCGAAGTCGACTGCGGGGAGTTGGTATTGGATTGGGGGTTGGTTTTAGATAATCGGTTATTTCGCTCCGTGAGGTGCGTAAGGAAATTTACCTCGAAGGAATTGGAGGTGTTGAAGCAGGCTGTCAGAGGTTTGTGGTATTGAGACCAGGTCAAGGGAAGGATGAAGGACGATGGATGGGAGGTGATGAACGAGCGTATCAGTGATTGGAGGCGAAAAATTAACGGGTTAAGCACTGCAGACTGGTTGTTATTCAGAGTCTGGAAGTATATACCGTCAGTACGTGGTAGGCAAAAAGAAACAGAGAGGTAGTAGGGAAACCATACAAACGCAAGCTTATCCAGCAATATCTGGGCCAGACGCCTTCCCCTCTTTCGATAATTGGTGAGATTCTTCCAGTATATGCCGAGAGTCGACAGCCAGACGGGCAACAGGTCCAGGCTTGCAGCCTGCAGAGAGGAGAGTAACCACTCGAGAAAGGTATCCTGGTCAAGCAGTTGATCCATAAATAGACGACCGGTTAATCTCATACTTGTGATCGGTCAGCAACAGATAAGAGCGGGATGATGATAAACAAGAAAAAGAAAGGAAAAGAAAAACGTACGCATAAGCCTGGTTCTCAATCCATCCGGTCTCTTCACGCGATTGCACCACCCCTTCCATAAACTGCTGCACGCTGCCAGTCCAATCCCTCACCCACTTCGTTTCCAGTCCGCTTGCGATTGCTGCGGCCGTTCCTTTCCGTTTGAACGCCCGAATCTCATTCGCACCCACACATTTGGCCAGCCAAATTGCGCGTCCAATGGGTACGTTCTTCGCCAGACACTGGTCCAGCAGTATCTTGCCACGAATACCGTGCGGTATAGTCCTGCTGAGTCGTCTGAGGGGCACGGTCTGGTTAGCCAAATCCCGCAACCAGGCTTCGCGCTTGTTGTCCGTCAGTGTGACACGCGGTGGGGGTTTGAATGTTGAAGCCGGCGTGATCTTCGTGATCGCCTCCCTTCTTTTGAGAGCTGCAGTGAATATGTGGGAGAGGGCTTTGAGTCCGTTCGGATTCTTGAAATGAGAGTAGAGGGACGGACGAGCGGTGTTGCTTTCATTTTGAGAGAGCTGGACACGGTCGTAGAAGCCCTGTTTGGCCGTCTGTTCGTTGAGAGCGTCTTCAGGGTGATTTCCTGTCCAAGGGTGGAAGTCGAGGATGGCTAGTGGATAATGTTAGCATAGTTCGATGTTAGCGATAGTTACGAGAGTTCAAACGTACTGTTATCTGCAAGCCTGGCGGCAGCAGCAGGCTCCTCCATCGTGTACGGTGTGGTCTGCACCACCATATCTTCCTGCTCGTCGTCCTCGAACCCAGGCTGTCCATCTCGTACAAACATAGTCCTGGGTGGTCGAGGGGGCAACGGTAATGGCAAAGACGACGACGACTGCGGCTGCTGACCACCTCCATCAATCGACATGTAAGCCAGCCGGTCCTGAAACGTCGCCGGTGGCTTGGTACTCTCGATAACAAAAGGTGTTGCTGCCACTTCATCGGCCATGACCTGGTCGTCGTCGTCTTCGCCCTCTCCGTCTTTCTCACCGCCCAACAGCCCCAGACCCGGCCGTGAGCCAATGTTCATATGCCTCGCCGGCTCATCGTGAGCGTGTGTATCGATGCGCAACCTCTTCACAGGCCGACTGGGCTCCTGGTCCTCATCTTCGTCGTTGCTCCCCGTCAGATCGATGACCGGACTCACTTTCGCGCCTGGCCCTATTCCTCTTTCCAAATCACTCCCCAGCACCTTTCGAGCTTGTCGATAGGCCGTACGGGCCACTGGCAGGCCTGAGAAACCTGCCAGTGGCTGAGAGTACGAGCTGCTCATTTGGGGGGGGGGTAATCAGAGTTGATCATCCAAGCATTGTTTGAGGGCACCACATGCCAGCCGTTGCGATGGACTAGGAGGTCATGATTCCCAAGCTGGTTGTGGTCTGAGAGGGATTCGGTATCGTAGCACTCCCTTATATGTCTGGAAGCGAAATATGGCTGCGGTCAGAAATAAAACGAACCCTCGGGAGCATGCAGTGGCTATAGGGAATTGAGTTATATAATAACAATAATACGGCGTTATCCTGTGTCTGGCCGTGAGGATCAGATGTTTGCTGCAGTGGAAGCGCCCTGCCGCAGCGCGCCCGACCGAGTCCGTCAAGGTCAGACAACTGTCTCACTGTTGGTCTCCCTGGTATCTCTCCTCGTCGTCTCTCGCCGTCTTCTTCGTCTTGTTTCTTCTTCTTATGTTGACTGGAAAAGGCAAAAAAAGTTCGGAGGAGGTGGAAGGTCCCGTGATTGGCCAGACGTGCTGACTCAGCATGGACTGGCCTTCTTTTTTTGCTTTTGTTTACGAAGACGAAAAGATGAAATAAAAAGAAGAAGATGGGAAGAGGACGAAGAACCACGGCGGAAGGACGACGTGGTTTGGAGAAGTGGGATGAGATGCGACTGATCGCCAGGTTACTCAACAGACGGACTCAAGTTTTCGACCGGCTATCTCGCGAACAGCAACCCGGTTGGCTGTCTTCGACCTGCCGGACCAAGGGGCAAATAATGAGCGGAAGGACATGCGGTGCTGGTCACACTCGATGTAGGTATCCATGGATGGGCCACCCTATAGATAGAACGGAGTATGTATGTTTCGGCTCATGGATGTTTATACGCTCCGGATAATTACTTACGGAGGTTACAGGACAGCCTTGCATAGGATGAGGGAGAGGAAGTACCATGAAGTGGCGGCACCCTGCGGATGTTCCCATGGTTGAGACCGAATTATCAAAAAGCCTAACAGTTCTCAGCTTTCTCCTGGAAGTTACATAAGTACACATAGTCACGGAGTCCGGAGCGGTCAAGGGGGGGAACCAGTCGGACGCTGGCTTCAGCTCGATCTCGCTAAAACGGTATTGGTTCCACCGTTGGGTCCCTGAGACGGGGAAAGGACTTTTTTTTAATACGGGGTTCATCCAAGCTTGTACGGGGTGCGTATGTATGTACACCGATGGAACTACGCCCGAAGGGAAACGGCATATACAGATGGGCACAGCAGTGATATGGGACATCAGATCAGGTCTATCAACAAGATCGGTCTCCAGATGGGAGAATACTCTCGACCCTAATAGCGCGGAGGATCGATTAGTCAGTCGATCCCCCGGTGGCTTGGATAGTGGTAATTGGCCACCAGGCCTGGAGGAAATGGTCAAAGAAGTTGTAAATGGACGAGGGAATAGTTGTCAATATTGAAATTCTCTGGGCCCCCCCAACTTTTATATCAGTTGATGTTGTCCAGGCCAGGGAAAGGGGGAAGAAACTCCTCAAGTCCAAATTATTTCATTCCTTCACTCCTTCGTTGACTTGCTAGATGGATCTGCCCCTTTCGAGCGTGGACGGCGTGGACGGCGTGGCTGGCGACAGGGAGAAGCATGAGAGGATAACCTGCTACAGCTACGATAGCAAAAGGGAGTACCCAAACCACGTCAAGTGTCCCAATTCAGATTCCTGCTGCGAGAGCATCGATCAGTGCCGTTCAGACCGTCTCTGCACCTCGAAGGACGACCCCAAGACGCTTATAAGGGCCCCCTGCGCGTACAAGCCGTGGACGAACAGCTGTGCCCAGGTATGCCTGTACGGTAGGTCTCCATTGGCTCTCTCTTTTAAATTTCTGCTTTCCCGCCCTTGGTTTCTCTCGACCCTAATCATATCACGTAGATAATAAAGACTCACTCGTCCTCCCACGGGCTGTCGTCTGCGAACAGCCTGGCCCTTCGAACGGGAGCTACTGCTGCGACGATAACAGAACCTGCTGCATCGACAGGGCGGGCTTCTTCCTGGACGAGAACGGCCTCCTGATCGGCCGTGCGAACGAGACGGACAACTCGACATTAAGCCCCAAACCTATCGGAGTGTCCGTCACGGCCCTGAGAGGCATGGGATCACCCGTCGCGACCTCAACGCCCGTACGCTCGCCAGTGAACGACAAAACGGGCCTCTCGACGGCAGCCAAGGCCGGTATAGGCGTGGGTGTCGGCGTTGCTGTGCTACTCGCCGTCATCGCAGGGACCCTGCTCTTCCTTCGCAACCAGAGAAGGAAGACGAAAAGGGCCAGAGCTGCTTCCACCGCCGCCGCCACTAGTACCGCTGGTACTGATGCTCCGACAGAGACATGGGATAACGAGGACAAGGTGCCGTTACCCAGCGATCAACGACGGGAGAAGGAAGAGGAACGAGCATTCGAGCTGATGGGCGACGGCGCGACTCCTGAGCTCGAAGGAGTCGAGAGCCCCCGGCACGAAGCTCCGCCGTCGGAGCTACCGGTGGTGAGAGAGGAACACTCCGCACTCATTGAGCTACCCGCCGACCAACCCACCGGAAAGCCTCGTCGGTGCTGATCAAAGTTCTTGGAATGATTCAATTGATGGCGTCTGGTTGGATGTCCTTTTTTACCTTTCTATCACACTCTCTTGCTCACCCTTTTTCTTTGTTGGATCGGAACGGACTACATATTTGATAATCTTCCTTGTATATATTCTATACCCCGGTGGACGTTGATGGTCTTGATACTATAGCCGCCTTAATATATATATAACTCAACACTTGCAACATAATAAACAGTAAAAACTCTTTTGCCTCTTATGACGGTTCATGTCAAGGAGCCCGTTGTTTGTATTCACGTCCTGTCTGATAGGCGAATGGTCCATGACGGTTATAACTAACGGTTATATGTCAAGGGTTTTACCTGGTTTACTTTTACATACTCTCTGATAGGCAGAGGCCTCAGTCGATTCATGCAGTCAAACAGCTTTTGCCTTGTTTATATTTAGATAGGCAGATGGCTTATGACGTCCTATATCACTGATCGATACATACCAACTGGTCAGAGTATCATGATGGGCTGCCTTCAACTTCTCACCGTCTAGCACGCAGCAAGCTTCTCTACCGCCTCCAAGATACAGAACAAGATCTCTGAGGCCGTCAAGACTGACCGCGAGCTAGAGCACTACTACCAGGTCATCGTCAACTCTACAGACCCTGCTAAGACCAAATACCAGAACGCGTTTGTCTGGAGCTCGCCCGTCACTCCGTGGGCGAAGAGCTGGTCCTCTACGCGACCATAGAACAGCTGATGGGAATAGTTGACGGATAAAGATAGAAAGGAGCATCAGATTGTACGTGTATCTTCCGTCTTCTACTGTTAGATGCTGACGGGAGGGCAACAGCTGAAGGTGTTTCATGACACGGATGCGGATCCCATGGGCTTGTCTGACCATATCAGAGAGGAAGAGAGCGTCGACCTGGTCAAGATCGAGCATCTCTTGGATCTGACGGAGAGTGACAGGATGGCTGCCAGACGAAGATGTTCGTCCCGACACGATCCCATCCCAGTGCACCAACAAACCGCCCTTTGAGACTGCTGTAGGACTGCTGGCTGCTCTCGTCGACAAGGTGATATCTTCAGGACTTTCCTGTAGTCTATCTCTGGTTACATGGCATGGCTGTATTACAGACAAGTACTTTCGTCACACTCTCTTTCTGGTGCAAAAGAAGTATCTCCAAGTCTTTCATAGCTGAACGACGCAATAAGCTAGCCGAGCAAACAATGTACTAGTACTTGTCTATTCATGTATTTCTGGTGTAAAAAGAAGTACTGGTACATGTTGATATCGACCACGTACATCTTCTTCCATCAACTTGTTTTCTTTTAAGACAACATAACACAAGACATACAACCAGCATTCCGATGACAAAAGGTGACACTGTCTGCTGGCTGTCTGTTCTCTCTAATGGCGAGGACTCGTTCCAGCGATCGCTAGAAGAACCTCATGGGGCCTTTCAGCGCATTCCTCCTCGTCTACGTTCTTGGTGGGCTTACCTTCATCCCGCTGCTGCTCAGCTTGCTCGTCCTCCACGCATACCTCACCCTCCCAGGCTCGTCAGATAGGGACAAGGAAGAATCTGTTGACCCCGGCGGCCTTGTACGGAAGGGGGATGATGAATACAGCCTCAATTCTCGCACGGCGGAGCTGGCGGAGAAGTTTCAGCGAGCTCGAGAGGCGGACGTAGCGGCTGGTTACTTTGCCGTGTGCAGAGAATATGTCCCTGGAGGAGTGAACGGGAAGCCGCCGGAGCGGACGACTCCTGCTGGAGAGGTTATCGCGACAGAGAGTCCCAGTGTCTATCAGAGTGTCTATCGAAGTATCTTCGACCGGAGACAGGCACCGACTCTCGATGCGAGTAAGGCTAATGGAAGGAATGTCCGGAAGGCCAGGAATGTCTTTTATGTTATCTTACGGTAGGACGCTCTTTTGCATGTTATTTGGATGGATTATACTGTTACGTGTTGTTAGATGGACTATGCTGATTGCTCATTTACCAGTCATGGCCATCTCATGCTATACGACGATGCCGAGCAGATCGAGGTTCGATACGTGATATCTCTAGCACACCATAACGTCAGCATATACGGTGGCGGCGAGCCCATCCCTGAAGGAGAGCTCTGGATCAAGCGTAATGCAATCTGTCTGTCGAGAAAGGATGAGGGCGAAAACATACCGGGTCCCCGGCCTCCTACGCTGCCCTTCTACCTGTTTTCCGAGAACCTATCCGAAAAGGAAGACTTTTACTTTGCCATCTTGAATAACCTGGACAGGATTCCGGGCTCAAATGACTCCCCCCCTACGCCCCGACAGTTCGCTACGCAGGATATGGTGACCCTTGTCCAGCGCCTGCACTCGTCGGAGGAGCACCTTCAGACCCGCTGGTTCAATGCCTTGATCGGTAGGCTCTTCCTGGCCCTATACAAGACCCCAGAACTAGAACAGTTCGTTCGAAACAAAATAACCAAGAAGATCTCGAGGGTGAACAAGCCAAACTTCATCACGAAGCTCGAGCTTCAGACTATCCATTCCGGCGAAGGCGCACCCCTCATCACCAACCCACGCCTGAAAGATCTTACCGTGAACGGCGACTGTTGCATCGAGGCCGATATCAACTACAGTGGGAATTTCCGTGTAGAAATCGCAGCCACAGCCCGCATTGATCTTGGGACGAGGTTCAAACCACGAGAGGTCGACATGGTCCTGGCAGTGGTGCTGAAAAAGCTCAAGGGTCATATTCTACTGCGCTTCAAACCTCCTCCAAGCAATCGGTTATGGATCTCGTTTGACACGATGCCTGCCATGGAGATGATGATAGAACCGATTGTCAGTTCAAGGCAGATCACATACGGCATCATTCTGAGAGCGATTGAAAGTAGGATCAGGGAAGTTGTTGCGGAAACTCTGGTCCAGCCGTTCTGGGACGATATCCCGTTCCTGGATACAGAGGAGCAGCATTTCCGTGGTGGCATATGGGAAGAGACCCGTAAAGCTGAACCAGCGGCCGCGGACATCGATACAGACAAAGACTCTGATAAGAAGTCTGAGAAGACCTCAGAGAAGTCTCCGGAGAAGCCTCCGGAGACCCTGGAGAATGAAGAACCAGCAGGCACTGGCACCCCCGAACCCTTGAAAGAACAGAACACCACGGATGAGCAAGAGACTCCCACCGTGGCTACTGACGCTCCGCCCCAGGAGACTCTGTACCAGGCCTTTGCAAACTCGTTGAGCGAGAAAGAAGAGTCGGAAATGCTGGAAACGCAGGAGACGGACTTCCGCCCTTCTTCGCTGCCAGACATCCCAGAGAAGGCAGCCCATAGCGCCGCGAAACATCGATCTACCCGCTCTCTGTCCTTCTCACCCGCAACCTCAGGCTCTTCCATATTCTCAGTAGCGGTGTCCACCCCTCAGCAAGATGATACCAAGGAGTCGCACATTCCCACGCCAGAATCCAGCAATTTGGCGGCCCCTCCTTTATCGAGGTCCCACTCTGATCATGGAACCGACCCGGCCTCTACCAGCGACAGCAGAGCCAGCAGAAGCAACTCCCTACTTGCTGAAAGCATCAAATCTTCCAAGAGTGCTTCTGCATCTCCCAACCCGGCCCCTGGCTCATTCGAGCCACGTCAAGCGATGCTGTCTATTGGAAGCGCTGCTGCAGCTGCTAAAAAATGGGGGCTAAGCGTTCTCACCCGCCATGACCAGGGTCCCAGACCTGGTGAAGTCCCTGACCATCCCGTTGGTCGAGGCCGTCCTCTTCCGCCCCCGGGTACACCACTTCCGTCCCCTGGAAGATTCCCCTTTGGCTCCATAACGATGCCCAAACGCAAACCCGTCGCTCCATCCGTGGTACCAGAACGGCCTCCGCTATCACCTGAGCCTTCACGGCCTGCGTCCAAGACACAGACACCCAAACGACACGATACATCGGTGGATAACGACCCGAAGAGCCAGGAGCTACTCGTTATCAAGGCGCCGGTTGGCTCAGAGCCAAGCAGTCCCTCGAAAGAGAACCATGACTTTGGAGGCATGGTGGACGAGAGTGACGATGTGCCGGATGCATGGTCAAACGAAGTGCTCATGGACTTCCAGGATTCCTCGTTCTCTGCAGCGGAGGCCATCTCTTCTCCTTCAGAGCTGTCTGTACATCGACCATCCAAACGGCTCGATGAAATAAAATTCGATTAGAAAGGCTGACGTCCTTTCCTGCTACTCTTATGCATTCAAACTATGGTCTATCGTTATCTCAACTGGCTGGCCATGCTGTCGTGCATCTGGTGTTTAGATTTCTATGTATATATACGGCGTTTGGTCTGGCGTTAAAAAAGGATCTAGATAGTCCCATTCAATGCCACCTCCATCTTCATCCATCTAACTACCATGAATATCAACATGTCCATCCCCTTTCATACACACGTATTCAACCAGCCACCCTCCATACTATGTAGTGTTAGATCTAAATAAATAACTAAACGGCGCTGCCTGTCCTCGCGTGCCAAGAAGGTGACGACTCTTCCAAAACTCCCGGAGAAACATCTTCCTCCTCCTAAAAAGCCACCGCGAGATGCGCCAGCAACGTCCACACATACTCCGTTAAACAATAGTCCATTGGGCTGATACGCTCTCTTCACTCCTTTCGCTGGGCTTGACTGCCTCCAGGCATCAGCTTTTTCTCAGTTCGACGAGCTCGAACGCCCGTTACTGACCTCTCCTGTGTGGCCTGACTGCTACCCATACATGTCCCTTGGTTACGGCACATCTACAAGAAACATAGCAATGAGCAGGTGAGCAGCTTCTGATAGAACGAGTCAGGGCTCGTTCAAAGTCCACGCGGGTTCAGAGATAGCTCACATCGTACTATAGAACCGAAGCAGACCTTGCGGTCAACATCCGCAAAGCTACCAGCATCGGTATGAGCTGCCTGCCCTTATACAACGTTATACTGAACAGTACTGATGCGACTATGTGAACAGAGGAAACGGCTCCCAAACGTACGCCCCACGCACACTGCGGTTGGATGTTAGGCATATACTAGGAATGGAGGTCTAACGCGGTATAATAGGAAAACATGTGCGGAGCTGTATCGTATATACCTGGGACCACAAGTCCTCAGTACCCTTCTGGTCTGGCATGAAAGTGTGAGTTTTGGCAGCTAGGGCTTTGGTCTCACTACCTGTTCACATCTGCTTCACCTGCCCCTTAAATTGTTGCCTGCGCATTTACTGATTTGACGTCTGCTGGTAGACAACCTATTCTCGCCGACGAAGTTCAGACCTTTAAAGCACTCATTACGATCCATAAAGTGCTGCAGGAAGGCCATCCTATTACCGTGAGAGAAGCGCAGGAAAATGTTACATGGCTGGACAGCTTGATGAGAGGGGTAACGGGCGAAGGGCTTCGAGGTAGGTGAATCTGTGCTCATACACGAGACGGACGCTACACTATTGTCGACGTACGGATTTTACGCTGAACAAGGGGCTGACTGGTGGTGTATAGGTTACGGTCCTTTGATTCGAGAATATGTGTTCTTCCTGGAGTCAAAGCTGGCATTCCACCGACAGCATCCGGAATTTAATGGTCAGTGGTGTACCTGGATATTTCATACGACGTATAACTATAGGTTATCAATACTAATGGGCGGTGGAATACAGGTCTCTTTGAGTACGAGGAATATATCAGTCTCAAGTCCATCAACGATCCGAACGAAGGGTATAGTACCATCACCCGGCCCTGCTCGAATGCTTCTAACACGGCTATAGTTATGAAACAATCACCGACCTCATGACCCTCCAAGATCAAATCGATACCTTCCAAAAACTTATCTTTTCGCATTTCCGAGGCAGCGCGAATAACGAGTGCAGGATATCTGCGCTGGTCCCTCTCGTTCAAGAGAGCTATGGAATTTATAAGTTTATCACCAGCATGCTACGGGCGATGCACTCAAGTAAGGACCTTTAGAATCATTATAATTTCTTTCGTTGTACTAACTTAATATAGCAACCGGAGATGAGGAAGCATTGGAACCGCTTCGGGCACGATATGATGCCCAATATCATCGCCTTATTAGATTCTATTACGAATGCTCCAATTTAAGATACCTTACCAGTTTAATCTCTGTTCCCAAACTCCCGCCACACCCACCAAACTTGCTCGCTGGGGAAGAGGAGAAGCCCAGTCTTCCAAAACGCCCAGTTAACGAACCCGAACGAGAGCCAACTCCGCCACCCAAAGCAACAATCCCTGATGCGGAGCCCATCAATGATTTCTGGTCGACGGAGGCCAAACGCCAGCAGGAGGAGTATGAAGCTGAGCAGCGCCGACTCCAAAGCCAATGGGAAGAGCAGCAGCGTAACCAAATGCTTGCCCAACAACAGGCGCAGCGAGAGTTTGAAGAGCAGCAAAGGTTACAGGCCGAGCAACAGAGATTGGCCCAGGAACAGCTAATGGCCAGCCAGTACCAGCAACAAACTCAGGGACGATTGGCAGAACTCGAACAAGAGAACCTGAACGCACGCGCGCAGTATGAGAGAGACCAGTTGATGCTTCAGCAATACGACAAACGGGTGAAGGACCTCGAGGAGCAGCTGAACCAAATCAACTTAAACTTCAATTCACAAAATTCGTCCAAGGATGATCTCATTCGATCTCTTCAGGAGCAGCTCAACACCTGGCGCACAAAGTATGAGGCGCTGGCCAAGCTCTACTCCCAGCTACGACAGGAACATTTAGATCTTCTACAAACTACCAAATCCCTGAAACTAAAGGCGGCCTCTGCGCAAGAAGCGATTGATAAACGAGAGCGCCTCGAACGAGAGATGAAGACGAAGAATCTAGAGCTTGCCGATATGATCAGGGAACGTGATAGGGCTCTCCATGAAAAAGATCGTGTTACTGGCGGTAACCGCGAGGAGCTTGAGAAGCTCAAGAGAGAGCTGCGCATGGCTATTGAGCGAGCGGAAAATGCAGAACGTGCCAAAGGATCGGAAATTTCAGCAATGCTTTCCAAGTATAACCGTGAGATGGCTGATCTCGAGGAGTCTCTAAGGGTATGTTTCTTGCTCTTATAAGCCGCTGCTAATGCTAATCTACCTACGTACAGAATAAAACACGGGCCCTTGAGGAAATCCAGTCTAACAGAGGCGATCTGAACGCGGATCATGAAATCATGCTTCGAGAGAAGGACGAGGAGATTGAGATATACAAGTCTGGAATGGAGCAGGCATTGACAGAGTTGGAGGAATTGAAACTGGTATGTATCATCCTATGTTATATTCGTCCAGGACTAGTGCTAACATTCGACTCTCAATTATAGAGTCAAGGAGACGCAGATAAAGCCCTTGACAGCCAGATCGACGATGTCCTTATTGGCTCAATTTCTAAAGTTAACGACATCATCGACTCTGTGCTTCAAAGTGGTGTACAGCGAGTAGACGATGCACTGTATGAGCTGGACTCAACCATGCAAGCCGGAAACCAAAATGCATCTCCCTCTTACGTACTATCACAGATTGAAAAAGCATCTGCTAGTGCCACTGAGTTCTCGACCGCCTTTAACAACTTCATTGCGGATGGACCAAACAGCGAACATGCAGAAATCATCCGTACTGTCAGCGTGTTCTCCGGATCTATTGCCGACGTCCTCAGTAACACCAAGGGCTTGACCCGATTCGCGACTGATGATAAGAAAGCTGACCAACTCGTTGGCGCTGCACGATCTCCTGCAGAATCCACCATGACATTCTTCCGTGCCCTGCAGTCCTTCCGTCTACAAGGTTTAGAACCTCTTCAGAAGACTGATGTTGTTATTAACAACAACCATGAAGTCCTCATGAATCTTCAGAAGCTCTCCAAGCTCGTCGACACCTTCGCTCCAAAGAGCAACAAGCTTACAGGCGCTGGCGACCTAGGTGACATCGTTGACCGTGAATTGACCAACGCTGCCAATGCAATTGAAGCCGCAGCACAGCGACTAGCTAAGCTTAAGAAGAAACCTCGCGACGGTTACTCGACTTACGAACTCCGCATTCACGATTCTATCCTCGAGGCGTCTATTGCGGTAACGAATGCAATCGCCGAGCTGATCAAAGCTGCCACTGCATCACAACAAGAAATTGTCAAGGAGGGTCGAGGTAGCTCCTCTCGAACGGCATTCTACAAGAAGAACAACCGCTGGACAGAAGGGTTGATATCTGCCGCCAAGGCTGTGGCAACGTCAACTAACACATTAATTGAGACCGCTGATGGAGTCATTTCTGGCAGAAACTCGCCCGAGCAGCTGATCGTTGCTAGTAACGATGTAGCGGCCAGCACCGCCCAGCTTGTGGCAGCCAGTCGAGTCAAGGCTACTTTCATGAGCAAGACGCAGGATCGACTAGAAACGGCCAGCAAAGCCGTTGGATCTGCCTGTAGAAGCCTGGTCCGGCAGGTACAGGATATCATTGCTGAGAAGAATCGCAATGAGACCGAAGCCATCGACTACACCAAGCTTAGCGGACATGAGTTCAAAGTACGAGAGATGGAGCAACAGGTATGGATTTTCTATATCCCTCCCCATTTATACGATATTATGTCCCATATACCTAACGTTACTCGTAGGTCGAAATTCTCCAACTTGAAAATGCACTCAGTCAAGCCAGAAAGCAACTTGGCGAAATGCGTAAGATATCATACATGGAGTGAAGCGTTTGCGCTTATTGGAATTATATTTATAAACTTGCCTCTACCTGTTCTTTCCTCTACTTCAATTCTTGTCTATTTATGAAAGCGTATCTCTGAAAAAATGGAATACAGACATTATCACTCTTTGCCACCGTGTATAAATATGTCTTTATACAATGCAATGACTATAAGCTGACGCTCGTTAGATTTTAAGGGTTTATACGCAGTCGGGAATAACAACGGCACATTAGAAGTTTAAGATATATATTTCTGTTTCAACAATTCGACCTATTCTACAATGGTGATGTTATACCTTGGGTGTATAAAGCAGCAAGTTGTCCTCCAAAAACGTAGGTATAACATTGCGTTGGGATGGAGTGCATCCGTCAGCCGTGGGCTGGTTGATTGAAACCGAATTTAAGTAGTCTTGTCCTTGTTGTGGTAATTGACGGCGGAGTTCCAGCTAAACGAAAATGTTAGTAATCGGCACATATCTCGCGATACGGTGGTATGATCTGCGCAGTAAGAAACCGGCTATACTAACAAGAGAGTCTGTTGGTTTCGTTAGCATTGTTAATTTCATAGGATGTTATTCAAGTCCACGTACCTTGTCACCATCTCCCCAGAAGTAGTTTTTGCTTCGAATGTTTTGGTATGGGTACTCGACACGTTCCTCAAGTGCGGGCATATGAGACCAGTGCTCCCAATGCTCAGTCCAGAGGTTGTATGCGTTGATGGATCCGAGAATAAGGGTGGGAATCACGGCGCTGTCATACAGTTAGTTGTCCGTTGGCCATGCACTCGGTTCGTGGTGGAAAAGACGAACTAGATAGACAGCTTGCGCCATAAGTCTGCAAAGGAACAATTAGTTTCTCCCTCCCTTCAGCTCAATTATGCCATCGAAACTGCTTACCGCTGGTGGAGGCAGCGTGGGCTTTCACGGCAGCTCTCTCACGGAGGAACTCGTTCTCGGGAACAGAGCTGTTCAACCGGCGCTGGACGAAGTTACGGGCGACGGGAGATCGAATGCTGGCCCGCTGAGCGGCGCGTAGAATGGGTTGACGGGAAATCATGGCTGTTTCAATTGGTACTCTGCAAGAGTCTCAACGATTGATCGTGGAAGAATAAGTTGAAGTTGAAGTTGAAGTCGTTTGTGGTTCAAATTAGTGGCTAGTGCTTATGTAATCACATGGCCTGATCGTCATCCAAAGTTCGACAACATCGAAATATCGAAAACGAAGAAGAATAAAAACGATGTGAGGATGCTGGAGAGTATTGGAAAATGGTGCTGCGGTTAACAACGTGGAATGGTTAGTTCGGTGGTGATATGACTGGTTTACTATACAACTAACAATTTGACTAGTAAATGGGATAAGGTACTATATGACAGGCAGCAACCGTACAGACTGACAGCTAGATGCTGATAAAGTATTCCCAGGAACCCGTTTTCATACGAGCCATGGAGGGGAAACCGGACGTTTGGGGTATACTGTAATCTAGCGCTGCTGTTGTCGAATGTTTCTGACTGTTTCTGCTCTGAAGGCAATGTTTGATATCCTCGAGGCAGACGTTGTTATTTTCCAGGAAGCAAAGATTCAACGGAAAGACCTGCAAGATGATATGGTGCTCGTTCCAGGATGGGATTGCTATTTCAGTCTCCCAAGGCAGAAGAAAGGTATAAACTGTCCTTGAGTGTTTTCCGGCATTCACGTTGACGCTATCAAGGCTATTCCGGGGTTGTGATATATACCCGCAGTTCGAAGTGCGCTGCAATACGTGCAGAGGAGGGCATAACCGGGACACTCTGCCCGCCAAATTCTTCCACCCAGTTTCGTCATTTACCTGCTTCCGAACAAATCGGTGGATACCCTACTATCGAACAGATGGAGGAGCTGTCTGAAATAGACCCCGTAGCGCTCGACTCGGAGGGAAGATGTTTAATCTTAGAGTTCCCTGCTTTTGTTTTAATAGGTGTTTACTGTCCTGCCAATCGAGATGAATCTCGAGATGGTTTTCGACTTGGTTTTTTGAACATACTAGACGCCCGGGTGAGAAATCTTATAAAGATGGGAAAGCGTGTTGTTTTGACTGGAGATTTGAATATATCTCCAGCGCCGATTGATTCAGCGCCGGCTACAGAAAGGATCAGAAAGAGCGCCGAAACCGAAGAAGAGTATATATCTTCCCCTGCTAGGTGTCTCTTTAATACACTAGTGAGGCGTGTTGGTTCAACTGGAGATGCAGACAACGTTGAGACACCCCCTGTCCTCCGTGATCTCTGTAGGGAATTCCACCCCCACCGTACTGGCATGTATACGTGCTGGGAACAGAGGGTAAATGCCCGACCAGGAAATTATGGTTCAAGGATCGATTACATCCTCTGTAGTGATGATATAAGGCATTGGTTTGTTGAATCCAACATTCAAGAGGGACTTATGGTATGTGCTGAACTCGAACACCCTCTTTGGCATGTATTAATACTAATACTTTATAGGGGTCCGACCATTGTCCCGTTTACGCTTCGATAGGTGATAGAGTACGTCTAGATGGAAAAGACGTTCATATTTTAGACATTATGAATCCTATAGGTTCATTTGAAGACGGAATAGAGCAACCTCGCCCTGTGAAAATATCCCCTTTACCACTGTCGGGAAAGATGATCCCGGAGTTCGATCGCCGGAGAAATATAAAGGATATGTTCAAGAAACATTCTCTATCGCGGACTAACAGCGAAATAAAAGTATCAGCAGAGACAGATACTTATACTGGATCAGAAACTTCTGATTCGGGCTCTCAGTCCAAGATTGCGATGGAAAATAAAAACACGCCACTGACAATGAATCCCCCTACCAAGCGAGGGCATGGCAAGGTAGCTCAGGTGTCGCCATCGAAACGTTTGAAACAAAAGAGCCGGCCTGTTGGTTCTCGAAGCAATGGCCAGCAAACCCTTGCTGGCTTTTTTAAGTCCGAAAGAACTAGTCGTGTCGTCGGCGAAGAGAATGCTACCGTTTCTACTATCTCACCACAGGGATCTCACGCTGAAACACAGCCAAACCCAACTGATGAACCATCAGCCACTGCAGAAGCAAATGATACTGTACCAACCGAAACGACCAAGACCTTTGTTGACGATTATGTCGCCTTCTCCTGCAGCCCGACAGAATCATGGTCAAAGGTATTTACGAAGAAGCCTGTACCCAAATGCGAGGGGCATGATGAAGACTGTATTTCGCTTGTCACCAAGAAACCAGGGATGAACTGTGGAAGGTCCTTTTGGATATGTTCGAGGCCGTTGGGGCCAAGTGGTGATAAAGAGACGGGCACTCCATGGCGCTGCCCCACGTTCATTTGGTGCAGTGACTGGAGGACGAGCTGACTAGCTAGAGCTAGAAATATAAGCCTAACATTATCTACCCTCCAAGGTGGCCATTTACCATAATGTCTATTACCATTGACATCTTCTAACATCTCTTTGCTCCGGCGGCAGCTGGGAATGACTGTATTAGTCATCATCTCAACGTCCAACTCGACTTAGTTTGATATTCAACTCATATCATGATGGCCAACATGATGATATGATGTATTCTATCAAATTAGAGAGAGATTGGATGGCTAACTGCAGCTCTTCTTAGAATGAACTTGCATATTTATATACCCGTGCGGCCTTTGTACTCAATTAGTGCCTAATTGATGTTTATTGGAATATCCATGCCCATTGATAATAAAACATTCACATCTTCATAACGTGAACTTCCGTTGCAGTGACTCACTTGCTATATATTAATCTAATATACTGATAAATATCTTCCTTGCTGTAATTCAAATCCTTCCCAGGCTCAAATACCCACAGTATAAAATCTAGTGTCTCTTCTGTTTTAATTTCCCCTTAGGGGAATGCGGTGGCATAGCAACCATAAAATTTCTTCTCTCTTCCCATAGCAACGGACTTTTCATAACAAATTACACTCTCATACCTCGATCTCGACCTCACGGAAACCAATCCTCAAGGACAAGCCGCCCTAACCTGACAAGATGGAACAAGCCGGCGTTGTGCCTTCTCAAGCCAATTTCACCTTGCCATGGGCAGGGTATGACCCTGGCTTGCTCAACGGTAAGAATCTGATACTTATACCTGATAGATATGTGCTAACATTATTCTCTAGGGGATGGCATTGCCGTTCACAAGTGCAGCACTGATTTCCTTGCCTCTCTATACAAAGCTTGCCTAGACACCTACCGTCCTGATGAGGTCAATCTTCCTCCAGATGATGCGAAACGCCTGTCGGAATGCGTCGTTCGTGAGCTGACCAGGCTGATGGCCCATCCGGACCTTTTTCCCACAGCAACTGCCCATCAACGCTTCCTGCATATCCTCGAGGATAGCATCAAGGACTTGGTCGAGAAGCGCAAGCAGAAAGAGTACCAGCTCGCCGTAGACAACTTCCGCCTCCGTGCTAACGAGATTGCTAGACGGGAGGAGCAGATCCTGCAGAGGATCAACCGCCCTTCGTTCAAGCCTGACTTGAAGCCTTGGGAGCAGTTCCTTTTAAAGGGGAGCCCTGGCAGTGGTGTTGTCCTTCCTCCCTGCCCGCCTAACGGATATGTGCAGCTTATGCCGATTGGGGGTGTGGCTCTCCATTTGAGGTGGCTAAGACGTACATACATGGTTGCAAAGAATTACAGAGAAGTGAGTGAAAGCTATAGAACTTCATAGTTCTCCAGTGCTAATCATTATAGGCAAACCCGGCTTCTATCTCGAGAAAACGTGACCCTCGGCGAAATGTCAATGTAAGTAAAAGCTTTTATGCAACTTTATAGGCTTATTCTAATTACGAAAAGAACTCGGTTTTTAATGAAGCCCTTTATCCTACAAGTCAAGTTACGCATCAAAACACTTGGGTACGTGTTCCTTACATTTTTTGGTCTCAAGTTCAATTACTGACGTTGGGGCAGATCACTCTAACTCCAAATCCATATTATGAAGTACATATATCATATGCCTCTAACTTATTTTCTACTCGATTATACTGATATTTACTTAGCGCCGCATGCCCATCCCAAAGCATAATCGTGTTATTGATCGCCTGGAGAACTTCAATGTTGTAATCGGTGAGAGATCCTTCAATAATATATGGACGTGAATCTAATTGTGGTACAGAACGTCTTGAGAATGAAGACCTCACTGATTACAATGGCGAACAGGAGGGTGTGAGGGCTATACTCTACCGTACAATTGTGGAAGATATCCCGTGCACTACTGAGTAAGATATTGTTTAGAGGCTGAGATAGGTTGGCTGAGATGTCAGAGGTCAGATGTTACAACGTGCTTCAACCTTCATGATGACTATAGGGAATAAGAACTATGACCTTTTGTAATTACAATAATGAGGACTCTGAGGCTCATCATTGTCGAATATAACCGCCGAAAATCCCTATGCGTTACTATTACGTGTAAATTTACAATTTAAATGAAGAGATAACTCCGGGTATTCGACAGAGGCTACTGCCTTCTCAACTCTCAGGCTTATAGCCCTATAAAGACTGGTTGCATATTTTGCTGATAAATAAGGGAGCTATAATGTTGTAGTATATTGCCGACTTCTTTAATTACTCTGTGATATGAAGTACGCCAGATTCCATGCTTTTTGCAGCATGACAGTGCTACGATTAAGATTGAACAAATTCATACGTCTCGTTTTCCCAACTAATGAGGATATGCCATGTGTATATAATGTTTGATACTGGAAGTCATCATGCTCATGGAAATTCTTGGCTCCACGAGGTTTACATAATAAATCTGCTTAAACTTAAAAGTAGTATGGTATTGGGCTGTACAGGCGTTAAATACCAGGGTGTATTAAAAGCGGGCGCTTAAATTTTAGTTACAAGGGCAAACCAGATTTCCAAAAAAGGTGAATACTATTGAATTGCTCTCTTTGTCTTCAAGTTCACCTCCCAGCCAACAACACAACGACACCCTCGGTCCAAAATCTTTGCTTGCAAGAAATGTTTGCTCTTGCTTCTACTTCTAACCATATCAAATTCCCTGAATCATTACTTCTTACCCTTTACTTCTCTTATTAGATCTAAGATCCTCAGTATCAACAAGAAACAGCAAGGCAAAGTCCCTCCGGCATTTTAAAATGGCTGGAAGCGAAGTATCTGCCGTACATCGGGCATTCAGCAACTTGTTGACGACTTTGACGCCTGAGCAAGTTCAAAGATTCATGGAAGAGGTGAACTCATCGGCAGCTATCGCTACGAGAGCTCCTGAAAGCGTTGACTCGGCTCAAGGCATGGGTGCCTCTCCCTCCAAAGCCTCTCCTGCTGCCATGGCAACTACTCGCCCTGCTGCCCGTAAACGCTCTCGAGAGAATGCCAAATTGAGACCCTTGAACTCTTTTATTGCATTTCGAAGTATGTGAGCAGCAGTCTACAATACCCTGCATAAGACTAACATTGCATAGGCTTCTACTCCTCTGCTTTTCCCGATATCTCCCAAAAAGTCAAGTCTGGACTGCTACGACTTTTATGGAGTTCTGATCCCTTCAAAGCAAAATGGGCAATTGTGGCCAAGGCCTATTCCGTTATTCGTGATAAGCATATCGGACAGGTTTCTCTTGAATCTTTCCTGGCCCTGATTGGACCCTTTATTGGACTTGTTTCTGTTGCAAATTACCTCGATACCATGGGTTTACAGGTTGTCTCGACTGAGGACAAGCAATTCTCCCTCATCAAAGCTAATCCCAATGCCCACATCAATCCCATTGACTTGACGACAAACCTCTCTGTTGATGACGTTGTCCACTACTGTTATCAAATTGGCTATGTTTCTGGCACTCACTTGGCGAGTGCCTCCGGAAACCAAGTTGCCGCTGTCTCCATGGCGGTCTCAGCTCAGTTGATTCCCAAAAGCGCAGCCGCTGAGACTACTTCTTCTACTAAACCCGCTTCCAATGGACCAACTGTTAGACAGAACACTGAACACCGTGATGTAACTCCAGACACGAATCACTCGGAGGAGAACGAAAACCCACAAGAACACCAGGTTCCTACACCCGTTACTCCGACAAACAACAGTGCTACTACATCTTCATCTGTGAACAATGATACCGTTTCTCCCCCTACTCCCGCCAACAATGCAAGAAACACAGGCCCTTACACTCAGGCTGATTTTGAAGGAGAGTTGCGTCGTGCTATGAATGGTTTCCCATATGGCAACAACGACGGTTACTATGATCTATTTAACACAGGTCTTCGTACTCGCACTTTCAACCCATATCGCATCAACGGCGACTTTGATGGTTTTGATATCGGTGACTATGTTGATATGTGATGAAATAACGAGCCACTTTTTACGATACACATGAAACGTTATTTATTCGTCATGGCATGGTATACGGAGTTTAAGGGTGGGCACGACACAGCTTACGATAACGACATGGGATGGATTGCGGGAAGGGATTCAAACACATTGGCATCTTTGAAGTCGCAAATGAGAAGGATGTAATTCTGAGACAGGCTGGCCCGAACAAAGTTCGTGGTAAATAGACGTTAATTTGTATGTTACGGAGAGCAATCATGTACTTTAGATGACCCTAATTAGGAATAAACACCAAAATATTGCAGTATCCTCCCCGCTACGACCATTTCTCGAATCTGAGCAAACTGCTGAAGCTGCACAACATCCAGCCGGAGGTGTCTGACTTTTTCCATGAAAATCTGACGCTATCTGGAAGAGTTGAGATACCTGAGTTGGCAGGCGAAGTCAGGGGCGAGAATGGCCAGCCACAGGATGGCCACCGCGAGATCTTCCATGAGTGCATCGATTTGCTGGAAGACGAAGCCAACTTCTATCTTCGCGAGCAGGTCAAGAAGCATGGCTCTGAGACCGTGTACCGCAGTGCCTTCCGTGAATATTACATTGGGTATGTACATATTCTCCCTGCTTTCGGGCTGGTGTGATACTTATCAAACACTGACGACTGCTACAGGGAGATAACCAACATGATGGAGACACACTGGCGTCCTGACCCTCGAGGGCAGCATATCCGTCGCCAGGCCCACGACCTGTGCTATCAGGCTATCAACGAAGTCCCCTTTTTGGCTACGGCGGAGAGAAACATGCTCATTCGAACTACGGGGTGTTTCCCAGAGGACACGATGGCGTTCTGTGAGTATTCTGCTTTATATCCGTTGGATCTATAGAACTGCTATCTAACGACAAGACATACAGTGACCAGCATGACGAAGACCCGGCTTACGTACCTGATGATGAGGGAGATGGCTGGATTGATGGAGGTGCAGGGAAGAGTAGAGACCGGGCAAGAGGAGGACGCTGACATCGAGATGGACATTGCGGCGGGAGTCAACTTTGCTGAGATCAAGTAAACAGGGATGTAACAACATGTATGTACGATAGAAACAGCGAGCTGCAACAAGAAAGAAACGCCTGTTCCTTTTATCTCTGCTTCTTCCTTTTCTTCTCTCCTTGCATCTGTCCGATCTCCTCGTCTTCCATCTACATCGTCGTCTCCATGTCAACCCCGATGTTATGATGACTAAGCCTGTCCTATCCGCTTAGTCAGCTGTCATGCGGGGGCGGGGAGGTCGATACAGGGCCGTTACAAGCGCGTGACGAGCCATAACTTACGTGCAGCAGAGTTTTCTGTACGGCCGTTACAACCTTACTAGCGCCGCCTTTAGCTTTCTTTCAAGGGACAAAGTCTTTGTCTGTTTTCCCAAAGCGGACATCAGTGGGCTGGTAGAAGTTTCTGCAGAGAGGTTGGAGAGCGGAGAAGAGGAGTCGATGGGGTAGGCTAGAGGAGCAAATTCTTCAGGAGAGATAGAGAGGCTGGGAGAGAAGCAGATGGAAGAGAGGGGGGAAAGGCTTGGGAAGACACCTGCATCTGTCGAGTTGGGCGTTGGTTTATGGAGTTAATGGCGGATTTATGGTCCGGGAGATCGACGGGCTTAGTAAGCGCATGGGACACGGACCATGCACACGGACTCAAAAATGTGCATAACCGGCAGAGATATTTATAGAAATAGAGATGCAGGTGTGAAGATGTTCGACAGAAGAGGGCGTTGAAGATGAAGAAGCAGTTTTACATTTATGACTATGGTCGAGGTGAGATGAGTAAGTATCGTATCCAACGCTCTGGGATTGTTAAGGCAGCCAAGTGTCAGGCATTGTGCGTCCTGTATCCTGCGTCACGTCATGCGAGGTGTGGACGGGATCGCCTGGCCAATCGACGGTCCCTGTTAACCGCCGACCCTGATAGGTGACAAGTACATAGTAACTTGTAATGGGCAGGACAGCGATGGAGACGAGTTCTAGAACAAGACTCGTCCACGAACACGTTGCGTCAGCCTTATTCCGTTTGCGTTGTCCAGGCAGAAGGTTAAACTAAGTACTACTAATAGTATGTATGGCAGACTGTTGCCCGAAATACGAGAAGGCAGTATCATAGATCAAGGAGCATGGCATTTAACATGAATAAGTTGACATTGCTTCGTTAGGATAAACAACCACCCGTTTTAAAGAGTAGACTACCGATTCAAAACATAAACGCCTGCTCCTAGGGATGAAAAAAGGGATATATTTGGATTTTTTCTTATTACTTTATTTTTTTTTGTTACAGCGACCAGATTAATACTCTAGTTGCCCATGGCACGGCGACGGTCACGCTCTTCCGCAATGGTGAGCTGGAACAATAGTTAGTATGTGGGTATTGATAAAGTTCATGGGAGAAGAAGAGAGTACGTACCTTAACACCCTTGCCCTTGGGCAAGCTGATCCAGGGCTTTTCCTGGCCGATGACGAAGACGTTGCTCTCGCGGGTAGCGAAAGTGTTGTCGATGGCATCCTTGATGTGGACAATGCCGAATCCACCCTCGTGACGCTCACGGTGGGTGATGACACCAACACGACCCATGTTACGACCACCGGTGGCCATGGCGATGACACCAGTGTCGAACTTGATGAAGTCAGTGATCTTGCCGGTGGCAATGTCAATCTTGACGGTGTCGTTGACACGGATGTTGGGGTCTGGGTAACGGATGCTAGAAAGGACCGTCAGCTAACGAAACAAGCCAGAGCAAAATGTTCATAATATATGAACAAGAGTCGTCGTGCTTGTTGGATGGAGAGGTAATGGGTGGACCACATCTCCCAAGATCCAACAAGACGATAACCATGGTATAATGGTATATACTCCCGTCATCCGTCTCGCAAACTTCAACTTCCATCTCCGTTCGCTCCACGCACGACAGGAATCAACCACACCTTGGTCCAACGACTGAATGATGCGTAAAACACAGAGGCCGGTCAAGACTCACGTTCTAGCATCGTGCGTAACCAAGAATGGGATTCCGCCCTTGCCCAGCTGGACACGCTTGACCTTGCCAAGCTTGTATTCGGCCTCCTCGGTCTGGATACGGTGGACGGTGAAGCGGCCCTTGGTATCGTAGATGAGGCGGAAGTTCTCGCCAGTCTTCTCGATGCTGATCACATCCATGAAACCGGCAGGGTAGGTAGAGTCGGTGCGGACCTTGCCGTCGACCTTGACGAGACGCTGCATGAGGATGGAGTTGGTCTCGCGGCCATTGAGGGCGTACTTTAGACTGTTCGGGGAAAAAGGTTAGGAAAACATCGCCAGAGAATCGAGTGAAGAAGCCAACGACGAACCGGTTACGGAGGAACACAATGAGAGGGAGACAGTCTCTCAGCTTGTGAGGACCAGGGGATGGGCGAGGAGCATAGGCTCCGGACAGTTTGTCCAACAGCCAGTGCGATGGTGCGCTCAAGCGCTTCTGGTGCTTCTTTCTGCCACGCCGTCAGCATTTCACATCAATTATATCCTGGATCATGTTATACGTACGGTCCACGGCCCATTTTGATGTATTTGTCGACGTTGGAGGTGAAGTTGTCGAGAAGTCGATGTTGCGTCGCTCGTCGCTGAAGGAAGAAAAAAACTGTCGATGAAGTTGAAAATGGAAAAGTTGTGGATTCGCGTGCCCTAGCCCTAAGTTTCTATTCGGGTTAGTGCAGCTTATGTAAGTATATGCTTAGTCATGCGACCTGTGGCCTGTTTCCCTTTTGGGCACTCGGTGTTATATCTCGATGTTTTATATATGCTACGGGATAGACTGAACAGAGTATAGAAGCGATGTCGTAAATTGAATTGCGGTGCGTATAAGTATATCCGAAATATGTGCTATTATATATCTGCATACAGACTGCCTTAGCAACGTTGAAGGACCAGAGCCAGCCCCGATCATATGTAATAACATCCAACGGACTGCGGTTGGCCTTCCTATATTATACCGTAGAAAAGTGATCACTTGGGTTGTGCCAGTGATCGAGGGTCAATTTCAAGTAGGGCTCATTTCTTCCCTTTCCTCTCCTCCTCTCCCGGGACTGCATCGAATATCTTCCCCGGGTTCATTAACCAGAGCGGGTCAAGGGACTGCTTGATGCTTCGCATGACGTTGAGTGTATCCATCCCAAGCTCTTTGACTAGATATTTCTTCTTTCCCATACCGACGCCGTGTTCGCCCTGTCTCTTGTCAGTTGGGGGTTTAGTTCATTATCGGGGTCAGCTTGACTAACCGTGCAAGATCCATCCATCTCCAGAGCACGGTCGACCATGTCGTGGACACACTTTTCAATCTTTGCTACTTCTGCCGGGTTCTTCCTGTTGTATACTATTCCTTCGTGGAAGTTGCCGTCTCCGATATGGCCGACTATACCAGCAAACAAGTCTAGCTCGTCCAAATCTTTTTTCGACAGTTCTAGACCCTGTTAGTATATTTATATCGTAGACTAAAGTCGGATGTAACCCTACCGATGATATCGGGAAGCCTAGAAAGCGGAACGGCGACATCAGTCGACCAGACGTCGTCTGATCCTTCTTTCCGGAGAGCCAGCATGCTCCAGAGTGTCTGCTTTCTAGCAGACCACAGTTCGTGGACCTCCTTTTCCGTCGTGGCGAATTCAAAGGAAGTGCTGTTGTTGTCACTTGCGATCGTCTTTGTCCGACTGATCGAATCTACCACTCCGTTGCGTGTACCTGAGAACTTGAAGAAGAGTGTGGTCGCGGGTTTCCAGGTCCTGTTAGTCCCGCCGGCTCTGTTGATGATATCCATATGGACGTCGTCCAAGATCTCGACACATTGGACCTGCACGCCCGAACGAATAACGGCCATGGCTGTATTGGCGGCATCTCTAATGGACGGGAACGTGGCGACTCCTACCCTGGTTTCCTCTGGCACGACAGCCAACTTGAGGGTGGCTTCTGTAACCAGTCCAAGGGTGCCCTCCGATCCAACGAAGATACCCGCGAGGTTATACCCTGCAGAGCTCTTTCGAGGACGGTTCCGCGTCTTTATCACCCGTCCATCAGCAAGGACGACAGTCAGGTTTATAACCCAGTCCTTCATGGTTCCGTAGCGGACAGCGTTGGTGCCGCTGCAGTTAGTGCCAATCATGCCGCCAATCTTGGCAGAGGGGCCAGGGTCGATGGGGAAAAAGAGGCCAGAGTGTTTGATCTGCTCGTTCAGCTCCATCCACTGGATCGACGGCTGGACGACGACGTCGAGGTCGTCTGTGTGTAGTTCTACGATCTTGTCCATATGGGCGAAGTCGATGCTCATGCCGCCGAATGGAGCAGAGAAGTTGCCCTCAAGGCTCGATCCGCCAGAGAAGGGCACCATGGGCACCCTGAACTTGTAGCAGACTTGTGCAATTCGAGATACATCAGCAGTCGATTTAGGATACGCTACAGCAACGGGGAGCTGGTCACAGTTGACCGTCGACCATTCGGAGTAGCCATGTACCCGTAGGTCCTCCTCGTCGGTGCTGATGGCGTCCTCGCCCAGTATCTCCCGTAGCTCTGAGATTGCCTGATCACGCAGCAGTCAGCTATTGCCTGCCATACACCATAGTCAGTCATACGGGAGAGACAGCACCTTTTCAAAGTCTCTGACAGACCCGTATACCGGGGAAACTTCATGGCTCAGCAATCCAAGAGAGGGAGACCCTGAGTTGTAAACACCAAGTGCGTACCCAGCCCCGATGGCAGCAGCAACAGAGCCAACGACATAGCTGGTCTTCCACAAGGAGCCCGCCGCCGCTCCCCCAGCGGCACTGCTGTTCCAGCGACGAGCTGTGCTCTGTCCGCCATAGCAACGTGGCTGCTTCAGCTGCTGGGGTCGTGTTATCGCCAGCCTCACTCCGCGAGGGAGCCCCTTGGCATACAGCCGGGACACGAAGTTCATAATGGATGTGTGAGTCTGGTGTTTTCTGCTACAGCGACTAGACGCATGAAGAACAGGACGGGGCAGGAAGACGGGCGACGATGTCTTATTTATCTGCAGCAGCTCGGACCCTCGAAGCCCTTCGTGGCATCGGCTATCTCGCTGGCAGCAAGAATGCCGACCCTTGCGGTTGGTTTTTCAACCCCGGAGCAAACCCGGAACCCCGTGCCAAGACATTCCAAGTCCAAAGCTTCCACAACTTAAATTATATGCTTAAAAACATGGTTATCTTTAGTTTATTTATTATGATGGGCAGTTGGATGGAGAGCAAGCAGTGTATATAGGTATATAGAGTGACGTGAAAAGGCAAGACGACATGATGTAGAGCCGGATATAGACAAAGATTCGTTAGATATCCCCCCAAGAGACCAAAAGATACATAGGAAAAGACAGGTTGGGAAAAAAAAAGAGGAGAGATCACTCGACGACGCCCTTGGTGACGCTAGGGGGTGACGAGTTTTTGGCTGAGGACGCCCTGGTCTCGATGTTGAGAAGGGTACTCTCCACTGCAGCCTGGATGTCAATGTGGAAGAAGGGTCTGTTGATGCAGTGCACATTTCCAACCCGTCTGGGCAAGGCGTTTGACCTTGGAACCGAGTCGATATGGGTGGAGACGCCCCTGCTCTTCTCGTCTTCATATTCGCCGTCGTCAGAGGACGGTACCTGGCCAATCTCCAGGTCGTCTGAGGGAGCTGTGGGGTTCGACGCGTTGGCTCGGTGGGATGCAGCTGACTTGTCATTTACGACCTCCTCCGCACCCACAGCAGCGACGCTGAAGATAGGTTTCCAGTTTCCTAACAGCTCAGGAGTCTTGGGAGACGGGTAGCCAAAGCCAGCAGAGGCAAGGGCGCGTTTTGTCCATCGGTTCGAGATGCAGGCGAAGTGCCATTCTACTATCTCGGGAGCGGCGTAGCGGTCGAGCTGGTTGCGGACGTCGATGAGGCCTTGGATGGAGGAGACGTCGACATGGTTAACGGATGAGAAGTCTAGAATGATGGCGCGGAGGATGGGGCGGTTGTCGTGAACGTCGATGGCCTCGCCACGTCGGGGGCCGGGGTCGTTCCATGGACGATCCTATCTGCATGTCAGCTTATCTGTGTGGTAAGGGGAGAGGAAAAGAGGGCTAGAACGTACCCCGAGCTTTGCGAAGGTGTCGAGCTGCGTGCGCCTGGTCACCTTGAAGATGTACTCAGTCAAGTTGTGGAGATAGCGACCCTCGTTAGGATAGGTAAAGCCTTCATTGAAACGGTAGATGAAGACACCAGGGTGAGGGGACTGGGCCTCGATCAATGGATTTGAGCCATCCTGGTGCTCGACGGGCAAGAAGGCATCTCTCGATGTCAGCTTGGTATCTTCACCAAACCTGTCACTCTTCTGGAGACTGCTGTCCTTGGTCACACGGTACACCTTGACTTGGCCCAGGAAAGTACCCTTTGCCTTGGCGATGCGATAGATCAACAGGGCTGCAGACGCCGCGATGGTGAGGTAGATACCGTTCTCGATCTCGGTGAAGATGGTGACGAGCGTACCTCCGAAGAAGATGAGCACCTCGAGCGGTGAGACTTCCCAGAACTGGTAGACAACGTTGGGAGGAGTGATCAGGTCGCCGACAGCATGGATGATCAGGCCAGATAAACTGGCCAGAGGGATGTAGTAGAAGACAGAAGTCAATGCATACAGGGCCAGCAGGACAATGACGGCAGTGAAGATACCGGCGAGAGGGGTGCGGACACCGGCCTTGGATTTAATGGCCGTTCGCGAGAAGGATCCAGTGGCGGGATAGGCGCCCAGGAAGGGGCCAAAGAGGTTGGTGAAGCCTATGGCCACTAGTTCTTGAGAAGGGTTGATAACATAATTGTTGATTCTTCCAAACGATTTGGAGATGGCGATGTGTTCGATGATGAGCACGATGATGGTTGCGGGCAGGTCGGGAGCGAAGGCCTTGACTAGTCTCCCATTGATCTCGGGAACACCGGCATGTTGGAAACCTGGACAAGGGAGTCAGCATCTACCACTTCTATTTGCGCGTTACTAGGCCAAACATACCTTTTGGAACGGTTCCGAGGATCTTGAACTTGGCCTTTTTATAGTCGGTGATGTTCCTGTTGACGAGCCAGCTGATCATGGTGTAGAGCAGGATGACGAAGGTCATTCTCAGGGTCGAGATGAAGAACCACATCTTGCGTCTGTTGGGCTGTCTCTCCGACATGTAATTGCAGAAGAATCGGATGATATAGAGCACGACCAAGGCACTCAGTCCCATGGCAGCATCAAGTCTGGTGTGTCCCAGGTTTTTCAAGACGTTTATGAAGACCTTGTACGTCGACTCTCGGCTGTTCACCTCCTTGAGGCCCATCATGGCCGGGATCTGCCCGACGGCGATGGAGATGGCAGCACCGGTCATGAAGGAGGTGATGGCGACCAGGGGGATGAACTCGACTATCCAGCCGAGCCTGGTGAGGCCAATGAAGAGCAGGACTCCGCCAGCGATGAGGGAGAGGGCCCTGGCGATTGTTGGTGCTGAGAAGTCGGGTTCCTTAGCCTGGACCTTGGTGACGATGTTGCCAACAATGGTAGACATGACAGCGACGGTCTGTATGGTCCATCAGCTAGGCTCAACAGGTGGCATTGAGACGAATACTTACACCGATAGTTATATCCTTCGAGGTGGCAAAGGCCCAGTAGAGGATGAAGCCGACAAAGGAGGTGTACAGTCCGTACTCTGGAGGCAGTCTGGCGAGCAGAGCATATGCCATGCCCTGGGGCACGACGACAAACCCGACAGTGACACCTGTGGATGTCAGTATTCTATCAAGTCTCTCTCTGGACAAGACAAGGACTGCTCACCAGCAATGATATCACCCATGAGCCATTGGGTGTTGTAATGGAAGATCCAATTCCAGAAAGGGAAGAGAGAATTGAAGTAGCTGGATGCTCCGGCAACGGTAGGTCTATGGTTCATCAACCACTCCTTCGCGGACGGTTCATCTTCATCGAAATGTTCCAATGACCGTATGGACTCTGCAGCTGTGCGCATCGACTCCTTGGGCTCCTGTCGATAGTCGACATCGATCCCTACCCCCTTGGCCAGGGTGCGGCCGAGCTTGCTGGCAGACATGGTGACTTCAATGGTATGTGAGAGAGAAACCGATGCTGCTGGCAGACAAGGACCTTCCAGAGGTACCTTATGGAGATATTTATATATCTGGTAGTAGCAGTAGATACCAGCTGGCTAACTCCTCTATATCTCTCACAGACGGTTGAAACCTTGGCGAGGAGCTGTCCATGTGGTTAGAGTCGTATCGACTGCGCTAACGGGGAGACCGGGATGAAGCAGAAACCGAGAAGAAGAAAAGAAGAGACAGAGATGAATCTTCTCTCGTCCCCATCGTTAGAGTCGTGAGAAGGTGTGAAAAGAAGAGGCTGACCCCTGTCGACGTCATACATGGTCGCCCTGTCGTCAACTTCCCGGCGCAAAAAAGCTAAACGATCAGACATGGAAAGGGAAAACCTTGAGTTCAGACCATCGATCTTCGTCCGGGGAGCTTTCCACTATATTTCCGACAGCGAGCCATGCAGGCCTATTACTCCGTACTAAGTATATACATACTTAGTTAGTGTGAGTAGCAGCTGTGGCTTTCTCGTTTCTTTTTGTCATATATATTCTCGTGTGGAGATTGGAACGGGTTCTCGAGCAGCGCTTCCTTCGCACCGAACCTAGGGACGGTCATATGAAAGTGTGACGGAGCAACATCCTTCGAACAGAGCCAGGGGAGTCGTAGAGATTCGCGGTGTGTATGTAACAGCGACCAGCTCGACTCTCAAAACACAGTCTGACATATATACTCTCCGTCTAAAAGCGCGCAAAGACAACCGTATCATGTTGGAGATACGCCACCGGGGAAAGAAGAAGCCTTGGGGAAAATTAGACGAGAAGCCTTGGAATGTCTTGTTCTGTCTTGTCTTCTGTCTGGTCTGTCTGGCTGGCTCGGTGGCTGCGATGTCGTGATTCCAGTTGCTCAGGCAAGGTGGGCCATAGAGTTGGCCAAGTCGTTCCCTTATCTTTTAGCCACTCTTATAACCAGCTGTACGTATGTATAAATATACAGTGTTAAGACACCTCCCTTCATAGAGCATCCCTGCTGGCCGTTCCGGGGAACTTCGGCTGTCCTTTCGCTTTTTATAGACCACAGTATGGACACGGAACGGGTTGGGAAGATTGCGATAAGTGGACGGTAGCCGGTGCCTTGGCTGCAACCTGAAGGGGAGTCCATAATAATATATAAGACGTCTTGTTTAGGCATCCCTGGAGACTAAGGGATAGCCACCCGAGAGGTGTAGCTTGAGACACGAGGCGTATGCCGCATCTGCATGCTGCCTCCACGATGTCGATGGAGTCCACAGGACCAGCCATGCGAGTATCTCGGGACCCAAAACAGCGGTGGAACACGCTGTGAATGTGTATATGCTTTTTTTGCTCTTCTTCTACAAGAGCGTATCACTCATAAGAATCGTCCCAAGAGGCGGCCAAGAAAGACAGTTAGATTAATCTTGCCCTGTCCTCTCTGTCCTCTCCTCTTCTTCGTTTTCTTATTATCGTGATCATCGTCGACAAGTCACACGGGCTTGCCCATCATTCTCGTCCTCGACAGCCATTAACTCCTTTAGAGATTCGTAGAATAGGCTGAGGTATATTTTTGGTATATACGAAGCGCCATGAAGCTTCATCCCTGGCCCATCCCGAGACCCCGGGGCGAGTCCGAACACATAGTTAGACCACCATGCTGGATGCTAAAAAGAAGGGTGTACTGAGTGTAATACAACCCCAGAAAACTCCCGCTTGGCCCGTTAGACGCTAGAGATATTAGCTATCTGGCTCTGTCCTGGCGGGCTTCATATTGGCTCATACGGCTCGACTAGCGGACGCTACTTCGCGAGCCTTCAAGCCGTCCAAGGCGCTGCCCAGCATCGGCGCAGATGAAGTGACGCTCACGGCATCGGGCATCGGTAGACATGGGCCTGTTTCTCCTTCTCGGGAAGACCAAGGTCGGGACGGAGTTTTGGCAGTGTTCATCTAGTTGTTAGATGTATACGCTTGTATGTTATACATCGTTCTGGTCGCTGCTTGGGGGCCTCACACATCCTTGCTGTGGGACACGAAGAGAAGCGATAGTCTGATGCATGGCCTTCCCCACTGCCATGCCCAACGAGATGGATGGGAAGAACCGATCATCTCAGAGTCAGCATCATCTTGTGAAGTTTGGTGTCGTTGGTTGTCGTCCAGAGATGGTGAGCGGGCTGTTTGCTAGATATATATTTCTCTCTCCTCGTTTCTTTTGGCATCAACCAGGGGTTTAGACGCGCTGCATGGTCGTCTCGGGCGATAAATAGTAGTTATACGGGGTGTTCTCCCGGCCGAACGAGCCTGGGTTCTTTATATATATACGACTTCTATCTAGATGTTCAAAGTCGTTTGATGTCGATGTTGACTGCAACTTTTGGCAGCGATGCTAGATCCTCCCTCGAAGACAACAACACACTTTTGCGCCTTCATGGGGCCCTGCTTGGCTCGTCGTTAGGCTTCTGGGGCAAAGAAGCGAACAAGATCATGGCTGGAGACTCTTTTCTTGCCTGGAGCTTCTTTGCTTTTTCAAGGCTTGCTGAGTGGTTTTAGTCTGAAGGAATGTGGATGGCAGACTGAGAATAAAAGAAGAATATTAATCAATTTGATTGGATTAAATATTATACACCAGGCACACGATCATATTATCCGCATATTAGAGTCTAGAAGAAGCGATGGGTCAATCGCTTGAGGAAGGACGCCTGTTTGATGAGCTCCATGCGGCGGTTGTGCTCTTCCCAGTCAATCTCTCGGCGGCCGGTGTCGATATCGATGTCCTCGATCTTCGTCCAGCCCTCACGCTTCCATAGCCAGCCGCAGAACCAGAAGAAGAGGACGACGGGGAGGGCAAGGTAGGACTTGAAGAAGCCTTCCGCCGAGGCCTCGCCCTTGAGTGGAGACACTGCAATATAGAACTGTTCAGGGGTCAGTTAGTACCTGATACAAATAAACTTGTATATGAACAAGCAAAAGACAAAAAACATACCTGAGCGATGAAAACTATAAAGATGATGATCAAACCGAGATATGACCCATACACTCCAAAGTACGACTTGAAGGGTATCTCGTCCAGGGAGCGACCGTGGAGAGCCCACGCAGCTCGGAAGCGAATGTGTGAATAGCATATCTACTCCTGTCAGCCAAACTCGCCTATTGAGAAAAAAAAAAAGGTGATACTCAAACAGAGTATCCGGGGATTCAACTCACACTTCCCCAGGTGAAAAGGGCAGTCAAGCCAGAAAGGGCTTGGAGCCAATCAAAGATAACTGGCCCCTTTCCAGAAACATTCACGTATGCTAGGCCACCAAAGACGATGACCAGGATGGTCGAGAAAAGAGGCCTGCCCGCCTTGTCGACGTATGAGAAGATACGGGGGGCATACCCGTGTTCAGAGATGGCTGTCAGAGTTCGAGAGCCGGCATAAACCGCAGAGTTTCCGATGGAGAGGACTGAAATAAGGATAATGACATTAATGAAGCTATCGAAGCCCCTAAGTCCTGCATCCTTAGCGGCGATTACAAAGGGAGATGCGTTGGAATCTGTGTAGGTGTTGGCGCCAAGTAGTCGTTTATCATCGCTCCGTACCAATATGCCAATGAAGAAGAGGCCCAGGATATAGAAGAGGATGATTCGCCAGAAGACTTGCTTGATGGCGGATGGGAGTGACTTCAGAGGCGTCTTGCTTTCCGCTGCCGCCAGCCCAACTAGCTCCGTGCCAAAGAAGGCAAAGGCAGCAGTGACAAAGACGGAACAGAATCCTATTCCTCAGTCAGTTATCTACACAGGACTCGTGAGGTAGACTGGAGACATACCCTTGAAACCGTTGCGGAAAGCCCCAGGGTCATACCATAGCCTGGCTCCCCAGTACTCCCCATACAGACCGTCCTTTGGACCTCCGCCACAAGTCAGTACAATGGCGGTTATCATGAAAATGACGATGGAGGTCAATTTGATTGCACTGGCCCAGAATTCTTCCTCCCCGTATCCAAGCACCCCGAAGATGTTTATGATGATGATGGCAACCAAGAAAACCGTTATCCACACCGCAACACTAATATTGACCTTCCAGTACGTTATCGTCAGGGATGTCACTGTCAGCTCAAGCGGGAGGACCACCAGCCACTGGAAAACATAGTTCCAGCCCATGGCGAAGCCCCATGCGGGCGAGATGAAGCGGGCAGAGTAGGTATAAAATCCACCAGAGACAGGGAAAAGAATGGCCAGCTCGCCGAGCGCATACACGACATTGAACATCATCTATTTATACCAACGTTAGCACTCTCTAAAAGTTGGGCTATGGACCGGGGATAAATTTATACATACTATACCAATGATCGCAAAGTCGATGACCAGCGATGCTGGACCACCCTTGGCCAGCGCAGAGCCAGAACCAACAAACAGGCCGGCACCTATACTTCCGCCAATTGCAATCATATGCAAATGTCGTGATTTCAGGGTCTGGTTGAGCTGGTTTCCCCCAGTCACTCGCCGCCTCTTGAATGACTCTGGCGTACATCCCAGCCGTGTCCAGAAACCGAGCTCTTCTCCCTTCTCCTCTACCGCCATATCGGAGTCAGAGGAAGTGAAGGGCGGCAACCCCGGGCCAGTTTCCTCCATGGAAACGCCCTCCGTCTTTTCTGTGGCCATACTAAGGTTGTATTTATATCAGTGGCCGGTTTAGTGATGAAGGGACAGGACCAAGCAGTTGCCTAATGGTCAACTGGTCGACTTTCCTAGAAGATAGGAAAATGATTTCGAGAAGAGGGGAGAACTAAAATTTTGACTGTCTGTGGGGAGGGAACCAGAGACCTTTTTAAATTCGCCTCTGGAGCTTGCTCTGTACCCGCACCCGGACGAGCGCTCACGAGGAATATGGGGAGGTACCATGTACCGCTCGCCCGGACAGACAAACCCCAGGAATGCAACGCACTGTCTCTACCTTACCACTCGGGCACATAGCTTGTGGGGTTGGGAGATTCCAAACACATCTCTTCTAGACCTCTCACCCTGAGATATGTACATACGTCACTGGAAGCTATTTCCTGGTAGTTTTCTCCCATAGCTCATCTAGCTTTCCTCTAGGACCCAGACTGCCGCTTTTCACTCTGCGTTCAATCTTCTTGATGCCTTCCTTCCTCGAGGGCAACTTGATACGCCCTGTGAATCATGGGAATCATCTGTTCCAGCTTTTTGCGCCTTGGAATTGTTCGATTTAATCCGAGGATAGAATCGATTGAAAAACTCTATTTCCTTCTAGAAAACTTTAAGGCTCCTCGAACGTTTTTTTCCAATGCTTTCCTCTTCGGGAAGTCAAGTGTAGTATGTTCATGTTCATTTGTATTGTTCTAGCGCGCTGGAATATGTTTAGCATACATACTGTCTCTTCTTCAGATGAAGATGTAACTCACTGGCCGGAAGATGTCAATCAGTGAAAGAGCAGTGAGTGTCTTTTGATATTCTTGGCAAGTGTTCGGACTTCATCAACACGGCGAGGTCTGTCTGGAGTAGATATTCGGAAAGTGATCTTGGTATAGGTTGGACAACCGAGAAAAGCAATTCTCACGACCTTCCTGCCATGAATTGTTGATATAATCCAGTAATCCCACAGAGTAGTATTTGGCATGTCCCGCCCTATCACCGTCCACTATTTTCGTATGTAAGAATCATACCATACTATGTATGAGTCCAAATATCATGTCTGAAGGGATACTGCCGGCTATCTTGAAGGGCGGAAAATTGCTCCACCCACCAAGAAGGTTTAACTAGTATTGGTGGTTCAACCAACGATCTGTTGTGTATTTGCTGCACCTGTCATCGAAGCGTCAACTGCGAGATGCCATTGGCTTGCCACGTCCGAAAAAAGTAACAATTGCTATGGGTAGTACACATATTTTTCTCTCATTTTTTGGCATCACTCAACTCGTTTGCCCTGACTCTCACGGATCACACCCGCTCCTCTATTAGCGCTGTCAGGGGTAGAGAGTCCAGGGCCCTTCTCAAACTATACCCTGTACTCCATCCAGGTCCGTCTTGGATATTTGTGAGGCAGCGAGTCCTCGAAGGTCCTTAAGCTAGGTGTTGGCCCTCTTCGATACAGAATTGACTTGCAGCTGAATGGTAACATAGGTAGTCAACAAAGTATCCTCTCCATTCATCGATCTGCTGGGGAGCATTTGCGCATTTTTCAGAGCTTGAGATACGAGCTGGTGCAGGCCCCTTGATATCAACATGGACACCCATGCATTAGACCAACACGGAATGGTGCTTCTGCATCATGAACCCCTCCTTCTCCCGCTCCCCCGACGCCATTATTGAACGCCCTTGCTTTTTGTATATTTTCACTGCACCCCTCCGTTTCATCGTTGAAGAAACGTTTTGCTTGTCCTCAGATTGACAGGCGTCTTGGCACCTTTCATGTTGTTTGCCACAAAAGTGCTCTTTTCTTCTTTCTTCCGTGTCTTTGGGCGGTTATTCGATATGAAACGGCAAGTGGCATAAGATAAACGCGGCCCCCCTTTGTCTTTCCGAAATCCAAAATTTAATTAACTGGGCCATTTCTGCAGAAATTTTCTTCGTTGGCTGGAAGAGAGAAAAGACACGGTACTTTCCACCAGTAGCTTTTGATACCGTGAATAAAAAGCAATTTGGTGAATTTGATATATGATAATGTTTGCCCGGCTACTGAAATAATAGTCCAAATAAGCCTTGCCTGCTGGAACGATGGGTCTTGGGCTTGCATCTCTTTCCACCGGACTGGACACATCTCAATAAGACTTTCTCTGGCATTGGACACGTCTCTATCCGCTAGAACCTGGCTGCTGAAAGCAGTTTTATTGTATTAATACTGGCCGAAATCGAAGGAATCTTTGTCCCGGATTGGAGCCAACCTCAACAAAGCGCACAGGGTCTGCTGTTGGTTTCGTGGACGTGTAGGGAAGTTGCTTTTTCTGTCAAGCAAAGAGAGACAAGTTTATAAAATATCCCAAGCGCTTCGTTCGCTCTGTTTTCCCTCTCGGCCAGAGTTAGACACCACGTTCAGCCTGTATCAGAGACTCAGCCGGTAGCTATATGGACGCCGCGCAGAGCGTATAAGACTTGACCTCTGGGATTGATTTGAAGAGCTGCTAGTGAAGATGGCCAAGAATACTGTAAGGCGATTTTTTTTTCTCTTTATCGCTTTTGCTTTGATATATATGTATGCAGTATATATGTTTGGTGTCAGTTGTTCAGTTTACCAGTCTAAGCAAAAGGACAAGGTAGCTGGCTTCTCACCTTCTGCTCCCCCTTCTCGCCTGGTCTACTTGACATGCTGGCTCTATCTGTTCACTCTGGAATCATTGCTCGATAGGCTAATATCAACTTTTGTAACCATGTAGCCCGCCGTGGCGGCCGCCGCAGAAGGGCCAACTGAGGTCCAGGTGAAGAAAAAGCCCTCAAAGCAGCCAAAGCCCAAGGGCAAAAAGAAGGCCCAGGTGAAGGCGGATACAGCGCCATCGAAGGTGACAAAACCAGCTGAGGTGAAGACGTCTAAAAGGCAGAAGAAGAAGAAGAAGTGGAAGTCGTCTGCCACTACATCAGAAACTACTACATCAGAGACTACATCAACACAAACTACATCAACACAAACCACTACTACAGAAACTACAACAACGTCGGATGCTCTACAGGACACAGACGACGCCGACGACAAACACGAAGCTGGCTCTTCCAAGCAGCCAGGCAAACGACGTAAGCCTGCTACATTTCGCCAAAGGATGAGCTATTTTGCCAGAGTAAAGTAAGTATACTACCCTTTGTCAAATGCCAAACAACAATCGTTCATATTATATGCCTTCACTATCTAACAGCCTATCACTCACTAGACGTTCACCAACCGGCCGAAATGCTCAGATGAACCGTTCAGGGCCTAATGGACGTTCCTCAGGCGCTTTTCCTCCTGGAATATACGCCGAAAGCCCAAAGGGATCGGCTTCAGCCATGCTCGAACGCGTTAAGCCTTCGCATCTAGCACCCCATTGGATCTCGTGGGAGTCTCTGGCGCTGACAGTTTCGAAATTACCTACGGATGTGAATACTTACACCGTTTGGAAGTCGTTCAGTGCCTGTGGGACCGTAGACTTTGTCGAACTGTTTGAAAACGCCAAAGGAAACAGAGTAGGGAGGGCGCGGATTCGCTTCAGGTCAGTCTCAACATCATTGGGTGATTGTGCCTGTTGCATGTACAAAGCTAACACTCTAAAGACCGCCGCCAAAGGAATCTTTCTGGATGGACGGGCAACACGTATTGGAACTAGACGATGGCCAGCGTATCGTCATCTTAGTTCGCGTTGAGACTTTCAGACGGAAAAGGGAGGTCCCTAGCCCAGTGGACCCGAAGATCATGTATCCTTTGACTGCCGTCAGTGGTTTAACTCTCCCGTCCAAACAAAAAACCCCAGAGCTAACAAAATATGAATAGGAAGCTGTGGGTAGATCCTTAGACGTCGGCTGCCGTTTTGGAGAACAGTCCATGGTCATAATGAGAACAATCAATGCCAGTTTTCAAGACTATGTTCGCTTCGTTACAGACTTATACCGTCGGGAAATAAATATCTATTTTCAAATGGTGAAGATGGAATCAAGCTTGGCCGACGATGCACCGCAGATCATTCACAGTTACCGAATTCGTGTTCCCTTTGCCCATCTATCACATATCAAACGTACATCCGATGGCGAAGAGATATCTTTCATCTTCTCATTAGACTATCCGCCTTCATATTACCGGAAATTACAAGATCCGTCGACAACTTTTTCAGATTCCGACAACATGTGGCGTTCGGATGACACTTGGTACCGCCAAACTGATATTGTCCACAACCCCCAGGACTTGGTTCATTCTAAAACCAGCCTTAAAAAGGCTCATCCAATCATCAACATAGGTTCGTAACTAATGTCCAATTATTAACCTTTTACACCTCCAATGCTAACAAAGACTTTATAGGGCGCTGGACTACCTTCAGACTTACTTTCCATCTAACGGACGAGAATAATACCCAGAATCTGGAAACGCTTAGCAAGATCTTAAGAGATTTTAATATCGAAATTCTAGACGCCCCTGACTTCGAGATAACGAAACAGCCTCCCACAGCTGATATTGCGTGGCGATGGATTGATCCTCCCACTCATGCATCCAAATGGACTTCACCGCTAGAGGATCTCGCAGATAATGAATACAAGCATATCTCATATACCGTACGATACCAGCTCGAAGTATGTATTTCTCATGGGCTCCTGAGCGAATATACAATCACCAAGGAGTTTGCCGAGCGTCTCCAATCTCTTGGGGAAGATGATGCTAGGGATTTGCTAGAACATGTTTCTCGAGAAAAGGCTGTGTATCACGACCCAATGAAGATATTTGACATTGAGTTCTTCTCAGGAGTCACCGGACGGAAAATCCCAAAGAATTGCTGTTATATGCGATCCGCAACAGTGACGCCCTCCACGATCTATTTTCACACCCCTACCGTCGATACCTCTAACCGTGTTTTAAGATACTATATTGAGCATGCAGACCGATTCCTCCGTGTTCGATTCGCAGATGAGAAGTATGAAGGGAGAATCAATTCCAGCTACAACAATTGCATGGATGAACTGTTTACACGTGTGAAGCGGACGATGACCAATGGGATTACTGTTGGAGATAGGCACTATGAATTCCTCGCATTTGGAAACTCTCAATTCAGAGAACATGGCGCATATTTTTTCGCGTCGTTGCCCACTCTTACTGCCGCCAACATTCGTGCATGGATGGGCCATTTCAGTGATATCAAAATTGTTGCAAAGCACGCCGCTCGTTTAGGCCAGTGTTTCTCAGCAACCAAGGCGGTTACTGGTTGCCCAGTAATCGTCCAAGAAATCGATGAGATTGAGCGCAACGGGTACATATTCTCTGATGGCGTCGGCCGCATATCTAATTTCCTGGCACAAATGATTAGGACGGAGTTAAACATACAGACCCCCTCTGACGAACCTCCGTCTGTGTTTCAGTTCCGACTTGGTGGTTGTAAAGGAATTCTTACGGTCTCACCCGAGGCTCAGCATCGAGAAGTTCATATCAGGAAGAGCCAGTACAAATTTGCAGCAGTTCACAATGGTCTTGAGGTGATTAGACATTCTAAATTCGCGGGAGCGCATCTTAACCGTCAGCTCATTATGGTTTTATCCGCACTAGGAGTGACCGATGAGATTTTTCTCAAAAAGCTGCATTTGGTACTCGAAGATATGCAAGATGCAATGACCAATGAATCAAAGGCAATAACTTTACTTCAAAAGCGTGTTGACCCTAATCAAATGACCTTTTTACTCGCACATATGGTTAATGATGGGTTCCAGGCTTCCTGTGAGCCTTTCGTCAAATCGTTATTGGAATTGTGGCGCGCATGGGATATCAAATACTTGAAAGAGAAGGCAAAGATTCACATAGAAAAAGGAGCATGCTTACTCGGTTGTATCGACGAGACCGCAACATTGAAAGGCTACTATGAGAAGGAGCGGCCTGCCTCCGATGCCACAATTGAGGAGAGACTAGACAATCTCCCAGAAATTTTTGTCCAGGTGTTCGATACTGAAGAGGAGACGAAGTATAAAATAATCGAAGGTCCGTGTATCCTGGCGAGGAATCCATCACTGCATCCAGGAGATATACGTGTGGTCAGAGCTGTCAACGTCCCGGCGCTTCATCACCTAAAAGACGTTATTGTATTCCCACAAACAGGGGATCGGGACGTCTCAAGCACATGTTCGGGCGGTGATCTAGACGGCGACGACTACATCGTTATCTGGGATCCTGATCTTATTCCACTACCAAAAGATTGGTTCTGTGAACCGATGGACTATACCGCATCTAACGCTCAAAGCCTGACCCGTGATGTTACTGTAAATGACATTACATCATTTTTCGTGACCTATATGAAGAATGATCACCTACCACAGATAGCACATTCGCACCTGGCCTTTGCAGACTATGTGGAAGACGGAGTCAATGATGAAAGATGCATGCAACTGGCCCAACTGCACTCTGCTGCAGTTGACTATAACAAAACCGGAATCCCAGCTAATATGTCAAGAGACTTGATTCCAAGAAAATGGCCACATTTCATGGAAAAGAATCATAAACCCAAAGAGGCGCAATATTACTCTAGGAAGATTCTCGGTCAAATATATGACATTGTTGAGCGCGTTGAATTCCGGCCGAAGCTGGAAGCTCCGTTTGACAAGCGTATCCTTAATTCCCACATCCCTGTCAGTGACGACTTGATACAAATTGCAAAGAAGATGAAAGTTCTCTATGACGCTGATATGCGTAGGATCATGGCACAGCATGAAGTCAAAACCGAGTTTGAGGTTTGGTCTACCTTTGCCCTAGGACACGCGAATATGACCAAGGACTATAGGTTCCACGAAGAGCTGGGCCAAATCTCGTCTGGACTACGTAATCGTTTTTTGATGATGTGCCATGACGAGGCTGGTGGGCATGATTTCCAACATCTTGCGCCTTTGGCAATCGCAATGTATAGAGTGACGGCCGAAGAAGTGGCAGAGGCTCTAAGAGAAGAGAAAATCTCCAAAGAATCTGGCGGCAGTGCTGGCCCCCGAAAGGAACGTAAATACCCCGGAGATGAGCAATTGCCGCTTATCAGCTTTCCATGGGTGCTCCAGCCCGTTCTTGGAAAAGTTGCCAACGGACACTTTGATAATAGAGGAATGATGGGCGGCGCAAGCAAATTAGCAACGTGGTCATCAGCAGCCTATGAACAATCAAAAATTCGACGAGCCAATGGTGTTTGTGATGGTCCCCATGATATTGAAACAGCCGGCGGTATTCAGCATGCAGGAGAAGTGCTTGAGCTCTTCCAGGAGAACTTGTGTTTTGATCCCTTCGAGGGACTTGGAGATGCCTTCGACCAACCAGCTAGCCCTGATAACAAGCAAGTTGCCGAACAAGTTGATGAGCAGAAAACTAGCACAGAACCTGAGGGAATAACTCCGCTATTGGACGAGCAACACTCCGATAGCTTGATTGAGTTGGACGATGAGATATTCACCCCTGTGACGACATATACCATACAATCAACTAGCGGACGAGGATCTGTCCCGATCGAAGAGCAATCGAGCTTGCTGGACCTCAGTGACGATAACATTCAAGTCTGGTTCCCGAAACATGACAGCGCAGAACCGAAGCTTCAGACCACACTCTTAGAGCTAGATGATGACCAAGAAAACCAGCCTCCCCCAGAGAAAGATAACCTGGTACCTTTATTGCCTTTATTCCTTGACGCCTTGCCAGAGGTAGACCAGACGATCAAAGATGAAGAAATAGAGATGATGGAAGAGGATGATGTGGACCAGTCTGTGGTGAAACAGCTAGAGACGCTCCTTAACCTCTAAGCTAGAAACTTGAATCCTAGTGGTTTACGGCATTCCGAACTTGTGGCTGCGTAGCGTTTTTATGTTTTATGGGACCAAAGCTAACGATCCGCAGAATACGACGGTGCATTTCCCTTGATACCCTGCTCTTTCAACTAAATATTAAATATTAAGCAGCTAGTCCAACCCAAGTCTAAATTAACTATTCTAGTCACCCAATAATGCTTCAATCCTAAACTTCTATATTTTACTCACAGGAGCCTATCCATATTGTGCCTCTACCGTATTAATTTTCTCTAATGGCATAATTGTCATAGTACAGAGTAGTAACCATACGAATTGGTAATAATATTGCTCGGTGGACTGGGTGACCGCGATCTTATCTGATCCGATTAGGAGGCAACGTTAAAAGCTTAAAGAGGCAATTCTTCGCCTCGTCGTTCTTATTTAGAGCCCTTCGACATTATACATCTTCCTGCACTCTCGCCGTTCAACGGTTCACCACAGTGAGATACTCTTGTCTATCTTTTGGGTAGTACATATCCAGCTGGGCCAGAGACATGTCGACGCCAACGGCACCCTTGTTGGCGCCATACACTGCCCCGCCACTCCACCAGTCTCTACACCTCATAACGTCAGTTCTAGGGTCAACGAGCAATTGGCTCGTGTTGAGGTGCCTCTGTGACACACTACAGGTATCTTCTCTACGAAGAGGGAATATCGATGGCCTGGAACGTGGCGTTGGATTCGAGGGAGACGATACTGAGAGGAGAGCGTCTGCAAACCGGAAAGTGGTGCTTGTCAGCTTCCTACGTGGCTGGGAATTCTGGAGGGCAGAAGCAAGGAGGGTGGTATGGTTTAAGAGAGCCCTTTAAATACTCTATTACATTGCACCAGACCATACTGATTTATCTTTTAGGGCCTCGATTTGAATAAATTATCCAAGGAGGGGAGATTCTCGTTTGTCGATGGAGTCACCAAGCTCTTCGCCCCCATTCCGTCACAAGCACCGAAGCCTGTAGTACCAGGAGGGGCTTTGGCTCCCGCAGCTCATGCACGAAGGAGCTCTGTATCATCACCTTCTTTCCCATTACCTGATAGAACTCCTCCAAGCCCATCACGGACTGCCCGTGCCTCCAGGCCTGGACCTATATCTCTTTCTGGACGGGCCAATCCATTACTTGCTCGCCCAGCGCCTCCTACACCTCCCATTTCTACTGCATCTCCTTCAACGTTTGCTTCACAAGATACACCCGCCAGTGGTGGCAATCATCAGAATCTGAATATAAGGACGCTTCGCTGGGCGCCGACAGCAGGAAATAATGGTGGCATGGACGGAGTGGAGAAGGTTATTACGTCTGCAATAGATGACATTCGTAAAGAGCAGGCAAACGGTGATAAAACTGAACAGGGGGGAGACAATGGCGTGCTTCTTGTCCTTGATCAGCCGGATTTTCTGCTTGCTGCAACAGGCTCCAGTATGCGTGTTGGTGCTACTGAGATGGGTGAACTGATTATGGGACTGAGACGTGTATGTTGTCTTATTTCAGTTTATTTTATGTGGTGGTTAAGCCTAACTTGGGGTATGCGCAGCTCGTCCATTCTACGATAATTACTGTGGCGGCTGACTCGCCACTTATGCACGGCGGCCAACAACCTACGCCATTAGAGATAGAGCATTCAGCGTTAGTAGTGTCTCTTGCCCATCAATCGCAGATGGTTATGCAGTTGAGAGGGCTGGACACTGGTGTGGCGAGAGATGTGAGTGGAGTGTTGCGAGTGAGCAAAGGGGGAGCATTAGCGGATACAGATACCCTTAAGAATGAGGAGGGCGGAGATTGGGAAGAGAGAGAGGTTCTGTATTTTGTTCAAAGCGACGGATCAGTGAAGGTCTTCGGGCGCGGTGAATAGAATATTTCAAATATACCCCTAGGAGAGTGATATAACATGATTTTGAGATCCGTATTCATGGGCATCTACAACATTAGGGTGGCTTTCAAACTTCAACAGCCATGAAGATGACTGTAAAGCCAAGGCTTCGTTATTCTGTCGACAGGGGATCGATGAGGGTCTAAAAAAGAAGAGAAGTCCCATGTGAACACGCCATTTCACTTTCCGTAGTTTGCTCGAGTCCATGAAATCCGTTAATTTTTGTTATATTATGTTTGGGTATGACACAGAGAAGTTATTTTCTTTCTAACTCCCATTCAACACACATAATAAAATGTCAAGTGGTGTCATCATTCAAAACAAGTCCCATTCCGCTCGCAGGATACCCTTTTGTAATAAAAGTGGGTTTCACCACATCTTCATCGAACTCCGAAGGAAAGAGAGGGGGGGATATAAAGGAGGGTTGAAATTGTCTATGCCTTCTCTGGGCCCCGGGCACCCTTGGGAGCACCGGTCTGGAATCCGTTCTTGAACTTGCGGTCGACAGACTTGAGGTAACGCATACGGCCGGTACCCGTGGTTCTTCGTCGAAGGGCCTTTTGACTCCAGTTATCTGAATAGTAAAATCGTCAAATAAGCACTTGCTCGTCCGCACTTGTTTCTCCCGCCCGAGCCCCAACATATTTTCTAGCTCAAGGGGGAGGGATGTATAATATCACGTACATTTGCGCATCTTGGCAGCTGGGTAACCGCACGAAGCGCATGTGTGCTTCTGGATGTGGAGGGATCGCAGGCCTATAAATTACATCTGTTGTCAGATTCCTGTGCCCCCATCATCGCCCTTCCAACGTCCCATCCGATGGTGGTAGGTTCGGCGCTTCAGCTGCATCATATATATCGGGATAAAACTAACCGCACCGTCTGCACAGAGTGTGCGACTTGTTGTGGCGCTTTCCGAAGCTGGAGGTTCCCTTAGCTGTTCGAATAAATCAGTATGATAATTCGTCGTCATCCTGTCGTTTCTCTTATCCAAAGATTCGGGATAGAGGAAGTCGTACTCATCTTGAATCAGGAACTGCAAAGCCGGTAAATATGTCAGCAAACTGTCACCTCGCTGAGACGAAGAGACGAAACAGCAGCAGGAATTTCCTTACCTTCAAATGGTGCGTCTGGAAGCTCTGATATTGTCGTCGTCGCTGGTTTGAGATTGAAGTTCCGCTTTGAAGATTCGACTAAGCGAATTTTTTGTGTGAGGGTTTAAGCCCTGTCACGTGCTCGATTAGTAAGACGCCTCTCGGAGAGGGCTAAAGTATTTTCCGATATATTATGTAATCACTACATATAAAAGGAGATTCAAGAGGCATGGAAAGTGACATTCGCTCAAACGCTAGCAATAAAAGTACAGAATATAGAAACAATGCATCCAGGTCTTATGAGAGTAGTTCATCCTTGCCGAGGAAAGCAGCCATGGGATCTGCTGCTGCGGTTCGAGCTTTCTTGTACGCTTCAAGCTCCTCTTCTGTGACGCCCAGTTCAAGCTCATGGCGGCTGCGTTTCTTTTGTGAGTTGGTAACAGGCTTAATGTGGCTCTCCTCCGTATTCTTCTCCTTTTCTGCATCATCTGGAGGAGCTTGATTACCGTCGTCATCTCCCGCTTCTATTTGGAGCATATTCTGAGCCTGCTCAAACGCTTCTATCCCCTCTTTCCCGGTACAATAGCTGTTCTTCACAGTGGAATGGCAGCAGGCATAGCCCCAGTTGAAATTGGACCACCAACTGCCCCAGACAGTGGTATGGTTGTTTATGAGAACATTCTCTGCATATTTTGATTTAGCAGCGGGCTTGGGTTCCCCCTTGATTGCTCCCGTTTCATCGTATTCAACAAATCTTTCGTTTTCAATGACCGCCATATCTCGTAGCGGGCCGGCCTGCAGGTGTTCTCCGCCACCATACTTTTCCAGTAAAGCTTTCTTGTCCGCAACCTTTTTAGCGTCCATTTCAGCTTTATGCTTTTTCCTGTAGTACTCCCCGGAAGTAGGGTTGGCCTGTAGATGTTGTCTGTTGGCGTCGCCCCGCTCTTGTGTTTCCCAGGCATACCTTTGCGCCTTTTCAAACTCTTGAGCGTCACCTGAAGCTCGCATAAAGTTCTCTTCCGCGACCAGCGCGGCAGCTTGATCTGACTGTGCACCCATATCTACCATAGATCGAGTCTTCGGGTCGTACTTCGCAGAGTCGAGGTCCAAGTTAAGTAGATACTTTGCTGTGTCTTCTCGTATTCGTAGATTTCGAGTGCCTTTGCCCTGTTGCCGTCCCATCTCTGATTCTTCCGCATATCTAGCTTCTGCTGTGCCGTCACCGTCGCCGTCTTCACCATCATTATCTCCCTCCATTGCTTTTCGCTCTGATACAGCATCATCTTTGGCTTTTTTCTTCAGTGCCTCCAGTTCTTCATATTCCTCAACAACACTCTGATATTCTTTTGCATCGTAGCCATTCCACCGGTCTCTTTTTGCATCCCAGCCCAGCTCTACCTTTTGTATATGTTCGTCTGCTTGGATGTCTTTGCCGGTCCATCTCGCGCCATACTTCCTCGGCCTGCTCAGGCACTCTTTGGTCTTATGTGTCATCGAGCCGCAGTTTTCACAAGCGCCTTTTCGGTACTTGGTGGCCGCTGGGCCAACGCGCTTCCCTCTATCATACCATTTCTGTTCTTCTTTTTCTTTGTGGAGACGTTGGTGTTCGAGATAATCGTTAGGAGAGGAATCATCGTCGACGTAGAAGGGCTTCTTTGATATGAAGGATGGGATATATTCGTTGCGCTCCTTATTCGCAACGTCGGTAGGGCGCCTTGACATTTTGACTGTAGTATCGAATATACCCCTAGCACTAAAATCAGATAACTGTCTCACTCGAGAATCTCACTATCAAAATAAAATAATAAAAATGGTCGTCTTGTCGAAGCTCACTGTATCGTTAAATCCAGCCTGCTAATGGAGGTTGAAAAGTATGATCACGTGAGTGGCGCAAAGTCGTGCTTTTTCACGCGTCGTCAAATTAATCAAACGTCGAGATTCAACTTTGGACTATGGACTTTGATACAGGCTCAACAGGACGGCTTTTTGGTGTATTTGCTGCTGCTGGCGGGTTTAATATCTAATGGTAATGCCAACGAAATTAGTCTATATCCTTTCCTTATCTGTTCCCAATGCCATCACGTCAAAATCCAGTTGATGGCGGCCTTTCGCGTCTTACTCAACTGCGTCGACCACTACCAGGCCACCCCGACAGGCCTTGACCCTCAGTTTCCATCAGATGACAGCGGCCCTGATGTGAAATCGAAATCATTAAAGGTTCCAATAATCCGGGTTTTCGGGGCTACGGAGACTGGGCAGAAAGTATGTGCACATATACACGGTGCATTTCCCTACCTATATCTCGAATATAGGGGGGACTTGGCTCCCGGAGAAGGTTAGGATTACACCCCCTCCCCGGCATTACAGTCATCTAGCTAAATACTGAATAGTTAGTGCTGCCATCCGAACTCTGCATGCATCAATAGACCATGCGCTAGCTCTAAGCTACCGGCGAAACCCTTCTGACCCTTCAACAGCGTATGTTGCTTATATATCCTTAGTGAAGGGGATTCCATTCTACGGTTATCATGTAGGATATAGGTACTTCTTCAAAGTATACTTGTTAAATCCACTGCATATGACACGGCTCGCGGATCTTCTTATGCAAGGGGCTGTGATGAAACGTGTCCTGCAACCATATGAAAGCCATTTGCAGTTTGTTCCTCAATGGATGTGTGATTACAATTTACATGGATGCGATTATATCAACTGCTCCAAGGTTAAATTTCGTTCCCCGGTACCCCGCTACTCTGATCTTGAGAATCCGGACCATATCTGGCATAATGAATCAATTATGCCACGACAGATAGCTGACGCTACGGAGTTCCCAAGGCAGAGCCACTGTGCCCTAGAAGTGGATATCCATGTCCAGGATATTTTAAATCGTAATGATATCAAGCAAAGGGAAATACATCATGACTCTGTGGTAGAGGGCGATAAGAGTTCGTTTGCTGAGAAGCTGGTGCCAAGCTTGAGAGGTCTCTGGAAAGATGAAGAGCGAAGAAGAAGAATTAAGATGGGCTTAACTGATGCTGGCAGCAGCCCGTTTTCTCAACAAGACCTAGTTCCGATGTCTTCTAATCCGCAGCAAATGTTTCCAGATAGCTGGATACACGAACAAGAGTTCCGTGAACAGGTGGAGGCTATTGTGACAGAAGAGCGAAGGACAAGTGGTAAATCACCGACACCAGACGATTTCATCCACCGTCCCGAGTTTCAAGAATTGGTAAAAACCGCTCTAGAAAGTGTCCAGGAGCTATATCCGCAGAACCTGTTAGGCTCACAGGCAGACGGGACCCAGTCTCAAATCAGCACAGATGCCAATAATGGCAATGTTGAAGTTGATGAGAAGCAAATTGACTCTTTTGGATTGGATATGATTTTTGGTCAAGATGATATGGACGATTCATTTTCCCAGGAATCCCAGGAATGGATGTCGCAGCAGCATCATGATGATAGAAAGAACATTGAAAATGATGAGGTTGCAGCAGATGATAGAGCTTCATCCTTATACTCGAGAGAAATGGGTCACAGAGGGCCTTTGGATACCAAGATATCCTTACCATCTTCTCAATTCGAAGAATTTGGTATTCGAAAGGCATCAGATCCGATCAATAGCGAAGACAATATGTTTGAAATCGACCCTGAATTCCTAAGCGCAATGTCCCCTGAGCCTAGGAAACGAGTCCGGGCTAAGGAATATGCTCCAGGACAATCTAGTAAAAAGAAGGCCAAGGTGACTGAATTGTTGCCCGCGAAAACGGGTGAACCAAACCCCCAAGTGTTAATTGAGGAGTACAATTACCTTCTCGAAGCTATGAGCAGCCCATCTATCTCCTCCCAAAATCCAAAAGTGGCGGGTGGACACAGCACGCGTCTTTCTTTTCCTGTAGTTAAGGATCCAACTAACCCAGCTACTGTACTGAGAATGAGCCAGCAGAGTCAACTGTTAAAACAAACACAGCGAGGCGTGAAAGGACAAGACGCCCCTTCCGATGGAGACACTTCTCAAGGCAGTGGAATAGTTCCTCTTAGTGGAATGGAGAGTCAACCCGCTACTGTTAAACCAAAGGGTAGCGCCACAACAACCGTACTATATACCCAGTCAATCCAACTCTCCCAAAATGGTAATGCCTATAGTTTTGTCCCACAGTGCCCATTACCTTCATCTGTCCGCAAAACTATTTCGGATGACTCCAGACCTAGCATCATCTACCAAGGCGCTTATTATAGCAATGATAATGATGTTATTGAGCGTGCACGCGAGTATGCTGGTAGAGAATTCAAACTTGAAAGCGATACACTCCCCTTTCTACCGATGTTTGATCCTACAGGCAATTCTCCAGCAATGTTTGGAGAGAAACCTCCCCTTTTACTGGATCGAATAAATTTTGAAACCCAAAATAGAAAGTTGCGCAGTTCTTGCACGTTACGAACTTGGGAATTTGCATCGAGACCGCCAACCCCGGCCGATGTTATTGGTTGGTTCAAAGGGGCTAATTCCCGGAAAGATCAATCGAATTATACTTCCGCAGATACGACCCCTCAGGAATATACTGTTTCTCAAATTGATGCTCCCACTCAATGTAATAAGCATGGTTTTAAGTATTCTCAGAGAGTCAAATCATCTACAATACAACACCAAGCTAGTTATATGAGTGTAATGAGCTTGGAGGTTCATGTCAACACTCGTGGTTCGTTGGCTCCAAACCCGGAACAGGATGAAGTTGCTTGCGTATTCTGGTCATTTATATCCGAGGACGATGGTCGACACCGTGGCATCGTCGCTCTCTCAGAATATGGTGACCTATCTTCAAGGCTTAAACCCGAACCTGAAGTAGAATTTCATGAGGATATATCTGAACTTGACCTCATTAACCGAATTATTGGTGTTGTTAGATATTATGACCCCGATATATTGACAGGATATGAGATTCATAACGGTTCCTGGGGCTACTTGATCGAACGGGCAAGAAAATGCTATGATTATGACCTCTGTGACGAGTTCTCGAGGGTTAAATCGCAATCTCATGGACGTATTGGTAGGGAGGCAGATAGATGGGGCTTCAACCATACCTCCACTATTCGCATCACTGGAAGACATATGATTAATATATGGAGAGCCATGAGAGGGGAACTCAACTTACTCCAATACACATTGGAAAATGTGACTTTCCATTTACTTCATAAAAGGATTCCGCATTATCCCTTTGAAGATTTAACAAAATGGTTCAAAAGTGACAGACCCAGGGATGTTGCTAAAACACTACAGTATTTTTCATTGAGGGTTGACCTTAATTTACAAATACTCGAGGCAAACGAATTGATTTCAAGGACAAGCGAACAAGCTAGAATTCTTGGTATTGACTTTTATTCCGTGTTTTCCAGGGGCTCCCAGTTCAAAGTGGAATCTCTAATGTTCCGCATTGCTAAGCCGGAAAACTTCATTCTAATCTCTCCTAGTAGGAAGCAAGTCGGCCAGCAAAATGCACTGGAATGTCTCCCTTTAGTCATGGAGCCCCAAAGTGACTTTTATACCAGCCCTTTACTTGTGTTGGATTTTCAGTCTCTCTACCCAAGTATTATGATCGCCTATAACTACTGCTATTCCACAAATTTGGGCAGGATCGTTAGCTGGCGGGGTCGAAATAAAATGGGAATTACGGACTATGAAAGAGAGCCTGGCTTACTGGGACTATTGAAGGATCAGATTAACATTGCGCCAAATGGAATTATTTATGCAAAGCAAGATGTTCGGAAATCGCTGCTTGCCAAAATGCTTACCGAAATACTAGAAACACGGGTGATGATTAAGAATGGGATGAAAGAGGACAAGGATGACAAGCCCCTACAGCGCCTGCTGAATAATAGGCAGCTAGCACTTAAGTTGATTGCAAACGTTACTTATGGTTATACATCTGCTTCGTTCTCTGGCAGAATGCCCTGTTCGGAAATTGCGGACAGCATTGTCCAAACAGCCAGGGAGACCCTTGAAAAGGCGATTGCACTCATCCACTCAGTGAAACGATGGGGTGCTGAAGTTGTCTATGGAGATACGGATAGTCTGTTTATTTATTTAAAGGGTCGGACAAGAGCTGAGGCCTTTGACCTCGGGGAGGAGATAGCGAAAACTATAACAGATTCAAACCCGCGACCAGTCAAGCTAAAGTTCGAAAAGGTCTATCATCCATGCATACTCCTCGCAAAAAAACGATACGTTGGTTATAAATATGAATCTCGAAATCAGCAAGAACCTGATTTCGATGCCAAGGGTATTGAGACGGTTCGAAGAGACGGGACACCTGCAGAGCAGAAGATTGAAGAAAAGGCGTTGAAGCTCCTGTTTGAAACTTCAGATTTAAGCCGTGTCAAGGAATACTTTCAGAAACAATGCTCCAAGATTATGCAGGGCAAGGTGTCAATTCAAGATTTCTGCTTTGCAAAGGAGGTCAGATTAGGAACATATAGCAACAAGGGGGCGCCTCCTCCTGGAGCGCTGATAAGCGCAAAACGAATGCTAGAAGACCCTAGGCTTGAGCCACAGTATGGAGAGCGAGTGCCATATGTGGTTGTGTCGGGGGCCCCAGGCGCCCGCCTCATTGATCGCTGTTTTCCGCCAGACGTATTACTACAGAATCCTCAGCTAGAGCTTGATGCGGAATACTATATTTCCAAGAACATTATTCCACCGCTGGAGAGGATTTTTAATTTGGTTGGTGCAAATGTTCGACAATGGTATGATGAAATGCCGAAATACCAACGCATGCGGCGCACAGAGGGGTCGTTAAACGCTCCATCTGGGCGGCCTGGCCAGGACGGCAATACTACAATGTTTAAGAAAACTCTAGAGTGCTATATGAGATCATCATCCTGTGTTGTCTGTCGCAACAAGTTAAACATTGAAGAACAACGGCAACAGAATCGACAACCAATATGCAACGTCTGTCTCCGGACACAACCCCATATTTCACTTCTGAAACTTGAATATCGAATGCATGACTCGGAGAGAAAGGTAGCCAACCTGCAAGACGTATGTCGTTCTTGTATGGGCGTCGGATGGGGGGAGGAAGTCAAATGTGATAGTAAGGATTGCCCAGTATTTTACTCCCGGATGAGGCAGACTTCTGAGCTGAGGCATACCCGAGCACTTCTTGAGCCAGTGCTTAGCATCCTTAGTGATGAGACTAATGGCCTAGACGAAGTGGATGGGTATAACCCCTTAGCTTGGTGAGTATTTTGGCGTACGAAGGGATCGTCTTCTGGACATCTGCCCAGCTCAGTCTCAGTCCGCAGGCTGCCAGGTAGCGAGACCTACATAGTGCAATCCCTGTATATTATTTATAACAAGACATAAGCCTATATCTAAACATAATTTTTAATGATATGATTAACCAAATATTCGGCCGGCCTGATATGGCTCGAGCTTGTAGACGCGCCCAATCAGGCATAGCTTCCAACGCCAAGCACTTCGCCTTTTTCGCCTTCAAACAAAATATGCGAAGAAACAACGACAACATTCTTCAACAGCCGGAGAATTAAGTAAATATACAATGGCACAGAAGGATATGCGGAGAGCGGATCTGGGTATGCTTCTTCCCGCCCCTATAAGTGAGCGGGATCGACTATCAACCAACCGCTAACACGTTCTTTTGCCTGGCAGTGGTCCCTTATGAGGCTCCACCAGTCAAGAAGACTGATGGTGATATCTCTGGTATGTTTTCTCTATGATTGTAGATAACCGTGCGGTTTACCTCCTGTTTAATGTGGTACTGTTCTTGATTTATCGCTGGCTGACGTCGTCCTAGGTACCATTGCAAGTACCATGCCAATGGCTGCTGTAAGATCCATCCTAGCTCCAAGTACCTAGATGCAGCCGTACTAACTGCTTGGATAGATGTTTACTCGAAACAGGCATGTTTAGCCCAAGTTCCTACTTCTCGACCTGACGCCATCCTGTTATAGAGACGCTGCCTTACTGATGGAATTAACTAACTCGACTCTCCTCGTTTTCTGTACGGCAGGATGATCGGATGGTATGTTTTAAACAGTTCCTGAATATATATATACCCTATATCTTGGCTCACTGGGTAGCTATCAATGATTGCAAATTTTCTCTTCTAGCTTTCTGATAAGACTAAAACTGCCGTTTTATGTTAACCTAATAGCTAATATGAATTAGGTCTTCCCTTGTCTTCACACTCCAGACATGGCTTGCCGAAAGCGAAGATCAGAAGAAGGCATCCACAACTCCGGCGTATATGTCAGTTTTCATGTCAGGTACGTTGTTCTCTCCATATGTATGTCCCTTGCACGTGCTAACTGCTTTTTCCTCGTAGCAATGGCTGTTATTGTGGTATGTACCCCGCCCATATCACCCGTGTTACGATCGGTGATATCAGAAGAGGCAACATACTGACCCTTTCCCGTCATCAGACCTATATGCCCCTCTTCTTGCCTCCTCCCCAGAGTGGTAACAAGTCTCCTCCTGCCCCTGCTTCTTAGGAGCTACTGTTTCTACCTTTTGTCATAATCAAATGTACTATTCTTCGATTCACATATGAGTTAACTTGTATACTTACCGGTCTTTGTCTGGTATTTTGCCATCAGGCTTCCGAAGAGCAACTCGGCAATCCCTATTACCCAGAGTATGAGTGCATATCATGGACTCATAGTAAACGAGGGTTATATCCCGCCCTCTTCGTGCCAGCTAACTAATAACAGAGGATAGCTAGTTGGTCACCCGATCCTCTGGTTAGAAAAATGAACAACCCCCTAAAAGGATATCTTAGCTGAAGAATCATAGGTCTTAGGCGTTGCGCTTAGACTTGCCTTAGCTTGGTGGGCCTCGGTTCGAGCGAGCTTTCTTTTAGGCGGAGTAAGCCGGAGTAATGTTGTTCCGTTATTAGACTGTTTTCAACATCGCCAACATCAAGGAATGAATGGAATGCGGAATCAGAGTTCCAGTATCCGGGAATACATGAGAAATCAACCATGGACTATCAATATGATTAAGATACCAGGCAGTAGCGAACCCACATCTCGGAATTCCCTCAGCCATGACATGGGTGAACAAGGGCGGATGTGCCTCGCAACAGGTCGGTTACAAAGGAGCCTATGAGAGGAGAGAACTGGGGATACGGCAGCCACCCGAGAGCTAGGGTCTCTGTCCTACTATGTGGGGGTTCTGATCTTAGCCCTAATCGATGCCAATCAACGTCTCTTCACCATCAACTCGCCAACAAACCAGTTCGACGGGTCACAACGACAAACTGTAACCCGGATGCACTCTGCCGCCACGTCAACAGCTCAGATTGCCCCATTAGCGCCTTACAAGGTTGTGGGCCAAGATAGCAGGGACTGAACTAATGATTGTCCATCAGCGTTTGGTGGTTTGACACAAATCCCGCGTTTGTCGATCTGAAGAGGAGCTATATGTCTTTGCATATAGTACGCCGAAACAACGCTCCAGGCAGGGGTTATATAATATACGATCTTGTAGTCCAGCGTATGACTTCTAGAAAGGGGATGCCGTTGCGGCTGGAAAGGATGGCCGTCTTCCTTAGGACTTGTACTAAACCCATTCCATTACCGATACACCCCAAACAACTCCCATGCACCAACGGCAAGCAGATAAGATGGCATGACACGCCGCACCACGGAGTGCCACATGGAGCCTGCTACAAAATCAGTCACTCATTGAAGGTGAATACAATGTATGTGACATTCTGTTCATGCATCATAAGCATCCACTTTCTTCACCACATGATTCTCTTCTCGCCTACGAGTACTAGCATAAGCATGTCCTCATGCTCTGGAAAACAACCTCACTTCAATAGGTCCCCGCAACCTTAGAGGGTCCCGCATGATCGGAACAAACAGCTTGCAGCCAATAATTGAGCTTTTATCGACAAGGTCCAAAAACCCTTGCTAGAAGCTCTCATTTGCGGAGCTAGATCACCGAAGGGAGCCAAGTCCAAAGTCCACCTCTTCAACTGGCAGCTGTGGGACCCCGAATGTACCCTTCTTTCATTCCTTCTCATCTTGAGCGTGGCTTTGGCCTTAATATTCTCCGTGTTCTGGCTCCGCCAGGGGTTCTTTCCGCTATCACAAGCAGGTGCTTGGTTGTCGGATGACCGAATTGCCGTTATTCAGCCGCGCCATGCGAAGAAAGGCTATAAATTGATGTCAGCAAAAAACTCCGTATGCAAACTATTGCTTACTACGTACCTCTTTGTCATCTCATGCGACCTACTTCGCAGAGATAACTCGAGTACTCCGTATTCTCTCTGGACTCTTTCAGGTATCGTGTCGCCATAGTATGTGAGATCTGGGCCGCTAATTACGACACAAGTAACTATCGAGCCCACCCTGAAAATGAAGCTGAATTTTGGCAGTGGCGGCTAAGGGGAGGCGATTACGGAGTACGGAGTAAATCAGGGGGTCACCAAATGTGCTGACATAGGTGGTGGCCTTTGGGCGCAATTTATGTGGCCTTTTTAGAGAGGTTTTGGGCGGTAGTCGTTTATTACCCCTCAAGGACTATTATTAAAGGAAGAATCCTAAACTACCGATATTAGTCTCGGATAGCATCCAGCTGGCTCTTTCTTCCTTTGAAGGGAAATTGTTTGTATCGCTAAAAAGCACTTCTTGTTCCTCTATGGGACGTCGATCAATCGTTTCTCTAGACTCTGGGCTTCTTACTTGTATCTCGACTAGGCATCTTTACGAGAGTGCATGGTTGTTGTATCGCTCGACGACTCGCCAGGTTATAACTACTGCGACGCTGATGACGTAGTTATCCCCATAGCAGTTGCTTTAAAAGAGCGTTGGAGCAGGGAGTTCCTGTAGCATTTTCAAAGCCCTTGTGTCATCGTCGATATTGCGGCATAGCTGAAATGGAACAAGATTCATATCGTCTTCATTCGGCGACGTATGCACTGGGTTGCCCGCTACCCAGTGCTTTAATAGGCCTCTTGCAAAGAATATAGCAATTGACATATTATACTCATGAATTGTGTTAATGCTGTAGTGGTCCAACTGGTACATCGCTAGAAAATTCATAGTCGCTTGATTTAGGCCGGATTCTCTTGTAATATAGCTGCCTAGGGAGGTGGAAACGAGCCGGCATTTTCCATCGACGTATTGGAAATTCACAGAGTTCGTGTCGGAACTGAGCTGAGCCCTAATATAGATTGGTGCTCTGCGTTTGCGTTCCTCTTTTGTCTGAGCCCCTTTTGGCTGCTCTTGATACTAAGTGCTATGTAGAAAAAGTGAGCTAATACTCGGCGCGCTAATTGGCCCAATATAATTGGCGGCGCTAACTATGCTCTTATTACATATCAAAGGTTGAGTCTCCCGCTATGACTTATATCGCCACCATGACGTCAACATAAAGGTATTTGTCAAAAATATAACAAGTCTCTCTACCTCCAATCAGTGCGGGCTCGCCTTTTTGGCCGAATGGCAGATTCTGACAATAATGTAAGCCTCTGTTATACCTACAGTCATTATAATTATCTTTTGTGAATATATTCTAATCCATCAACGATTAGGACTTACTATCACGAATCGACAAGCTTGAGGCGAGGGAGGAGAAGTACCTAAAAATTAGGCCGAATCTTCATATTGGAAACATGCTGTCAAAAATATAACAAGTCTCTCTGCCTCCAATCAGTGCGGGCTCGCCTTTTTGGCCGAATGGCATATTTGACACATGCTTATCACAGTTTGCAACAAATTCCTTACTAAGGATACGAGTGACTCTGCAACAAATAAAGGTGCAAGCGACCATTCAACAAACCGTGCTATACAGCGTGGCCGTGACGCGACGAAGAAGGACCTTGCCAAAGCAGGTATCCCATCCAAGTTTTGGCCTGCGATCCAGGACATGGGGCCGGTATATACTTCTATATTTAAATACATCTCTACTCTGCTAATATATATTATAGTATATCAAAGCGCGAAATATGTCCGCGCATGAATCATACGAGGAGTTTGCGGTTATTTTGAAAGAGCCCTGTATGCAACAGTATCACGACGAATGGAGTGGTTATTTCCGATAGCTTATGGGGCCACGGTCGAGGAGGTCGCGGAGAAGAGTGGGCAGTTTCTATCAACGAATATGTCCGAAGGCCGTTAAAGATTACAGTACTTCAAGTTTATGTATTATCGTTAGTAGCTAGTATTATTAAATATTAATCGAATATTTTGGGATACCCTCCCCGATTTTACACGCTATACCGAATTGGGGAATTTGGTGAGGTCCAGGAGTACGGAGTACTCAGAGATCCATTTCCATGCATAATCATATATATATATATATGATATGCTTCTTGGACCTTTAAAGCTAGAGAACAGCCAATGGAGCACACGACTCCTGCATTGCTGGGGTATTACCTAAACTTCCTATTCCCTGGCAGATTCGCAGAGCAGCAACAACACCAATGGGAAGAGAGTAAGCAACACAATGTTTAACGGAGGCCATCGCGGCGTGTCAGCTTCCGAGAAATATGATACTGGCTCCTTACGAGATCTGCTTCGGACGACATGCAGTGTGTTCGATGAATAACCTGACAGCTGCATCCAATCAACTTGAGAAAGGAGATACTTGACCTCGACCTTATCCACTAGTTGACCTTACAGAACGAAAATTTCCACCTATATCCTACTGTATCATTATTACTCGGATACGTAAGATCATGGGGGCTTCTGTTCTGATTGGGGATTATACCTGGTTCGACCGTTAACACCCCATCCAGGTGTCTCGCAAATCAGCTCATGCAGCTGCAAAAGATAAAAAGATGCGTATTCCTCTTTCTGAGGAAATCGGCATGGGCCTTTTTATCTCTGCTCGGTTAAGAGTACTGCTCCGCATCTGCGCCCTGAGCTTCTGGAGCACAATCACCCGTTTTCTCTGGACGCTTAGTCCGCCGTTCTTATGCGGATATCTGGGGCGGAATCCAAGACACTGGATCGTCGTCCACAATGCACGATGTTAGTTATCCACTAGAGCGCCGCCAAGAGGCGCCACTTTTGCAGCTCAGTTAACACGCTGCCCACATATTCAGAGCGTCAGGGTCTAGATGGAATGCCTTGAGCCATCATACGGTGCACGCCCAGCGTGGTTGGTCTATTGGGCTACCCAACCTTAAACCCCGTGGCCAATGCACCCGTTCCCTGACTCCTTTAAAGAAATACAAAACCTTTCTACTATAAGGATTAAGCTTCTCCAATTATCCTCAGTATCTTCCATACTTTTCTCCCCGTTAAACTCCTCCCATTGAGTTGATTTTCAATCTTATAAGCTCTCTTGGGGCCTGGAAAAAAAAAATACCCCCTCATCCATCATCTTGTTCCTGTTGGAGTACCCATACTTTTTTATCGCCAACCATTAGATTTCTGTTTCGAATGGACTTTACCTTAGCCCAACGGATGCTGTTGTTGAACGACTTGATATTCTACTTTACACGCCCGTTATAAGACATGGCGTACCATCGAAATATTGACAGTCCCCTTTTTGTCAGACAAAGCTCACCACTCAGCTATGGATATCAATCCAGACCCTGGAATGAAAAAGTAGCAGGGCCACAGCGGGCATTGTCTCATCCCGCCATACGACTGCATCAAGGCCGTGCGGATCGGTCATCCTCGGAACCGCTGCCATCAAAGGGACCAGAACCTACTTTCAGTTTTCAGTTAGCCCTACCTCGGTTTTACGTGCCATACAGATGGTGGGAAGACGGGGCTTCAATGATACTTTGGGCATTTGACCACCAGGATATCAAACGCCTTCTTCGGTTTCGTTTATATGAGAATGACGAGCTTCCTCGTTATGTACTACAAAACCGCAACGCAGATGTCGTTTCCGGATTTCTTGCGTCTTTACTCCCTGCTGAACAAGGGATATTTGACCTAGAGTTATCTCATCATGACAAGGTTGAAGAGATATTGGATCTATGCCAGCTAAGGAACCCGCCTGTTGAACCATGGAGATGGCATCCAAACTATTCATATAACGCTGAACCAAGGAGTATTGCTTCTTATATCGATGCCGAAAGTTCGCGGCAGTTCCAAGCAGTGCCTTTTGAGGACTGGATTCGTTATGCCTTGGGGTATCCTACTGAGTCTATTCAATGGTTCTTCTCCCAACACAAACAGCTTCATGATATAGTCTCAGCGCACCTCGACCTGTTTACTGGGGAGTTCGATACCTATGTTGAAGTTGAGAGAGTGAGTACTCACCCCATTAAATAGTCTATAGTTTAAACTTCTTTGCTAATACCTTCTAATTAGCACCTTCGAGGTGGCTCCCCGTTTGCACAATACGTCTTGTTGCAGTGCCTTAGTGTTAGGGGATTACTAAATAGTGAAGTCCCCGATCAATCCAATCAATGGGTCGTAGGGTTTATCATTCGCCCTATCCAGGAATTATTCAAGGCCCATTTAACCGGACTGCCCTCTATGCTGAAAAAGCTCTCTGTGCTCGCCCTCAGCTTTGAACGTAAATACCGTACCTCTGTCGAAATCGATTGGAGCGCTCCATTTGAAGCAAACCCAGCTTACCTGAATGACTTCTTTTCCTTTAGAGAGGTCGAGCCTTTGGCAAGAAAACTTACACATATTGATACAAGGGAGTTCTCCCCCCTTTCAGTACAAAGCTTCGTGGAAGATACTGTCACATTACGATCCCTGTCGGGTAGATGGCATCTACTTTGCTCTTCTACCGAGGAATGCTGCCTGGCGCTTCCAGAAATGGCTATATTCTTCAAAAATTGCATTCGTGTAAGTATTCTAGCCAATATTTTTTATTCGTGGAATGTTTACTTTATCACAATAGTACTAACGCAATCCCTTACCATCACAGGTTTTACACAGATTGAGGAATTACTACTCGGCCACAGCCATACTTTATGGTCTTCAGAAAGCAAACATGAACGTCTTTGACCCATTTTTGGAGCTGGGGCATGAGCCCGAACAATCTCATCATGAGTTCTCCACTCATTACTTTGAGCTAATGGATTCGACTGGTAACTACGCCTTGTACAGAGAAACTATGCGAACGCAGCCCGGAATCCCTTTCCTACTCCCGCATATTGTGGAATACCAATCAAATGGGGAAGATGCAATTGCTACCATGTTCCCTCTTTGCATACATTGAGAATTAGGGGTTATCACCAGCCCATCTTAGGAGGCTTTTAATCTCTCATTATCACATTTCCAACCAAGACCGTTTCCATTTACATTGTACTTACAAGCCTCCAAACCTAGTATGGATATACCCTCGCAGGCTCAGGGAATGCCAGGGCCCGACTCTCTAAGGCGATCAACGCCACCGTTACTTTGCTAACGGAAATCAATTGGTCTTACGTCGGCTATATTTATCATCCATTTGTATGGAGGAGAAAGAGACGAAGGGCCCCATCCGTCCGTCCGTGCCAGGGTCCAACACCAATGGAATGTATCTTGGCTACCTGCCTCTTATGCGGACTATGTTAATCTGGCCCGGTCTATGAAATGATATGAAAGTTGCAGCGCTTTGTTCTCTCTAATTGCACGAATGAGCTCTGATAGAAGAGGTCTAATTCTCAAAATCGGCGACTGTGCATCTATCAACCACAGGCTGGAGAAGCTTCCAGCCCATTCTCCACTGGACCCAAAGGACCCCATTGACAGGCTAGTGATTGCATATATATGCTTCTCTTGCGTGTTTCGAGCCCACAACCCACCCACACACGGGCTCAATTGGAACCTTAACCTGAACAACCACCAGTCTCTACCTAGAGCCAGGAACGAAGATATGGTGATGGCGTGAGCTCGATCGGCAATATACATAGTATAAACTGAGGGTAGCTGAATTTCACTGAGCCCAGGCACTATAAGCGAATTAGCATTATACCCGACGCCATGCATCCGTTTCAGCTTTTCAACAACCGGCCAATAGCCTTACCTAGGATCAGTGATACCATTCCGTAAGGTGAATGTCAGAGCAGAGTGAGCATTTATCGCCACATTTTAAGGCCCACTTTCACCTTCATCTTTTACTATCCAATTCAGCCGCATGGCATAAAACTTAGTACCCAAGGTATTAAAGAGGCAAAACATGTATGCTGCATACCGAGTACCCCGAGCGGTGTGGAGACAACATGTATACCCAGCCCCATATAAAGCTGAATGAATTTAAGCACTGTGTGTAAGTCAATTCCCCATGCGTCTCGTGCAGCCAGCTATTCGTTTCACACAGGAACCCGCATATGGTTATACTTTATGTTATGTTTGTGGCTCGTACTCCTAAGGCTATGTAGTTTAAATATGGAGTGGAAGATCATTCCTTTGATCCTTCTATATCGGGCCATCTCTCTACCTTGGCTGAAAATTCGAAAAGGGTCCATCAGAGAAAATCGGTTACCTAAGTAACCGTGCCTTGATCATCATTCTATGTTTGATTCCATATCAAATTAGAATTTTTTTACCATTTCAAGAATATCCGCCAAACGTAATAACCCAGAAGAACAAGCTATCAGGTGTCAAGGGAAATGCTCAACATCCATACAATAAGTATGTATCATTTCCCAATCACCTTCAAAATTAGGAGGAATCTAGCGAACGAAGCTACAACGAGAGTGGCTAGGTTCAACGCAGACGTTACTCTGTATACCCTGCTCAAGCTCGTGTAACCACTAGCTTGCAAACTCCTCACGTTAACATGGCGAATTTATGGATGCTATTGGTGACATAGTAATACCTAGCGGAGGAGAAGGCAACCGCGTGTGCCGCTTGGTCCTCCGATTAAGCCATTGTATACCCATATACAGACTCCTCCCAGCTGAAAGAGAATTTAATAAGTGCTGACGAAAATACCCATTCGCCCCGTTACAGGCATGTGGCGCATGAAATGACTCTTATTCGTGATATAATCTACCCCTCAGCTATCCTCAAGCACGGCTTCAAGTCATGTTTCTCCTGGCTATGCCCGTGATTCCCCTTTGGCTTTCGGGGAATCAATCCAGGTGTTCAACAGAAGTGGCAAACAAGAGGGTGGTTCTCAGCACTCGTATACCCATGAGACATTGATAGACTTGCTCATATGAAAGCACTCTGCTAGAGGCATATATGTTGTCTGATAGAGGTGGCATGAACCTTGCAGGAAGATTTTTTTATTCCTCCTGTGGCTTGTCATTCTCTGATTTGATGTGAACTTGGGAAAAGGTACCACAATAAGGGCGGTATGGGTCTTAATAGGAGTTGGCCGTCCATTAATAATGTGGCCAAGGTAGCGGTGAAATCTCGTTTGGTGTGCTATTGGTGCGCTTACAACATATACAAGGAATCTGACGGAACTCTATAGATGATTTACCACGCCTCAGCCACGTAGACAGGCGCTTATGCCAGGGCTAGAGTATACCGCAGCAAGGAAAAGAATTTAAGACAAAATTCTTTGACACCTGCGGTGGCGGAGTCAGGCCAAAAGTCCTAAACAATATCGGTGCCTAAGTCTCCCTTTCCTCGTTGTAGGAAATAAATCGCGGTCAAGAAAAAGTTGAGTTACATAAGCAAAAAGTTAAGTAAAAACAAAGTTCCGGGACCTCGGCCGCTAGTCCCTAAACGGAAAGAGGTTAATGGAATGCGGAAAAACTAATATCCGTATGAAGGCCCCATTTTGCCTAAAGTGGAAAGCTTTTGACGGTTTGCATTTGAAGTGATGTCACTGTGATCGAAGAACTTCCAGCAGACAACTCGATGCTTAACAGCGATGGTTGAAGCTATGTGAGAGTTACATAGAGATAGAAGTTTCACCATGGACGCCTTTATAGGCTCGTTCCCTTCCTTCACCTCAAGTTCTGATAAGACGACGTCACAGAAACGGGAGATGCGTCAGCTACCGCATCTACGGATTCCTCCTCTCCGGGATCCTCTTCCATCACAATCACGGAAACCTCCATCTCCACTCGAGCCCAATGCCGGGGCAATCAGAGCGTCCAAATATAGCTCCAAGTCAGCACTTGCAACCCCCAGTCAACCTCCAGAGCTCCCCCCTACCGTAGCGGGGTTTCTCAATAGCACAACCCATACGGAAAAGCCAACTTCCATAGACTCGATATCAAACTTGGATAATCCGCCTAGAACAGTACTTCCAGCCTTTATCAACCTACGAGCAGTGGAGAAGTTACCCTACTCGTTCGACGAAGAGGCATTGCCCCGAAAACGACGCAGAGTTGAGCGCCATGCCGACAGGTTTGGAGACCATCTACAGCTTCCGATACCAAAAAACCAAAAAGAAAAACCTAAGCAACCTCCTCCATTTGGGCCTCTAACAATATTGAATGGGTTAAACGAACCGCCCCCAAATGCTGCTTTATTTCCGCCAATCGAACCCAACGAGTCTCCAAACATTTTGACATGTGCTCTCCAGGGGCCCCCAATTATATCTAAAGGCCCATCCAGTCATAACAAGGGTGAGATGCAATCGAGGCAATTTGTGGAAGTTGATGGAAAGGCAGGCCCGGATAAGGAAAATACCACTGATGGTTCAAGCTCTCTGCAGACCCCAGCTTCGGCAGCAGAAGCTCAGGCAGAGACGCAACACTCGTCCGAGCGGCCAGATAAGGAGGAGGGTAATCAGAAAGATAAAAACGGGACCTCTCAAAAATCCCAGCCAAGGAAAAAAGCGCGAAAGTGGACGGACGAGGAAACTCATGATTTGTTACGTGGGGTTGTGAGATGCGGAGTTGGCAACTGGACTTCCATACTTGCGCAACCTGACTTGGCTTTTAATGATAGAACAGCAGCAAATTTGAAGGATAGGTTTCGTGTTTGCTGTTCATGGGCTTACGAGCCTGATGGGAAGGCCCATGGGCTTATGGATAGTGTGAACAATCTACGATCCGGGAAGATATTCCTACCAGATCCCAGGAAAACTAAAGGGATTACTGAGCAAAACTCCCTTCCTAGTTCTGCCACCACATTGCAGAGTCTTGCAGCGAATATGCCTCATGTAGCATCTACCTCTTTGGCCACCTCCACATTCCCACCGGGCGCAAAAAACCCTTCGACCCCCGAAAAATCCCAAACACCACAGAAGCCTCGCCGCAAAATATCCCCCATAACCAGAGGAAGTGAGGCTCTTTCTAAAAAATCGAAATCTACTCTGGTTGCCCTCGGGTTACCAGACCCCGATGCCACCGTTAAAGCTAATAAACGTTCCAGGCGTCCGTTTACACGGGCAGAAGACGAAGCATTGCTAAAAGGCTACGCAGTTCATGGCTTCCAATGGACGCTAATACGTCAAGACAAACACCTTAATCTAATGCATCGAAAGGCTACCGATCTCAGAGATAGGTTCAGAACGAAGTTCCCAAGTGCATATAGGGAAGGAGGGTCAGCAACTGCGAAAAACATCTCTATCCCCGCCAGCAACGCAGCTGCGGTAAACACTGGGTCTGATGCTGCTGGCGAAGGAAAACAGTTATCAACTTTGGCAGCGCCCGCTACTAGCTCTGCAGCACAGGAACCTTTTCAACCCTCACATCCAGTTTCCACAATTGAAGATCCCCAATACAGAAAGGGAGCATTTCGGAGGACAAGCAATAGCGGTTCTAGTATCAATGCAAAGACGAATCCATCATCCACTCCGACAAACAACGTCTTCATAGCTAGTACAACAACCGTTGGCGCAGCGCCTATTGACCCTGCAATGCTGCCTCCTGCACCGCCATTGAGCTCCGCTTTTGCATTTACGGCTATGGATGAGAGTACTGGCCCTGGGAACGGGGAGCCTGCTCTCAGTCGATGGAATGATGTTACATTACCCCCGTTGGTATGGGAAGAATTAAGTTGATAGGGGCCTCTATTCTTTTGGAAGACACGTCCTTGGGTAACGCCTTGACGATGCAACGAACATTATGAAATCCTACGAAATATCTTTGCTACATACGTTTCATCTATCGCTGGCAGCATTAAAGACACCCATATACTGCCATGTAACATTTGAGCCAGTGCTAAGTATAGCTTTTAGATAATATATCCTAAACTTAAATTAGTTTGGAGATGCTGCTATATGAGTTACAGTGAGTGATAGCGGACAAGAGGTAGAAATAGAAGCCATTCGCTAAATATTGTAGTAATAAAAAAAAGGAACGCTTGGGAAAACAGGATTAAATGAGTTATTGTCCTCCCTACTAGGCTATTTGAAAAACGAGCCATAAATTATTAGGTAGTAAGGAGAAAAGAGCTCTATGCTCACTTTGCTAGCTGGGTTCAGCGCTCCTGAGCGTGAGATAGAATGGGAAGCCGGATATACCTTTAGCTAGCGCCAGTAATGCCTTGTAGAATCCAGCAGCTTCCGGGGTTAATAGAGTACTAAATATAGCAAGGCAACAAACATCCAGCAGCCTACATTATCCTTGTCAATAAGGTAGGCGATATACTCAGGCAGTATATATAGTTAATCTCCAGGGGAAAAAAGACGGAACTTTGTGCATCAGACGAAAGTAGGATTTATCACCATGCATTTCGGTCCCAATTTGGATCTATCAGATGAAGCGTCAGTTGATGGTATGTATGTTTGCGAATATTTAGCTAAGCGCTTACCTTGCACAAAGCTGGCTAGCACTTTGCTCCCTGTCTGAAGTAAAGGATGGCCGACCACTATTTGCAAAAACCGCTGTAGCCCTTCTCTACGGTGTTCGATCACATCATCACTGAAACGGTTCGTAAACACCTTGCCTGGAAGTGGTGGTATCGTGACACGAGCGCTCTCTCTCTCCAGGATGTCTCTAAAGTATTCGAAATCCGAGTACCGACGGCGAACGACTGAGTGTTTCAATTTAAAGGCAGGTATATTGGTCCGACAGACGATCTCATACGAGGTATACATATTGCGAGATGTGCCATGGGTTTGGGGATTCCTCACCTATATATGTGCACGGCCAGGAAGTCAGTATAAAATCGTGGTATTCTAAACGGCATAAAACACCCCAAAGCGCATACTTCGATTTCCAAAAAGTTCTCGGGAGGTCCATAGATCTCCTCGAATGTCTGATGGCGAGCGTCTGGTATGGCCTGCATTTTTGTTGGACTTGTAGGCTGTGAAGATGAGCCGAGTAATTTGATATCAACTCGATGGCTTGTACGACGAACGAGCTAAAGGCGGGGGCGAAATGGGTGGAATAACAGGATCGCAAGACACGGAGAAGCCTGACCAGCTTATCCTAGAGAAATATAGCGTGCTGCTTCGACTAGACTCGACTTTGTCTTCGTCTTCGTGAGTGTGTCTGTTGTACTTTTTGACGTCGACGTCGTTTTTATCGACCTTCGTAACCCAAAGAGGAAGTGAGACCCTTTCGGCTTTATGTTATTCCCTCCGTACCAAAAGAAGACTAGCGCAGTATTGGCTTAGTCATGTCTTGGTATAACACGTGACACTAAACAAGCTTAAAAAAGAGGGTCAAAGCTTCGGTTTTGACGGATAAAAAAAGAAGAAAAAAAACATCGAGAAGACGAAAGAAGAAGAAGACAAAGACGGAGCCAGACGTCCGACATCCCTTTTTGCCCGTTGTCTGTTAATCTGGATTGCTGACTCTGAAGGGCTCGTTTATTAGTGATTGCCGGACATAGGAGATTAGCAACTTTAACGCCACGTATAGATGACGCTATCGGCTGACAAGCTGGTGGAGTTTCTTATCCGCCGTTTTGTTCGTTCGAACGGCAGCAAACATACCAACAGCTACAGGCCCATTTGCTGGCTGTAGCATTGTTCTGCTGATATATACTCCGTACTAGCTTTAACAAAGACATTTTTCGGCTGTATAATGCCTAGCCGCACCCCAACCCGTCAGGAAGAGTCATCTCCGGCCACGGGCAACCCAGACTCAATATACCATCTAGCCCATGATTGGGGCAGCGTCAACACTATTGAGAATAGAGGAGACCAGATGGAGACCGATTCTGGGGATGATGGCCGTTGGGATCCCTTGACCGGCCGGCCGGGGGATATAGATGACTCTGATGACAATGATGAAGACGACGAGTTCGATGATAGTGACGAGGACCAGCACGACGTAGAACTTCAGTTTTCAGTCCATGAGACGCCAGGCAACACGGCTACGGGTTCTGGTGGAGAGGGCCAGAATGACAGACCAGGCCGTGTAAGAAGTATGGGCTGCAATATCTCCCTCGCGTGGAATCTCCAAATCACTTTCCCTTTTGGCTTGCTGATCGGATTGGTGTTAGTAACCACGGCACAATTGTTCCGCCTGATCGGAGCCAATGAACTGCATCGTATTTTACAAGGCCATGGAGTGCTGCGATCGCGATCAATGGAGGATGGCGCTAACTATGATATATATGGGTTATATGGCAACCGTCGCGCAAAAAGAACAGGACCCAGTAAATACCCTAAGCCTCCAAGCCAGGTAGGGCAGGAGCTGATGCGTTCTGGGGATTATGGCAGTAACCCGCACTACGTTGACAGGTTGAAAGGTCGAAATAACAAGCTGGCAACTAGACTGATGTATAGAGAGCTGGGGGCAGGGCCACGGGGGACTGAACTTCGATCCTCTCGTGAACTATCCCAGGTGAGAGACTATTCATTCATATGATTGTCCTCTTTATCTCCTCTACTCTAGTGGCCTTTTCCTTGTTCTCTACCACCATCATTCTACTTACAGGTAGCCCTGCTGACCTCAAGTTCTAGGATCTAATTCCTGGTTCTTCCGCTGATACTATCATACACTATGATAACCCATGCTACTCGGGCCAATTTTCTGATGATGGGAACTTCTTCTTTGTGTCTTCTCAAGACTTCAATGTTAGAATGTATGATACGTCGAATCCATATATATGGAAACATTATAAGACTGTCGAGTATCCCATTGGCCAGTGGACCATAACAGATGCTACGCTAAGTCCAGACAACAAATTTCTGGCATATAGCTCGATAAGGAGTGTGGTTTGTCTGGCTGGCACAGACCCCTCGTCAACAACGGACCCAATCCTTCTACATTTCGAACATGGCCCGCAAAATGCGCCGCTTAACGCTATATTCGGAACACGTTTTGGGGTATGTGACCTGCAAGCTGCTCCTTTTCCACCATACCCTTTAAGAGAGAGTTAACTAACTCAAGGATTAGATATGGTCCGTCCGTTTCTCGGGCGATGGCCGAGAAATAGTAGCTGGGACTTCCGCCAATTCAGTCCTTGTTTACGATATAGAGACTCAGAAGACAGTGCTCCAATTACGCAAACATGGCGATGACGTTAACGCCGTTTGTTACGGAGATAAAATGTCACCTCATATCCTATATTCTGGCTCTGACGATTCTACCATTCGCGTATGGGATCGTCGATCAATGGCCGATGGCCGAGAAGCTGGTATCTTCGTCGGCCACACAGAAGGAATAACGTTTGTAGACAGCAAAGGAGATGGGCGATATGTGCTTTCCAATAGCAAAGACCAAACTATGAAACTTTGGGACTTGCGAAAGATGGTAACCACTGCTAAATTTGCTGACATGGACACAGCCAGATACTCAACGAGCTTCGACTACCGATTCAGTCCGTATCTGGAAGAGGATTATACTCCTCATCCACACGACTGTTCTGCGGTGACATTCCATGGCCACGGCGTGCTTCGAACCTTGATACGCTGCCACTTTTCGCCGCCAGGAAGCACGAATTCAAGATACGTATACACAGGCAGCCATGATGGGAAGGTATACATATATAATCTCGATGCCACCTTAGCCAAGGTGATTGATGTCGGAGAAATTACTCGTCACACCTGGTCGGATAAAAACTTTGCCACTTCTTTAAATCTAGACTCTAAAGAGGTCAAAGCTTGTGTGAGAGATGCCAGTTGGCATCCTAATGCTCCAGTAATAGCAGGTATGTTTATCACTTGCTCTCTACAGCTCATTAACTGCGACCTATCCTTCATGATCATATCTAACCTACGATCTCAAATTCTAGCTACCTCATGGAATGGCTGGGGCATGTCGGAGGGAACATGCACCGTTCATTCCTGGACTGATGGTGCATTGGATGATGAAGGTCTTCCTGGGATGGGCTGGCATTGGGAATCTGAACTTCAATTGCCGTCAGGAAGAGGATGATCTTTATTGATGTGGAACCTGAAGATTTCTCCAGTTTTTAATATGTCGAGACTGCTAGCAGAAAGTACCAATTACGACTTACCCCTGTCATACAGCATTTTGCCAAACTTTGGAATTTTGATCAAGAGCACGGATTTATCTTATTTTTACTCATCGAACTGGGATTCGGGCAAACGGCCAGTGTTTTCTTTTAACACGGAGAGACTTCGTGTACATACGGGCCTGGCTTTTACTTATGAGAGACGCTTATCAATATCCTAACTTTTATAAACGCTGGACGCACTCACACACTCTAAACTGGTACAATCATAAGGTATACTAACTTAGATACTACCAATCTATCAAACTCTGTCCGTCTGCTCCTTTAGTTAAGCAGCTATCTAAAGAACTTGACTAGACGGTTGACCCTATAACAAACATCTTATGGATCGTATCGAGTGCCCAATGGTCAATCTATTAACCAGTATAAGCGTGCTGCCTTGCTGGGTCAACGCAGCCTGCAATGAGAAAACACAAGGAACAACCATTGACTAATTATAAGTAAATAAAAGGGCCCCATTTCACATTCCTAGACTAAAACCTATTAAAACTCCATATGATAACGTACTTCACTAAGCTCGAGCCATTTAACCGCAGAAATAGAGACACCATTTGCTCATTAATAAGGCAGAACAGAAAAATAATAACGAAATTTGAAACTCTGAAGAACCCATGCCTTCAAAAAGATAAATAAAACTGATGAGATAGCGCACACCAAGCTCGCATTTGCTTAAAAATAGGAAGAAAACTGGATACGATCAAGCAAGGGTCCAGGGCCACGAGGCGGCCATCAGGGTGTAGGTGTAGAGGAAATGGGCTATTTAATACGGAGAGAAATAGCCGGGGTCGACGGTCCTAGTGGAAGCCCAAGGAGAAAGCTAGATGTAGATTTGGCAAATAACGGGAGGTAATTCTAGAGGAATAAGAACGGCGGAGGCTAACGGTTTTAATCGCCCCTTTAGCATTGGCCGCCAACCATCACTCCTGTCGGGTTCGTTTTACCCCGTGGGGGTTCCAAGCTCCATCATTGCCACCGCCGCTAAAGAAGGCCGGGTTGAAATGAGGATTCTGGGTTTGGAAGCCGCCTTGTCCTGGGTTGCTTCGGTTAGAAAGGTGGAACGGAGATGATAAAGGGGGAAACACTTTGGTACCACTAGGAGTACTCACCTTGCATTCCCAAGTTGCCGCCTTGCATTCCTCCCATAATGTTGCCCATCTGGTTTGGCATTCCTCCCATGGGTATTCCTCCCATACCTCCCATGCCACCCATCCCTCCAACGGCTCCCATGCCGCCAACAGGTGCGCCAACGGGCATCATGGGATTAGCCATACCACCCATGCCTCCGCGACCACGCATGTTTGGAGCACCTCTCATGTTATTCATCATGCCTCCACGGTTATTGAATCCTCCATAGTTCTGCATGCCTCCCATGGGGGCACCTTGGAAACCCCCAACAGGGCCACCCTGGAAACCACCACCCATGGGAGAGAAGCTTCTGTTACCGTAACCCATGTTTTGGTTCATGCCGCCGCGGTTATTGAATCCACCACGGTTGCCGCGGAATCCAACTGCATTGTTCATACCAAAGTTTCCTTGGCCAGCATTAAAACCGCTAGGTGGAGTGGGCCTGGGAGTTCGGTCGTCTTTCCCACCACGCATTGGGTTTTCCTTCGGCAGAGTTTTAAAAGGATTGATATTCGCCTGGGTATAGGCGACAGCATACTTTCGTGCCCCCTGCTGGGCATTGTTCATCTCTTCAATCCTGTGTTTTGCCGCTGTGGCAGCTTGTGCCGATGTAAACTCGACAAACGCTTGACTATTAAGAATTAGCATTGATTACACGGTACACAGTATGAGGGAAGAAGTTAGAAAGCATATATCCTGCATACCCTTTACTCTTTCCATTCACCTTATGTTCGCTGAATGTGACGTCCTTTAGGTCAGCTTCGGCGCCGGCCTGGTTTACCCATCCACGAATTTCGTCGTCTGTTGTCCACCAATGCAAGTCCGAAATGTATAGGGCAGGCGTAGCGTCTGGGTCAGCTTCCTTTCGTTTAACACCTTGTTGGAAGTGTACTTGTTGCTGCTGGATTGGGGGTGGCGGTAAACTGTTCATTTGCTGTGGTGTCTCGGAAGGAGACTTCTCTGTCTTGAATATTTTATGACTCTCGTGGCCCATGTTGTTATTACTGTTGCCATACTTTTCGTCTGACCCGTCTCCGTGCCCGCCGCCGTGGTGATGGTCTGGAGCATCGAGTACAAGTTCGGGTTCTTCTGTCTTAAAGGTCGTCTCCGGACCTTCATCAATCAACCCACTTCCATCTCCATAGATATCAATATCAAAGTTATCATCATCAGTCGCCATTGTGATTTATTTGTCTGGTAAGTCTGCTTTTTTTTTTTTTTTGAGCTCTGCTTGATTTTATAAGCCGAGAGCAATGATTTGATTTCTGTCCCTGATATTTCGTTATGCACAGCTTTTCTGGAGAGGTTGTCTTGATTCGACGGGCTTCAAGAGTACAGGTCTGTGGATCAGGGAGCCAGATTAGCAAGGAAATGTACATCGGGAAAAGATGGATCGGGTGCTGCAGTAGAAATTGTCAAGATCCATCACGGTCCACCGTCTTCCTGGGCACCAAAATAATGGAGATAAAATGCCATGAGAGGTGAGAAGAAGAAAAAAGTAGAAGAATCAAAAGAGATACGTACAAATCCCGTCGGTTATATATTTTTTGGTTTCTTCAAAGAATGGGCACACACAAGACAAGATGATTGGCAGAAGCGAGATCTGCTCCGTTCAGCCAAATATAAAGCCCGACTGCCTTCGATGGCAAGTACAGGACAAAGGTGTTTCTTTTTCTCAAATCAACCACAGCGGTTTGTGACAAGCTAAAGGGTCCAACAGGAGTAGTGCCTGTTTCTCCACAGAGAAAACGAGTGTGAGAGCAATGACAGACACCCTAATTCAGATATAAAACGGGTAGAACAAGCCGGTTAGATAGTCAGGGTAATGTGAAAGGGGGGGAGATATTTGTTAGCCGCGTGGGCTCTCTTCTGTCAGCCACTCTCTCTCTCTCTAGCTTGAGCTACAGAAGCGTCGTGAGGTTCTGTTGGCAAAGATGCGCAATAATACAGCACTTGACAAGCAGCCAGCGCGCGCAACAGAGAGTCCAGTCGATACCTGACGATGAAAGGCAAGCTGCAAAGATGGTTTGACGTCTTGATGTCTTTTTTTCGTTGAGATTTGAACGCGAACGAAGGACGTTGCGACACCGAAAGAGGATTAGCGTGGGTATCACGTGGAATATATCGGATTAACTTGTCTCCGAAAAGACACCTCAACCTTTAGGGAAGACGAAAGATGAAGATGAATATATATATATATTGAAGAAGAAGAAGAAGACGACGAGGACGACAGCCAGGTCGAAGGTCTTGTTTGGAGAGATATATATAGCTTTCGTGTTCCCGTTACTGAAACTCACCGCCAACTTCCAGAACCCGTCGCCATGTCGGACGCCTTCCAGGAGCTCGCTGACCTCCCGAAGGATTTTGTCAAGGATGGAATGCTCTTTGTGAACAGGTGTACAAAGCGTATGTCTTTCCGTTTAGTCCGTTATCTTACCATTGAGGCGGGCTGGATGATACGATCCTTGCTAACTACTCCTACCATAGCCGATAAGCGAGAATTTCTCAAGATCAGCCAGGCCGTTGGCTTTGGTTTCCTTATTATGGGAGCCATTGGATACTTCATCAAGCTGAGTGAGTTTGCCTCCCTGCTTTGACGACGATAATGGATGGGCACGCTGCTAATACGAAATTTTACTGTACAGTACACATTCCCGTTAACAACATTCTCGTCGGAGGCGCATAATCGGCCCAATTCTCGAACACCCTCGAATGCGAGAACCCGGTTCAACTATCTAATTTTGAATCCTTCGCACCTAATTACCTACCTCAAACCAACTTCTTTATTGTTCGACATGGGACATATGTCTTATTGTTGAAAGGCGAAAACAAACAGCCCCTGGCGTGTTACGGACGGATGGCAATAAAGACATGGAGACTTACCACTGGAGCTATTCCGACGTTTACATGCATTCGCCCGCAGGAGGAACTTTTTCAACTGCTTGGCGCAATCATCGGCGTCTGGTTAATTTCATTACATTTTACGTTTCATGTAAATTATACGAATATACCTCCTTTTGTTTCCACCTGACTACCTGCCCAACTGAGCCATTCATCTGCCAATTGCCTTCTCCAATTGATCCAAAGGTTGCACCAGCTGATGCGGGCGAAGGCGTTGCCCGTCTGAAACACGGCTGGTGTAAAAGTAAATACAACGCTGTATAGGTAGGTCTTGCGTACTATGTATGCATCGCTTGTGGGGATACTTGACGCGCGATTCCGTTAAATCTCGGCTGCCCAGGTGAGTACTTTCATCGAGCTAGTCGGATTCCCCTGCTCAGGTGCCCGTCAAACAATAACCGTATCCTTGTCCTGTCTTAACCTCAAAAGGGTAATGGAAGCTACGCTGTCGGACAAGACTATTGGCTGATACACGCTGCAAATTTCCACCTCAGCGCCCCATCCCTTGCAGAGATAGCCGATCCCGTTCTTTTCCAGAAAACTCCACAAGAACCTTCTTATCAAGAGTGGCACCGACGTCTAACATTGTATCCCCAGCGTGTCACGAAAAGTGCAGTGCTCTGACTAGACCCGTCTGGAGTTGCCTGCGCCCCGTCCTGCGCCGTCGGGAGACAGCATATCAATCAAATAGCGCCATCAAGTTTTTTTTTTTTTTTGGACCTGTCGTTTGCAGAGAAGTAAGATTCGTGTCTTGGTTGGATGTCTTTCCGGCTATTGGCAGCACTTGAGCTTATTTCAAAGCAATTGAACGCTGCCCAATCCCGGAGCGCAGGCCCAAATTATCATTTTGTAAGAGCAATCGGGCACTGTGCGGCGTAGTGAACAGGATGGAGTCACAACAAGGATACAAACCTCTCCGGCGACTTAAACGGAAAGCCTAGAACCCTGAAACCCCCTTGTCTTTGGCGTCCATCGTGAAGAGCTTCCCGTCGGAACAACCATCCCATCGAACCAGGGCGTTGGAAGAAATGCACGAATTGGTCCAGAAGCCCGGTAAATGATCGAACAGCGAAGAACACGACGGGATTGTCAGTGGCGCCGCCTTCCTCAGTCAGCAACATGCAGCATTCTTTGCATTCTAGTTCGTTTGCATGGATATTATTTCGCGCACTAGACGAAAGAACCATTCCTCTCCTGGTCAACGGTCCCGATGGAGCAGTGAGATGGCCCATCATCTGCCTCCAGCGTGTTCCCGTACAATGTACACGTCGGCCAACTCAGCAGTTCTGGTGAAGAAGCAGACGGGGATGTCCCTGTCTCTCAGTGATAAATATTGAAGTTTGTCCTTTTGATCGGCAATCCATATAACCGTAAGTTATATGAAGAGAAGGTCCACAGTTCAAGGTTTATCTTCCGCCCTCCACAGCGGAAGGCTAAACGGATGGTTTTGTTTATACTTACATAAGTGGAACGAAAGGCGAAGAGAGAAAGCAGATCTATAGGCAGATCCTGAGGGCGAAGAAGTCGGCTGTCTGCTTTTGGAGGATTCGGTGTACCAAACTCTTGAGGCCATCGTGAGTTGCCGTACTTGGCCTTTGGTCACCGTTTCAGCTTTGGCAGCGAGAAAACAAGACTATCTGAAGGAAAAGAAAAACCGACCTAGCCTTCTCTCTCCTATCAGTGTCCAAAGAGAAGCCAGCCAGTCATACAAGCAAGAAACCTGTACGCCGTACGCCGTCGAGAGACTGAATCTCCCGAGTGAAACACGGATCGGGGCACCGACATGACCGTCCTAGCCTCGGTTCACCAGGCAAGGTGTACATAGTAAGTACTTGTACGTAAGCACGCAAGACGAGCTATGTATAGTCTTGATGCTAAAAAAAAGAAGAAGAAGAAAAAGAAACATATATGCAGCCCTGAACGGATTGAAAGATCTCCCCAAGGGTGCAAGGGGGGTGGTTGGGGTAGGGGGGAAGGAAGTTTTAGTTTAGCATCCACCATCCCACCATGTTTGCAAAAAGAAGTGCAGCCATCACGATAGTCAGTATTCATACATGGCTCATCAGCAAGGGAAGAATTCTCCGCCCGAGAGTAAGAATAGGAACATGAGGCCAAGCCGTGGGGGGGAAACAGCTTATCGCCGTCTCTGACTGGTCGTCGATGGGGCCGGTGAGTCGAACCCGAAAGCCGATAACGATCATGCTCATCAAGAGTGAAATAGACGTCGAGACTAAGGAATAAGAAAAAGGGCTTGAGCGAAGCCCTGTCCTGCCACCTGTCGAATAAGGGGAACGGACAATTAGTAAGATGAGGGCTAATCATAGAAGTCAGAAAGATATTCATAGATAGATGCAGGAGAACATAGTTACGGCCATATACAGGAGTAAGAGCTATAAAAAGAAAGAGGCAGTTTTTTTCCTCAGCTTACATAGCTTGTATGTTTTCGCTCTTCTTTGCTTTTTCGCTTTTTTCTTGTCTCTTGATGCAAGGGGATGGGAAGAGGGAAGGGTGGCCCTTTTGCCTCACAGACAAACGGTCAATTGACTTGTGATCCGCTGACGAGTTTATAGACTAAGATTTAATGGTGAAACGGCCATCCTGGCGCCCGGTCAGCTCTATCATAGTCACATAGTCATAGCAGTTATGGGAGCACTGGCTGCCGAGTGCCAAAGCGCCGCCTTAGTTGGAGCTCGAATCGCTGACAGATCCAAGAGTAAGGCCATCCAGCTAGCTAGTCGAGTAGATGTCGAGGGCAGCTGAACTTGCTCGACGCCTGCGTCTCCATGAAAGCACCATCACCAGGCGGAAGACGGGAGACATATCCGCCAACCCTCTTTACCACGAGTCACGTAACTAATCAAAAAAGTGAAGCAAGATGACCGGGACGTTTCGTTCGTTGATGACTCCGAGCCAGTATCAGATGTTTTATTCTTGGTGATGGATTTGATATTAACAATCAAATCTGATGGCTTATGCAACGGTCATCCCATAGGCCAGGGGGGGTGAGAAGGCACACCAGGGGAGATCAAGATACCATGCAGCAACTTCATAACGTGATGCTCGATCTCGTTCTGGTCTCTTTTCTTTTTCTTCCTTGACTTGTTATTCCTTTTTTTGAAGTCTCTTTCGCCCCAAGGCATGGTGGTTGGCGGTTGTACTTGTTCAGTACGAAGCGTTGCAACGAAGAACAACCAGGCTTGCCGGCTCTAGCGTGCATGCGCGGCCTCCTACATTCATGATCCTAATCTTGGTGTGTTAGCGGAGAAGATGAAGAAGAAACAAGGGAGTACATGATGCTATCCCATGGGTGTTTGTATACATACATGAAAGTAGCTCTGTGGAGCGGGAGTTGGCGTAAAGTGGTTGGTTGGTTTTTTTTTTTTTCCATCTCATATAAAAGAAGGGCGAAACAGAAGGTTTCTCCCCCATCTGGGACTCCGTATAATATTTTCCTTTTTCCACGCATCTTTCTTTTCTTATTCATGTTTTTCTTTTTTTTTTATTTATTTCTTTTTTAATATTTTTATCCTCGTTTAGAAGGTTATAGTTTTGCGTGCGTTTGGCGTTTTGACACTCTCGTTGCTTTTTTCTCCTTTGCCCAAAGTCAGAGAGTCGCGAGATAAGATGAAAAGAAAAGACTGCTTATGCAAAAGACAAGGAACCTGCAAAGAGAACCTGCAAAAAAGAAAAGAGAGAAAAAAAAAAACCTCAGGATGGAGTGGTTGGTAAAGCATCAGGGATCCCGCGATGGTTGCGATTGGAGTGCTGATACTATGTATACAGGCGGATTTCTGGCCAAGAGGCGGACATCCCCAACCAGAGATGACATGGATGTACTCCTTGCACGTTCAATGAGAGACGCCTTTCTTGTGCTACCACCGCTCCGGCAGACGGGCTACTACATACATACACACGTACGGAGTACACTCACATTGGTTGGAGACGGGAGACACGCTTGCACCCCGAAGAGGAAGTTCATTCATCACCAGAGCCAGTCTCAGGAATGTAACTATCCGAGACCCATGAGCTTGGGAGTGTGAGGAAGATGGGATAAGGGCCAAGGGAAGACAAGGCTTCACGGATCCAACATGCTGGGAAATGCTAACAAGGGACAAACGGCACTAAGTTACTAGAACGGCGAAGGACATCTTCTGTCCAAGGTTCGAGGGTGACAATTGGCCTATCGAACATGCTAGGCTTTGCAAACCAGCAACCAGTCGAGGAGAAGGGGGGGGGAAAAAGTAAAGAGGGAGAGCAGAATACTTGACAGCTGAGTGGCGAAGCTTATTGATTGCTTTTCACTTGTCTGGAGTATACGAGTGAGAAATGAGTGCCCCATTCTATGACCTCAGCATGTATACACTATAGCGGATGTATGGACTGAATCACACGGCGGAGTGGGCGGCCTGCGTCTCCAGCAGAAGCTGTATTAGTTTCACGAATGCATGCAGCGATGGACTTGAGGGTGTGAAGAAAAAGGCACCAACATCCAACCTCCTCTCTGGGCCGCGGGGCCTACGACACCACCGGCGTGCCAAAGCCAGGCACAATTTTACACCGACGATTATTGGTTCAAATATTACAGGCAGCAGACGGTAAGTAATAGTGATACATGGTTAGACATAGTATACTGCAGATGAATGGGCAAGGAGATGCTATCTTTTCCATATGACTATCCATCCTAACTATCCAATGCAACAGAAACAGGGAAAGGAAAGCAAAAAACAAAAACATAGGGAAAACGACAGAAAAGACAGAAAAGAGTCAGCGGATGGAAAAAGAAAAAAGACCTGTTTTCCGTGGTTATGCCTATCCCAGCCAAGTATGAATGATGGATGAACGATAATTATTGATGTAATAGTACAAAGCCCGAGTTCTTTTCCCACCCCAGATAAATGCACAGCAGGAGAACCAGATAGAAGGGAAAGATTAAAAGGCGAGGAACTGCCTACTCCATGTAGATGTAGGTGGCGAACCCTGTATCGTACGGTATATTAAACTAATAACCAAGTTTGAAAAAAAAGCAAAGAAGCCAAAGTAGATCAAGTGAAGTCGTAGGTTGGTCATGCTTCGTCTGGCGTTGTGTATACGTCGGAGGCCCGTTTATGATTGTATAGGTCTGTGTATGTCGACTTCAAGAGGAAGAAGAGGTCGAAGAGGAGGAGGAGGAGGAAGACATCGAGTAAGGAGTCCATGGATCTCCATCGGCACCGCGAGTCTGCCTCTGAATGAACTGCAGCAGAGCATGGGCATCAAGAGGGTTGCTTGAGTCGCTCGAGCTTCCCGACGTCATGCCACTGTTATGTGTTAGAGCTATACTCAGCAGCTAGGATGAAAGGTGAAGGGTGAAGGGTGAAAGAGTCATACCTGTAGGCAGAGGACTGGGGGGTAGGAGAGCTTGTCTCCGTGCAGTGAGGCATGTTTGTAGTATCCGTGGATGCAGGTGTGTATGTCAAGATGGTTGCAGTTGTAGATGTGTTAACCAACGGGGCAAGCTGGTGAACTTATAATGTTTGGTGCGGTGGTGATATTCCACAGGTGGGAGAGTTCTAGATATTTATATTAACAGCAGAAGACAACTTCGAAAGAAAGAAAAACCATCATTTCCTCTTTTAGTTAGATATTTTCATTTTTATTTTTCACTTTGATAGCCGTTCATCTTTTTGTTTCTTTTCTTTTTCATCTTTCTGGTCCTGCTGGGCTTTGGCCTTTTTCTTTTCTGACTTTGTTTGACGGAGGTAGTAGTCAGGCAGGCATATTACATGATATCATTCCTCCACTGACTTTATCTTTTTGACTCCAAGGCGTGCAGGGGGAGAAAAGAGAGGCGATGCTCAGAGACTTGCTTCTGCCTAGATGTAGACGATGTTCTATATAGCAGCGTAGATGTACATGCCGAAGTACACGGCTTCAGCAAGGGGCCAACGTGGTTGCTGACAGGCCCTAATCTGCCTCCCAGGAAGCCTTTGCTTGAAGAAGTTATTATTCCTTGATCTCGCTCGGTTCCCCTGGTCAATCCATGCTCTGCTGCATGCCCGGGACAAGAGGGACCGATCATGTTACCTAAGAGATATAAGTAATTAATATATATCAGAAAAACCTCCTAACCAGCCACATTCAGCCACCTTGCCCAGGCAGAACGAGAGAAGAGTGAGGCAGCAGCAGCAGCGAGAAGGGCAAAGGTAAAGATCTGTAGATCAGGCTTGACCACCCTGGCGCGGCATCTTGTGCACCTCGTATGGAGGTATACTTACTTGCAGGCTCACGTTGCTCGTCTTTTTTTCCCCGGGTGACGCTCGTATAGCTCTTCACCCTGTACCTCTCACGTCCACCGGGGTTCATCTCTATTCCCACCAGTAAAACAGAAGCTGACAATTCCGAGGAGGATCGAACGGGCAATGGCATGGACTTCCTGGCCTGTGATGGGCTGTCTCGTCAGTCTCGCCAACGTACTCCGCCTGTGCTATGCAGTAGTTGACCAGGACGTTGTTGTGTGAGTAACAACCAGGCTGCGGCAGTGCAAGATCTCTGGATAGTCTCTACGGAGAGATGGCATGCATGGCCCTGGCATCCTTGTATATATCCTCCGTAGTACTATGTAGATTAACCATTTATCCCATGGATGGCCCGTCTTCTTCACGCAAGATGTGGCGATAAACACAAAGCCGCATGTGGAGAATGAAACAAAACACTTTTCTTAACTGTGGAAAAAGCCAAGAGGGCCGTCCCGCCGCTTTAACCTAATCCTTAAGCTACTTGCACGTACTACACAGCCGTAGATCAAGACGAAGAAGAAAAAGGGGAGTAAAAGAACGGCTCCAGGCCGATGATCTGTATGATTTAACTCTATGGCATATGGAAGATGGACTCGAGGTTGAAATAGACAAAGTGACGGGCAAGACGGTTGTTGTACAGCTGCGTTGTGGCGCAGTACCAGCGATGTGACTGGTGAATGGCATCCTTATCACTTTCCCCATATTGTTCATCTTCATCACTTTGAGGTGTCACTTTTGTCGGTGCTGGAGTCAGAGGAGTCGGAGGAGTTAGAGTAGGTCATGTTGTAGACTGACCAGGGATCGTCGGTACCCTTGATGTACTGGCTCAGGCAGAAGGGGTCAGGCTTGCTGGAGCTGCTGGGGTTGGCACCGGAAGAATTCCTGGGGGCGTTAGGTTAGACCCTGCAGGCATGGGGTGGATGAGGGATGCATGGATGTATTATGTAGGTACTTACTTTGCAGCCTGTGACTGGGACTGGTTCTGAGAAGCGCTGGTGTCCGGCATGATGATGGATGGTGCAAGACGGACGAAGCCAGAGAGAGATGGATGGATGGATGGATGGATGGATGGATGGAGAGAGAGGGAGGGAGAGAGAATTTATATGCCCAAGTGATGCTAGAGTATGTACTGAGTCCTCAATTTTTGTATGGTTACAGTACTTTCCGTAGGAGGTACACAAGGAATGCTGAATATCCCAACAGGAATAGTAGAAAAAGTGGCAGACGAGGTTGTGATGGAGAGGATGGTGACACTGGAAGGTTATGCTCCGGCGCCGTCTTATATCTTCGAGCCTGTTGGTTCCGTTGATTGCCACTTCTGACGTACAGGCGGTGGTGATACCTACCGGTACGCCCAGGAGGACGTACGTAACTCACTTTTCGGGCGCCCAAATTAGGGCCTTGAAGAAAGAATGCTGCTTCCCGTCAATCTCGACCGCCTGCAGTCTGGATATCTGCCTCGTTTGTCATTGATAGCTGCGCTGCGCCATGCGAGCACCGCGGAGGATCAGGCGCCCGGCACTGTCAGACCAAGACGGGGAACTGGGTTGATTCTGTCGCCCAGGAGCCCAAACTGAAAAGAGGATGCGTTTCCTGCAGCGAAATATCATGCAGGACCATGACCACTAAGGCATCCGAAATATAGCGTCGGATTGAGATACGCGCTCATGGAGGTCAGCACCTTGGCTTTTGCGGATGGAAGTCTGCCCGTAATGCAAAGAACAAGGCATCCATGAGTGAAGAAAGCGAAGTGAGGGAGTAGCAACAGGCGGACAGGCGGACAGGCGGCGAGATGGGGAGAAGCCATCAGCTCTGGCGGCCAAAATAAATATTATAATATATTCGTACAGGCGTCCGAGAAAGAGATGGCCTGAATGCCAACGCCAATAAGAACCAAAACAAGACTCCCAATGCCCCCATGTATAGATAAAATTACATGTGATTATCGTTTTGATTTTTGTGCATCTCCCAGCCCAAAAAAAAAAAAAAAAAAAAAACAAACGCCTGTTGAGATGGTTTCCCAGCATGAGTAAAGATTTCAGTAATAAATGATGATACATAGGCAGGCTTAGGCCGTCGTGCCACACAGTCGAAGGATCAACTCGTACCTATACACACATACACCGTTAGTCTTGTTTTCTTCCCTCTTTATCATATCCAGAAAGAGTAAAAGAAACTCACATTCCAAACATGATGGCTGCACTGGGCACGACTCTGAGCAGATGAGGCGTGAGGCCGCCATACATGCCCGCCATGCCCTCTTCCTTCCACACCACCTTGAAACACTGCACCAGGCCAGTATACTTCATCTCGACCTTGCCGGACCCTGCTCCACCAACAGACACAGTCGGTGCCTGTCTCAGCCGTGTCCGGACGACTTCATGCGGATACGTAGCGACAGCAGCAACCAGCTTCGCGGATCCAGCCGCCACCAGCTTGCCGCCCCAAGAAACCACATCGTCTACCCAGCCAGAGACATGTGTCGGGTCAGCAGCCAGTCGGGCCTCACGCTGCGCCAACACACGCTTCATCTGCTCGTACAGCACCCACTGCAACGCACTCTCAGACACGCCTAGGTACGAAGCTGATAGGCCACGGTACAGCCCCTGGATGCCCTCGTGGCGAACAGTCTGGCGTATACAGTCCAGGGAGTTGGCGTACTGTCTTCTCCCTTGCTGCGAGGCATTCTTGTTCTTGTCCAGCTGCATCCGCGTCTTGACGAGCCAGATAGGGTTCGTGGCTGTCCCCGTCGCTATGCCTGCGATGGCAGCGGCGCTCAGATGGATGGCAACGGGAGACTCGTTGGGTTCGTACCGGAAGTACTCGTTTAGTATCCTCTTGCCGTTACCGTAGACGTAGAAGTTTATAGCCCGAGCGGGCACGACGCCTGTCAGATTCGGCCCCAGGCCTTTAAAAAGCGCTCGCCAGCCCTCGTGGACGTGTATTGATCGAAGCATCTGGATTGTTTCGCTGAAGTGTACTGCTGCACTGCGCGTGAGGGATGTGATGGACGATGAAGTTGGCGGTAGAGGATGCGACGCGCGAAGCTGCTGGAGCTGTGCCTGGTAGAAATCAGATTGCAGACGGGTCTTTAGCACGTCCAGTGGCGACGTGAGTGTTGCTGCCGTCATTCCACCAAGTCTAGTTCATACGTCAGTCTTGTATATTCTTTTTTTCTTAACGGTTGTCGAGAGATTGGTATTACCCTCCGGCAAGGAAGTGAGCCCATGGCTTAACGGCCGGCTTCTCCATCTGCTCTCGTCCAGGAGCAACGTCCACATCGTCTGTCTCGCCAGACTGGACGAGGACGCTCCTGTTCGTGTTTCTTCTCTCGCCGTCGTTGCTCTGCAGTCGCGCGCCGCCGGGCATCCCGGACGCTGTTGAGAGGGAAGCCATATCACTCTGACTTCCTCTAGCGGTCTAACGATGCCATCTATATCCAAGATAACAATCTTGTCGCGTAGGAAAAAAAGTTGAACAGAAGCTGAAGTTGAAGCTGAATCGAAGCTGAAGATAAAATAATTTTTCTACTTCTCCAGTTGTTTATTTTCGACGTCATTGATTCGCTGGAATTTAGTCGCGGTGGCGATTTTTCTATTGGCTGATTTATTGTTTATTTGACGACGGCGAGGACAATACGGATGGAGGATGATATATAGAGAATGATTCGAGAATACAAGATAAAAGATTAAGATTAATCTGCAACGAGGTCCTAGAAGTGAAGCGTACACAAAAGAAACAGGACAGAGTGTAGTCGATACAGAGTGAAGCAGTCGAGTGAGTGGGCTGGTAGAGTCGACATCGACTGGCTGAATGTAAGTATAAGACAAAGAAGAAGAGGAAGAAGGAGAAGAGAAATAATGTAACAGCAACTCGCTCTCTATTCGTGAAGGAAAAGGAGGAGGTAAAAGAGGTATCAAGTAGCAGGTATCATCAACCGTAGAATTGAAAGAGAAGAAGAGAAGAAGAATTGAAGAAGAGAAGAAGAATCGAAGAAGAGACGGAGAGTGATAGCGGGTATTTAGCTAGTCATACTGTACGTCCTATACAGTGAATGGTGGACCAGCCGATACACCAGTATGCTCTGCATATGCCGAAAGTGTTGAAGTAGAAAAAGGGGGTAAAAGGTTGTAATTTGTGTGACAGCGTTGTGGTTTCGTTCTTTTCTGGCGATATCAAGGCCATGTCGACATCATTCAGTTGGCCAGGGTACGGTGTTACCTGGCGTGTCGGTTGAGTCGGGTGGTTCTCCATCTCTCATACCATACCTCACGGCTGGCCTCACGCAGGTCTCCTCGCCACTCGCCGAAGACGTTATCCTTCAGTCGGACAAAGTCGCAGTGTTCGGGGTCGTAAGGGTCGGCGAACCCCCAGGGGAATCGACGGCCAACCTTCTCGTTCTTGTTATTCAGCGTGTGAGGGTCAGGAGAGAGGATGGAGAGAGGGAAGATGTGGTCGATAGCGGATTCGTCTTCGGCCTCTCTTGAAGCATGAGCAGGCTGCCCTTCTGGACCTGCATCAGCCGTACCCTCCTTGCCGGCAGAGGCCTGCACATCCATCTCCCTCAGCAGGTTGTCTTCGTCGTGCTCGTCGAACTCCTCTGAGGCGCTGTCGTCCTGTTCGTCCAGAGCCAGCACTTCCAGCGGATCGATGCCGGCCAGCCTCAAGCTATCCCGGACCGTCCGCTTGAGGAAGGCCATGTGAGCGGAGGTGATGGTGTCGGCCTTGCTGATGATGGGAATAACGGTGGTCTTGCCCTGCATCGTGCGGATGACCTGTATGTCCAGCTCGACGTCAAGACCGCCGATGTACTGGCTGGTCTCTTTTGCATGGCCACGGCTAGCCGCCTTCTTCGCAGCCTCGATGTTTGCGTCAAGCCTGGCCGGGTCGAGGATGAGAAAGGCGCAGTGGATATGTGTATCGCGTACGCCAGGTGCACGAACAACCTTCATCTCCTCTGCAAAGGTGTCTTCGAACTTGCTCTCCAGGAAGCCGGTGATGTCACGCAGCTGCAGGTCGACGATGTTCTTCTGCAGCCCTTCCGAGTCCCACAGCGTCAGGCCGATGCGTTCATGGTCGATCTCGGCCTCGACGTAGCGCGAGGTGAACGGGGTGCCTGGCGACTGTGGACGTGGCTCGTCTTCCTCCTCCGTCGGCTTCGTGGGCCGCTTGCTCGGTGGAAGAGCCAGAGAGGAGCGCAGAAAATCGAGGAACGACGTCTTACCGCAGTTTTTCCCTCCAACAACGAGAATACTACATACATGTCAGTCAACAAACATGAATAGATAAGAAAGATGTACGCACTTGTATGGAGTAGGATCCTTCCGTCTCCTCACCCGTCTGGGGCTGTTGATGGTGCTCACGGCACTGCTGGCATAGCTGTATCGTCCACGCTGCGCCATGCTGTCTGAACCAGCATACGGGTCTCTTGACAGGGCAGCCCTTGCACCTGGCGGCAGAGGTGGGACAGGAGGGACATCCATCGTCATGTTCTGCAGCTGAGAATACTGATGATACTGATACGAGGTCATCCTCTCTCCTCCAAACGAGTTCAGCTGCGGCGGCGGCGAGAGGTCTGGCAGGCGCGGCGCATGTTTAGGTACAGCGGCAGCTTCTCGCTGGCGGCGCGCTTCTTCCTCCCTGGCCTGCTCCTTGAGCATCTTCTTGCTGATCTTGTTGGAATTCTTGCGCTCAGCCACTTGCTCCGTAGACTTGGAGCGACGAAGGAACCCGAGAGAAGTCCGTCGCAACGCCTGTGCTGGTTTGCTGACGTTGTTGTTGTTATGGTTGATGCCGCCGTTTGAGTCGCTGGGAGTGCGCGGTCGAGAAGGGAGAGACGCCTCCATGGCTGCTCTCTCGTCTTATACTGATATTTCTTCCGCTTATTATCCTTTTTCTTCTTCTTCTCTATTTAATATCAGGTCTAGTCGCGGGTTCCAGCGTCCTAGCCCGGTGGTCACACTGTTGTATCTATATCAACGGTCAGTCGAATATCATCACCATCACCTCAACAGCGTCATAATCAAGGGTAAGAAATATATCAATCCGGGCTAGAAATACCGCTATATCCAGGGAATATCAACTATATCCTCCTTCTCCCGCCTGTTGTCAGCCGTTCGACAGTAACTATGCAGCAAGCCAGCGTTGGACAGCCAAACAACGTCCGGGCAAAGCTGACACTGGCAAGATCACTGCGATCGGTCGCGCGATGAATTGTACACTCTCTGATCGTGTTATTTCCTAGTAAGAAGAGAAGAGAAGAAGAGAGAGCCTGTCCTGAAGCTGTTGGTTGTTGTCCTGCCCAAGTCAAGCTCAATTGACGACGCAGAGGGTCAAGATCCGGCCGGCAGAGGTGCAAGTCGAATAGAAAGAAGGCCAAGGGAGAGAAAGACGGCTTCACGCAGAAGAAAAGAAGAAACGAAGACGAAGAGTGCGGAAGAAGAAGAGGTCCAGGGGCGAAAAAAGATGAAGGGGCTTCAAGGCGAACCCGCTAACAAGCCCGTCTCTCTCTCTCTCTACTTTAGTGCGCCAGTCGGTTTATTTATTTATTACGAAGGAGGCAAACATCCACTGGGCGGTTACATCTTCTATATTTTTTTATGCTGCAATATTTTTTTTTTGTCTCTGTAATTATCTTAATACGTTATTATTACTTTTATCGGTGTTTGTGGTGGATGTCTGGAGTAGAAGACCTTGTTCAGGGGTAAAATATATGTAGTTATACAACCAGGTTTGATATGGGCAGTTCGAGAGGGCAAAACAGGCCAACCAGACGGCAAGAAAAGAAGAAATAGCATAGCTGGAGGCCCAGGCAAGCTCTGTCCGGTTCTTTTTCCGGTCGCATTGATTCGTCTGGCGGCGGGCCTGGTGGTGTCTTTGATATTTAACCTCGTCCTTAGCCTCGATCCTGGCACGACCTGAAACGCACTAACATGGACGAGAGCCAGGGGTATCTGCGGCGATTCTGGTTCCGAGCAAGGATCTGGTGAAGAGTTGAAGATGTCAGGGTAGCATTATGGGTATAGGAAACATTACATCAACGTCAACATGAAAGAGATTGAAAGAGGATAAGAAGAGGAAGAAGGAAAATGAAGGAAAAGGAGAGGGAAGAAAGAGATCAGGGGAGAGACTTTGAAGGTTTCTTGGAGCCCTCTCGCTTCAACTCCTCCTTTACGAGGTCAGCGAGCACCTGTTTCCTCTCCTGCTCGTTCACCGCAGTCACCCACGGCAGCACGAGACATAGCTTCACGCCGCTTGGACACACCTTCTCCCTCACCAGCTCCTTAAACATCGGCCCGTCAGGCCCGGTGGAGTACTTTCGCTGCCCAAAGAGGTCGACCTGGCCCGGTGCGTCGTCAGGGAGCTGCTCGTCGCCCCAGTGGCCCTGGTAGTAGAGCCAGTTGGTAGGCGTGGTGGGGTCATAAGGGGTAAAGAGACCGGTCGTCGAGGAGTAGGAGTAGACGTACGCACTCAGCGTAGGATCCCACAGCGTGCCTTCGTCTGCTTCGTCTTCAAGGAAACCGGCGGGCAGGTCGAGGCCGGGGATCGTGTGGTCGTGCGTTCTGCCAACCGTCAGTACGGGCTGCCACTTTTTCGTCTTATCTCAATTTTAGTTATGGAGAGAAGTGTACCCGGCGGTGGCGTAGACAGCATGAGTGCCGTTGCCGCTGAAGCCAATTGGCCGTACTCCGCGCTTGTCAGTTGCGCTGAACTGGAAAGCCTGGCCCGCAGCGTGCTGGCTGTACCAGATGGCCTCGGGAGCGCCGTTGCGGAAGCGTATCATGTTGTGTTCCCTAGTTGCCCGACCGTTAACTACCGTTTCTCGGAATCATCGGGAATGTATCAGCCATCTACACACGTACCAGTCGCCAACGTGATCGCCGAACTCGATACCCAATACTGTGTTGCCCTGGTTGTACCTATTTTACGGCCGTCAGTACCAGCCTCAATTCGCAGGACTGGTGGTGTATGCTCACGCATAAAAGTAGAAATAAAACGCATCGACCGTCTTGTCTACATCGCCGTGTTCCCGGACCACAATCGCAGACGAAACGGCACCTTCGGTCTTGCCGTCCTTGTTCGGCTTGACGCCCCGAAACCAGGCCGGAAGAGCCTGGATACCTTCTCTCGAGGTGAGACATACCTTACTCCCGCCCAACTTGTTAAGCTCGTTTAGGTTGTCCAGTGTGATGTCGGTTGGCACATTGGGGATGGCAACATGGTTTATCATGGGAACCGAGTTCTTCAGCTGTGCACCAATGTCAGAAGGCTGGTACGGATCCTGCGAGTGTATCCATATCAACGGAGCTGCGTCGTTTTTGGTCAGCAAAAGAAACAGATAGTAAAAAAAAGTGTAGCCGACTAGTAAGTAAGTGGTAGAAGCGCACCATATTTCATCACATAGTCCGGCACTGTAGCGGAGGGCGCAGGTGCAAGACACTGCTCTGCGGCGATGTAGACGCTCGCAGCTGAGATGTTGCCGATACCCAGACCGAGTATCAACGCTGCCAGCGAAGGCCAGGCGCAATGCGACGAGGCACATTTACCCATCTTTTATCGTTATCCTTGAGGTTCCTTAGCTATCGCTATCGATGGGTTCTTGGTTGTCCTCCGTCGGCCAGAAGGGAAGAGGGTATTTATTCATTCGAGCCCTCCCCGCAAGCCGCAGGACGAATAGTTTATATGGGTCGTGATGCCCTCAGCAGATCAGCCACCAGACCACGGCAAGGACAAGGCCGGACTCGCTCACGTTAACCATCTCATCACGTTGGGCCAGGCGCGGTCATCTATAGGCAGCGTGATTGATCGACTTTCCCAGCGATCCCATCGTACGCCAGCATCGACCACCGTGGTGCGCGAACCCTTGTTCACCGAGGCTTAGTGCCCATACACCCATATTTTAAGACTGCGGGACTCGGCTGGAGGGTTTCGGGGGCGGTCTCTTTAACTGTACCTTGGGCCTGGCGCACTTTGCCTCTCGTCGCCACAACAGCAACAGGACGGTTTAATCGGGTTAACGGCAGATCTAGAGTAAAGCAAGATGTAAACAACAAGAAGTCGGGCTTTTTCTTTTATATATCGATAGAATTACCTCTTTGGGAATTTGTATACAAGTTGCTTAGATAAGATTAGATAAGATGACAAAGCGGGGTGTCACATGATAAAGGAGAAAGGTTGTCCCGGATGACTAATAGGCTGACTCAGCTTGCTTATTCATCTCATATTTTTATAGGCAAGAAAGACGGAAGAGAGGATGAAGGGGGAGAGAAGATGGGAGGACAGCGGGAAGAGGTTGGGAGAGGAGTGGAAGAGGGAGAAGAAAAAAAGAAGAAGAAGAAGACGAGGAAAAGGGAGGAGGAGGAGAGAGAAGACGATGCCGCCATCCTTCAGCTTCACCTCAGCAGCGACCAAAGCGACAATGGTACGGGATGATGCAGTTAGCCGATGCTAATGCTATCTCTGTACGAGCAATGGGCCGTTTGAGAGGATACGAAAAAGGCGCAGCTGCTCGCCTGGATAGCAATGCTAGTTAGCCCTCCTTCAACGCCCGGGAACCCGTCAAGCAGACGGGGTGGGAGGGATGCTAGCATGCAGTCCGTGTGCTGCCGGCTCTGTACTTATGCATGGTATGTACGGAGTATATATGCTGTGAATCATCGTTATTACATGCTAACGAAGGTTCTCTAGTCTGACGATCAGCATGGGAGGCCGGTGCACGCCTCAACTATCTACTATGTATGTACTTGTCTTGTTTAGGATAATGAATGGGTGTTGACCAGGGGACGAACGGGATGCAAGTGTGCGATGAAAAAGAAGGCCATGTACGAGGTTCCCAACGATGTATACTCCCCGTCCTCTCGGGGACGGCACAGCGCAGGAGGGGAGAACGGAGAAGAAGGCGGAGATGGATTGGCGAAGTGTAGGTAGGATTCACAGCTGCTGGGCGTCGTTTGTGGTCCCGATTTGTATCTCAGGTGCGGAAGCCGTATATGCACATGGCTACATGGCTTGTTGCAGGTACACTCATACGTACATGTACATAACACTGGTATGGATTCTAGTGGGTGTCGTGCATCCTTAGTGGAAAGGATACCCTACTGTATGTAGGTAGGGGTGTGATAGCGGGAGGGTAGCATCTTGGTCACATACATAGTAGATAACTACGCACACGTTGGCTTGCCTCTTGACCACACTTACTGCTGGGATGCGGTAAGCGGGAGAAATGTGCATCAACCCGTCTTCTCTCGTTTCGCGTGATATTACTCCGTACTCTGCTCTGTATCCCTAGGCTCGTTCCAACCAGATAACTGCAATTCACCCTCCATTATCAACGGCTCCTCAGTTGAAGTCAAGGAATGGAGGACTACAGCTACGTCCCATAAGACGCCGGGGCAGTTAACTTCCACTAGACCATCGCTGCGGGATCGTAGAGCGGGTTAACGCCAATATAGAGACGGGTCGATGAAGTCGTACTCTGTCAAACCCTTTGGAACTAGAGTACCGAGTAAAGGGTTGTGCCCAGTAAGAGTAGAAAGTTAAGCCAGGAACAAAAAAAAGAAAGGAGGACGTTAGATTATTATTATTATTATTATTATTATTATTATTGATGGCTGCAAAACCTCCATACCTCCACCATCACGCGTCCGCCCGCCAGGGACTGACAGGTACATGCGACGAGGAAGAGTTCATCGCTATGACAAGCAAGATAAGCCATGCGCCAGCCAGTACCTCTGATCCGGAACGGCGGGAATACACAACACGGGAATACACAACACCCAACCGGGCACCCGGCTATCATCCATGGTCATTTGCCTGCATCTCTGAAATAGACTGGGCTGGACTGTGTCAGGCGGTCAACTAGTTGTCCTTGCACATGGGCTTAGGCTTAGGCTGAGGCTTGAACTTGGGCTGCCTACATAGTATAGTTGCTTGATCCAGTTGCTTGCTTGGGTATAGATAAGGACGAAAGGAGGAGATGCGAGGTACATCTCAGATAGAAAATGTACGCATTCTGCGAATATCCCGGGAATAAGTACTATATGTAACTAGCCTTCCAACTCGTCGCTAGGGTTGTGGAATGTTGTCCACCAGGGATAGACCAGGTGGCTGAGACGGTTGACAGAGTGTCGACAGGGGCCTTTTCGGGCCAGCACTTTCAACAGGACATTCACATCTCGTTAGTCGCCCCATGTACTTTGTATGTGATAAACCCTGCGTGTCCACCAGCGATGAGCGGGGAAAAAGGCTCGTGTACCAGGGGTTGACTGGAATTCTCGCTATCATGCATTGTAATATAGCGAGTTAGGTTATAGCTGACGCCCGGAGAGCTCGGTAAAACGCCAACGCAAACCACCCACTGGCCCATCATGGTGTGTTTCGAGCTGCCAATCCCCCATAGTGTGTCCGTTTGTTGTTTTTGTTTGCCGTTTGTCTGTTTGTGTGTCGGTTGAAGTTGAAATTTTTGACTTGATTATTTAATCCAACTTCTTGGTAGCTTTCTCGGCCCGAGCCCAAAAGGGTAATCCGTCGCTTCAACCTCAACCTCAACCTCAACCTCAACCTCAACTTCGCTCTGTCTGTCTGCTAAACGGGGCCGACGGTGTCAACGACGGCTAATGGAACAATGCTACGGCAGCCTCCATACACAACCAACAGAAAACACAACGAATATGGGATGAACACGAAGAAACGTCAGGTTGACGCAGGATGCCTGTGGTTTGAACTAAAATGGGCCGCCGCCCAAGTCTTGCATGCGCAGCTCTCCATAAAAGCGAACCAAGAGCCCGAGATTCCGTGGTGTGAATTAAAATCGATAGACAACCATGAAGTTGCGTCTTATCCGGATCAACCGGGAGTATAGCATGCTTCTCCCCAGTAGTACGGAGTACTCTGTACTCCCCAATCCAACGGACTGTCCACAACCAGATAGGGGGGGGGAAAAAAGGAAACAGACAACTGAGGAGAAAAAGAAATATTGCGTCCACCTTGGCGAACTGCCGTGCGATGGAATTATGTGCGGCATACGCGCACGCTAGCTGCCGACGCCTTTTTTCAATTGCTAACCATACTAGCGCCGATTTTGGAGATTTTAGTCTGTTAGCTGAGCCAGACAGGATGCTGCCCTTGTTGAGACCCAGAGAGAATAGTACACGAGGAAACCTGGAAAACTACACCGGGCAAGGGGATGCATACTCACTCTTTTGCTGCAGCAGATCTCGATGAAGAAGGTTCCTTTTTCTCTTTATCCTTTCTTTCCCTTCCGAGCGGTATGGAGTATGCTTTGTTCTCTTATAATAAAAGTGACCTTGGACGGGAGGATTCTAGACCAAACCGTTCCCACCCCCAGGCAATCACCACACCCTGGCCCGTCTCCGCTTTTGTTGTCCCAATGGTTGCAAAAATAGACGGCAGCCACGCATATCTGCATTTTTTTTTCCAGAACAGACAACATGCTGGTGGATTACCGACATACATATTATTAGTGCAAAGGGGTGAAGGGTACAAGGTCAGGGTCTCTTTCCGCATAGGGGAAGCCGCTCGGATGTTTTCTTTTCTCACTTTTCTCGCTCTCTTGGCTCTGTTGTGGGTTGAGAAGCGGTAAAAAGGGCGAGACCTGGATTTCAGATTAGCCATGGATTAATGATCTTCGATCAGCAACTGTCATTACCCTCCCTGGGCCGGATAAACAGCTGGAAGCACCCTCCTTTTTCCCATCGGCCCTTCGAACCATATCGGTTGCACCCTCTCAAGATGTTCTTTTCTTCCTTTCCCCTTTCATGATCGGTCACATCTGTAGTCACCCTTATTCGGAATTACTTATACTGGTTACGTTCGTGTTTGCCGCGGTAGCCCGCCGTTGCGTGACGTTTTACTTTCCTCCTTTGCGCCTGTCTGCATTCCCCACCGGGGCAATCGATCAAGCTGCTTCCCCGCTGGAGACAAATAAGGCAATCCTGATTGTGAGTGTCAATATTTGATCATCGTACCCGCGGCTGTTTTTGCGAAAGTTCCAGCGGTTGTTAGTGGGTGGTCTTACCGTAAGTTCGTCCTTACTCTTTGCTTTTTTCTTTTCCATCTGGCGAGGAAGAAGATGTTTTTATTTTTACTTTGTTCACCATTTTCCCCCTTTTTTATACTTTCTTTTCCATTTTTATATTCATCCTCCCCTCGCCTTGTGGCACATCATGCTTTGTCATTGCCCAATTCTCTCTCACACCGACACATACACCCGCTCATTTCCCGTATTTGTCAATACACGGATCCTTGTGAGAGGCTGAGAGAAGCGGCCAGACCCTAGCTATATCCCGTATCGCAGATTCGAAAACCTCATTCTTCCTGCGGGAGATCACTCTGTTTAAGACTTTCTCCTTCTACGTCTTGTGGTGATTGCGTTGCTTCGTTACCATTATTATTTGCAGTTGAGTGGGCTGCCATATACCTACTATTTATCTCAGCGTACTAATCTCTGATAGCACCCATTTCTAACCTTTGCGTTTGCTTTTTCTTTTCTTTTCGTTTCTTCTCCTACCAGGTATTCTTTGGAGGCTTGGAGCTCCACGTTTCTGAAAGGGGTACCACCAAACATATAAGAAAACAAAAGGAATATTAACCCCAAAAGCAAAGAGAGAGGGATCCAGAGGTGAACCGGAACCTATTGGAGGGCTGCGTCAGTGTGGAGGTGAGTGACTTTTTGACAGATATAAGGGACGGGCACTAAGGAGTGTGTGCTGTGGCATACATCACTGCAGTACAGAGCCCGTCTGATTTCAAAACGTACTGCGATACCCTTCTGAGCTTCTGAACATACTACCCTCGTCACCGGCAGTACTACTACATAGTATGTCTTTCGTGGAAGGTCAACTTTCCTTTTGAATCGGCTACATCGCTCAAAAGGCACATTCACCCACACCGAGAAACTTTAAAGCTTCGTCTCGTCCACCTTCCGGCCCTCGAAGTAAGAGGTCTCATTCTTCGTCGACTCTATCCTCAGCGGAGGATGGTTGGTTTCTTTGCCACGTCAACTGCTCTTACACCTTCGACTCACTGATACCCTTCACAAACTCCCCAACATGGTGCGGCCGCCGGCACAAACTCCTCCAAAATCCCATCTCACGTTAGGCCTGGAAATCAAGTTTTATGCTGCCATCAAGTCTTCTACTTTTAATCGTACCATGCCCAACGAGTGTATTGTAACCCTGCTAGGCGAACGGCTTCGACGAGTTCGACTTTCTGGCCCCGAGGGCTATGGCTCGATGTTCAAGGTTGTTTTAGCCTCTAAGGATCTCTCAGACGAGGATAGGCTCGTGGATTATTCTCGATGGAACTTGACTACAGACGCCACGGCGCGACCCCAGAACCCGGCTTGGTTTAGAGACTGTGAGTATGCCCAAATAACAGACTGTATCCCCTTTTCACCAACATTTGATCGAAGGCATATTTCGTGATTTATAGACTCCGGACTGATATTTGCTGCGGTTAGATGAAGGCCAAGCCATAGAAGTCATATCCCCTCCATATTGGGCACGCACTGCGCACTGGGAAAACGATATTCAACGGATATTTTCCTCCAGAATAGGCCAATTTAATCCAATTTCGGCAAGCGAGCTACGCCTGTATTATGAACTGAACAATACCACCAGCTTCCACGTACACATTGGCAATGGTGTTGATCCCGATTCCTCCTTTCCATTCCGCACGGTACGAAACTTGGCAATGATTTTATTGGTGTATGAGCCAACAATAGACAGACTGCTTGATGCTAGGTTATATGCACCTCCTAACCTCGTCAGCACGTATGACCACTCCCAGGAGGTAGGAAAAATTCTTCATTTTCTATCCGCTATACGCTGTTACAAAAGAAGTAGTTAACATCATCATAAAACAGCCCCAGTCTATATCTTCCATCGAAACCCCCTATTTTCAGCCCCCAAACCTACCAGCACGGTCCTCAAGGAGAGTCTTAGCACGCCACCTCTTTAACACATGCACAGACATCCGATCGGTGATCCGAGCGATGAGTCCCTTACCACCTGATGAAACATTGACTCCAGATTGTCCGTGGTATTATAAGTTCAACTTCAATCCCTTGCTTGATTCACTAGATGTGCCGCAGCCAGTTATTACTACACCGGATACTATGAAGAATGGGGAGAATTCTAAAGCAGTTACCGAGCCAACTTCACTCATTCTCCCATCTGAACCACTGCCTCAACCCAAACTAAATCCAATGGCCAAACGAAAACCCCCAACTATTGAATTTCGACAGCAGATTGGCACAATGGACCCTGATACCATGGTCCACTGGGTTAGGTTTTTGACAGCTTTAGTGGAGTTTTCTAGCAAACTTACAGATCAGGCGGTAATTGAGTTTCTTGGGCTGGAAGACATCGACATCGATTATTCTCTTAGCGATGACGGGCCGGTGTCAAACGATGAAGAACAACAAACACCCTTTGTTACTATCAGTACACCTACAGACCCAATCGCCTCTCTATCAGCTTTCGCCATACTCACTAGTATGCAACCCGTTGGATCCCTCGCACGACTGCTCACCGCTATGGACTCCACAAACATAGAACTTGACTCCGAAACCACACGCTATTGGAGGCGTAAAGTTTCACTATAAATCGAATACACAAACTCCCTACCGGATTTTATAATACCGCACTGGCTTTAGCTTGTTTTGCTTCAACTTTTGGCTGTTCGGGCTGGAATATCTCCTTTTCCTTTCTGTTTCTCCAAACGGTCAAATGGAACACGCCCAAAAGATCACCGTGGACCATAAAAGGCTAGGGTCCGACCGCATTCTCACTAAGCTGAGACTGAGCTTCCTTGGAGCTTAGCTCCATTATATTTGGCTATACATACGCTGCGAATCTCTAGAACATTGGCAAATAATTGTCACGGCCAACGATTTACTGGCCAACGCTTCAACTGCTCCACATACCATCTGAATTGACACGAAGAAGGCCCAAAACAAATTAGAAACCTCAAATAAACATGTCAGGCCCTCCAATGATGTCTCGTTTCAACCAACGGCTGGCTTGTTCGAATAGGAGCTTGGCATAAATCAATGTTCCTTATAATTACTATTCACGACACCTCTTCCATTTTTATTATGTTAAACTCCCTTTTGAGATTCACCAGTTTACATTATTCTGTCGTTTTAGCGATATCATGACACCGTCACTCTTTTGATTTCATGACTGATGGCATGGGGGTAGGTAAGATTACCAATTTACACACTACTTGAAGGGAGGAATTAGGCATCAGCACCTGATGTGTCTTTCTTTTTGTCTAGTTAGGAATGATATCAACGTTCGGCCTTGCTACTTTGTGGCTCCTAGACTTGTACACTGGAATTAAACAGGCGAAATGGAATGCTTAATGGGGAGTATTTTGCAATTTTCGTTTTATTTAGACCAGCAGTTATTTTTTGGTTATTTTCTTATACAGGCACATATAGTCCTAGCTCGTTTTCCATATATCTCTTTCCGTAAACTACAAGCAAAGTCCTGCGCTGATGTAGCTAAGAGTCTTGATTTCATGATGTATTGCTCTAGTAAAGCCTCATTTAGCCATTGATCACTGTTAACAACTCCAGATGCTGTTTATTATTTTGTACGTCCCCCCTCCTTGCATGAATTGCCCCATTACCCGATAATGTGCCCTCTGCCGTATCAAAGTAACCAAACGTATATCTAAACTGAACCTTTGTGTACCAAGTAGGCATAGGCTTCGCAATCTGGGCTGCCTGAGGCTTGCGATGAATGTAGCCCGAAGAAGTGTGATAACATTATATGTAGTATATCTTATCTTCTCCTTTCAGCCTTTTCCTTTTGCTTTTTTTTTCTATTGATAGAGACGTTTCCCGCGGGTAAAAATTCCATTCTCGGTTTGAATGTGACCCGGGATATTCAGTACACCCATGTACTACACAATGTAGTGCTGGTTCCACAAGGAATACCAAATCCTCTAGGGTATTCGCCCTTTTCCTCGTCGGGCTGGAAGGGGGGACAACCGGGCCAATATGTCCCGTAGACTATTCCAAGTAAGCCTATAGGATATGGTTGCTCCTATAGGATACACCGATAGCCTAAATATTGGCCTATCGTAGCCTGCATGCTGTACATCCACGAGATTGAGCGTTGATTGAAAGACCTCGGGGGATTTTTCCCTTTTCTTTTTTTCTCGGTTGAGTTTTAAAACAATTCGTCCGTGGGGGTTCGACGATCTGTTTGAATGGATACATGCAGGGCGCGGTCCGTACATGGGTGCCAATTATATCCACGGACCTCTGCGATGTCAAGCATGTAGAGAAGAGGACCTGGGTACACAGCATAAGCGTTTTTTTCAGCACCAGGGTGAGAAAAAGAAAAGGGGCGGATATACACACAAGAGTCCTGAGCGTCACCTATGTATAAGCCTAACCCCTTCTCGATCCTCACTCGCATTCGCCATTAACCGAATGGATTCTCTAGTTTGGGGGAGATATAAAGAAATTATATGTATGGCCAACGTTGTGTCTTGGCCTTGTCCTACCTCTCCTCCAGAGCATCCGTAGGTGTCTCGTATCTGCGCCGCCCGTTCTACCAAGGGGCCTTGACAGAGATATGGCCATCCTCGTCGATGGCCTTGCCCCTGTCCCATTCCCTGCGCTCCCCTTTCTTAGCCCACTTAACGGTCTCTATATCCCTGCTATCACTTGAGTCTAGGCCTGCAAAGGGCTTGCTTGCTTCCCATTTCTCAATGACCTTGTCCTCAAATCCAGCCCGTCGTAAGCTTTCCGCACCCTTCCGCTTCCACAATGCACGATCCCGCAATGCTTCTAATGCCATATCCCAGTCATCGCCGACATGTTTGTCTGTTTCCTTTGGGTTTAAAAGACCTGGCACAGGGCGGATGTGCCGCGGGCGATCATACTTGGAGTCTTGGTCATCTTCAAGGTGTAAATCTAACGCGGGGTCGTAGTTTGACGAAAAATGGGCGTCAATATTACTCAAATTTGTGGTTTTGTGTGCTCCACGGCCACGAGATCGTACGGGTTGATTGCTACCTGTAAAGGTTGTAGGCGGCGGGGCGGGACCGATAATATCGCTCAGCGGATCTGAGGAGCATGCACTATCATTTTCTCTCTCTCCTGGTGGAAGAGGCCTGCTTTGACTCTCTTCTGCATGTGTTTGGGCCGGGGGTGACGGCGGAGGACTCCGGCCCATGTCAGTGTGGGTATCTGGGCGCAGGCTGTGACTCCTATTTCTGGTATGCATATGTTTTCTACTTTTGCTTTCTATCTCCCTGCTGTGTCGCCTATGGCGGTGAGTCCTGTTTGGGGATTTAGATCGGCTGCGGGATCTTTCGTCGTGATAATGGCGGGATCTCCTGTGACTCTTACTGTGGTGAGAAGCACCCTTGTCATCGGTTTTCTCCGCATGTTCAAATCCATATTTCGAGCATTCATGCTTCCGACGATGCCGGCCGCGACGATCTCTTTCTTCTTTTCGGTTATGTCGACCAACGTCAGATTCCCGCAATACATCCTCCGTGTCCGACCGATCTCCCTGATGGTCTCGCTTTCGCCTTCTTGACTGTGTATTGTAGTCATCATCCGAATATGTGTATTTGTCTTCTGTTTTTCGAGTTTGACGAGATCTACCCTGGTCACGGCCGCGAGGCTTTTCACTTTTCTTCTCACGTCGGTCAGGAGATTCAACTCTTCGCCGTTTGTGTTCCCGTTCACTTCGTTCCCCCGACCTTGGTGGTCTAGGGTGTCTGTCTCTCCCTTCCCTCAAGTTTCTCATTTTTTCCCTCGCCTCCTCCTCCTCTTTCCGTTTCAAATTCGCATTGTGGCTGTCTGTTTCACGAATAATATGCTTTAAAAACCGTGTATTTGGTTTGGGAGCACCGCTGATAGACCTAACATAGCGTACTTGTTAGCCTTGGTAAACCGAAGACAGTAATAATAGCGATAATACCGTTTCGATGGGCCGTATACCCCGAGAGCAGAGTATCTTAGTGAGCAGTCTCGCGCATCCTTAGCAAGGAGTTGGGCAACGTAGTCATCATCATCCCAATTTGCGTTGCCTGTAGTATCCTTCTTATGCTCCGACATGATCTCCTTGGGTCGCCTGGGTCGATCTATCGGTCGTCTTGTATATGTCAAACTCGACTTGAACCGCCGGACTTTTTTGATATCGAGAAGTTGAGATGACTAATCAAACAAACAAGACAAACAAAGGCTTGTTTACTCTTTTTTTTTGTTATCGCGATAAGCTTAAAATTGTTTATCTTCACTCCGCGATATAAATTTAATGTAACGAATAAGACTTTGCATCTCTAAAAGGGATCCTGATATAACTTCAAAAATGGGTGATACGGCCTATTCCGATGCCCTCGAGCAGATTCGCTCATTAGATAAAGACATGCGGGAAGATACACTCGCAATTGTTCGAATCAGTGAACCTATCGGTTCAGCATCGGACGGCAACACAACAGCAGATCGTTCACCATCGAAGCGTGCCTCAGACGTTTCTACAGATGCATATGATAATCCGACGCCAGCTTCTCTGGAAGCTGATTTAACTCACTACAAGGTACGTTTGTCGACTCAAGGCCCGGTAGGCTGTATGGCTAAACGACAGGTATAGGAATTGTTCTCAAAGCTCCGGTTTTCCTATCTAGAACAGGTCACGAAAGAGAAATTTTTGCGTGCAATTGTTGGTGATCCACCTCTAGTTGTTGCCCATAGCGATAATGTAGAACTGGAAGCGGAACTGGCGCAAGTGAAAGAGGAATTGCAACGGAGGAAAGAAGAAGTTAGGATGTCAGTAGAAGAGATGGAAAAGATGGGCAGAGACCTTGCCAAAAGTGATGATCCCAATAACTTCCGCATACCCAAAGCCGTTTACTTTGAGAGCTAATGGTTTTGCTCCTTCAATCACAGGATATGAAAATGTACAGTTACAGACTACACAGCTTTCGGAGCTACCTTCTTCAATTGCAAACCTGGAAGCAACTATCGCAAAACTTCGTGCTGCCCAATCATCACAGCTTCATGAACGGTCTTCTTCATCTCCGTCCCAAAACCTCCCCCTTGAAGCTACTCTCCGACTGTTAGCAGATAAAGACGCCGAATTGACAAGTATAAAGCGAACACTAGCATCTGCGGAAACAGCGTTAGTCCGTAAAACGGGTGAAGCCGAAGCCCTCGAACGGGAGCTAGCTGCACTGGAAAAGAAGAGAAACGAGGTTGTTGCGCAAGCCAAAGAAGCACAGCGACGGAAACTTCAGGGAGAGAGTGACGGACTCGAAGAGATGGGGAGATGGTATGCTGGGGCAGAACAGATACTGAAGGGGTTGGTATGACCCGGTATCATGATATATTCAAGGCGTAGAGTTTCGCTCAGGACTAGGAGTTTTGGACAAGGCAAGAGTGATAAAGGGAAATTGGTCGCTATTGTATATTTAATGATTCGAACATAGCTCATATTTCATGATCATACACGGAGTGTTGAGGATAGCGACATCCATTTATTATTTTGTTTTATTTTGTATATTTTTTCATCATCTACTCCTCATCTTCATCCTCATCATCGCCATCACCCTTCTCGGCAGCCTTCATCTTCTTGCGCTTAACGCGGCCTGGGCGACCACCACCAAGAGGAGAGGTAAGGGAGAAGTCAATGTGCTTCTGGGAGTCAAGTCGGACAACGAAGGATGGGACGTTGACGATTTGCTTGCCGACGCTAGATAGGGATGTTAGAGTAGGTTCCATGGGTGCATGTACGCGAGAGACCAAGAGAATGCCTACCGGATGTGTCTTTGCTTGATGAGAACACGGGCGTGGTGGATGGACTTGGCGAGTCCAAGTCTGTAGACACAGGTCTGGAGACGGCGTTCCAAGAAATCCTCGATCTTGAGAGCAAGCACGTAATCGAGCTTCATGCGGGACTCGTCGAGCACACCAACACGGACTAGTCGTCGAATCAAGGCGTTACCCTCGAACAGGCGCTTGGGGTCCTTCTCGTCAAGAGTAAGAAGCTCACTGCAAATTGAGACCATGTTGTTAGCCTCCGCAACATCATCCAAATCCCCCCCTCAACATCGTAGTAAATTCTGAAGAGCCATACCGAGCAGCACGACGGATCTTGGAGAGGGTCAGGTTGACACGCCACACCTCACGCTTGTTGCGGAGGCCATATTCGCCGACCAACTTCAATTCGGAGTCACTAGAAAGAGGCGAAAATGGGCAGGTTAGGAACAGTTCGCACCAACGACATGAGCAAAAGCAAGCTAATTGCTCAGTGGCCGGGAAGTACTAACAGACGAGCCGACTCGAATGCTATAAAATAGAAGACACGTTAGCCAGCTTGTCCGGTAGTTATTGCAGGATATATAATCGCGGTCCAACTAAATACTTACGACGACGTGGGACCTTGTAGGTCTTGGAGTATGCGCGCCTGCAGTCAACGAAGACACGTTAGCAATGAGGACTTCTTCGCTCTCTCTCTCTCTCTCCAGCAAAGAATATCAACGTACGGAGCCATGGTGGATTATCTGTCGAAAGGCTGAGCTGCACACCAAAAGTTGTCGATGCGAAGAAAAGAAAAAGTCGAGAAAGTCGAAAGTTTTGTTGTTTTTTTTGATGTTCAGGTTGACAATTACATAAGCAGAGTCGCTTCTCCCGTTTGGGCGAGAAACTAGGGCTTAAACCCTGACTTCCCAAAATTGCACGCTAAGCGAAAAAGCTGGCGAGTTTGAAGAAATCTCGAAGTCTTCAACTGCAACGCCGACAACTCCAAGCAACGAGACAAACCCGTTCAACCAGCCGTCAAGATGGGTCACTCAGCCGGTTTGAGGGCGGGCACGCGAGTACGTTCTGGCACTGGCTTGCCTGCGATCGTTTTGATACTGACGTTCTATAGTATGCCTTTTCTCGCGACTTCAAGAAGAAGGGTGTTATCCCGCTGTCCACCTACATGAAAATCTACCGGTACGGCCTTTGACGTGTACGGCTTTATACTAGGCGAATTGTCATGCTGATTCGATTGGTTTTTTTTAGTGTTGGTGATATCGTTGATCTCAAGGTCAATGGAGCTGTTCAGAAGGGGTTAGTTGGCCGTCAAATCCACCCAAGTTGATTCACTTCCATTCGCCTCGAATATGCGATTTCTGGACCGAAGAGAAGGCAGAGAAACCAGAATACAAGAGATGGGAGATCGCATTTTCAAGGGATAAAGGAGATACACCAAAGTTTGGGACAACCGGTTTACTAAAAGTTCCCGTTTTTTATAGTATGCCACACAAGGACTTCCACGGAAAGACCGGCGTTGTATACAACGTTACCAAGTCCGCTGCTGGTGTCATAATCTACAAGCGCGTCGGCAACCGATACATCGAGAAGCGAGTAAACGTCCGCATCGAGCACATCAACCACTCCCGATCCCGAGAAGAGTTCCTCAACCGTGTCAAGGAGAACGCCATCAAGAAGCGCAAGGCCAAGGAGGAGGGCATCCACGTCCACTTGAAGAGACAGCCCGTCGGCCCTCGGGAGGCCAGAGTAGTGAGCCTGGAAGGAAACGCCCCGGAGACACTTGCTCCTCTTCCATACGAGACGACTATTTAATTTAAGAAATCAAAAAACGAACTTATTGAAAATACCTTTTTTCTTTTGCTTGTCTCGAGTTAAAAGCCTGGGCCAGAGGGGGTTTCTCTTGTTCTACCGGTTTTTGTTTTTTAAGGTCGCTCTACAGAGCATTAGAGGGAATACCTTACTCTCCCTTTTTCTTGCTGCAACGAACGTGCCGGAGCTATTTCTTCGGTCGTTGATTGGGAATAAGGCACTCATGACATACAAGGCCCTGCGCCATATTAACGATTTGATTCCTTTTTCCATAGACGAACTATACCGTCCGTGGCTCCGTCCCATTGTCCTCCTGGCGTAGCTTTACTTTCCACATCGGTCTTTCATTTTGTAGTCTTCAGTAAGGCTATATACTTGGCCTTATTTACCTGTAATTGCTCTACGGACACTTTTATTGAATTGGCTTGTTCATTAATGTAGGAAACAGATGAAATAAACCTGGCTTCATCAAACTCATCACTTTAAGCCCCCGACTACATGCCAAAAGAAATCAAAACGAGAATGCCCAGCAAAGCAAAAAACATTATCAGGTAAACCGTCAGTCACTGATGCTCATTTTCAACATGAAAGCTTGAGCTCTTGACCAATTCGACACAAAAGTCTGCCCACTCCGTCTTCTTTTCATGGGCTCCCGCGCCTCCAACTTCAATGATTTCCTCCTCGATATGGTCCTCGATAAACCTGCCATACTTGCGGCGGTACTCTGAATTAACTCTCTCCAAGTGTTGTGGTTCCCAGTGCAGGCGAACCAGTCGTGAGATAAGAAGCTCGGCACGGTCACGCCCGGTGCCGGACTCTGTAATAGCCTGATGGATTAGCAGAGCATCACGCATGGGACGATTACGGACGCCGTTGAGAACATGCCCTAGTGTCTCGCCCTAAATTTCGGGTAATATGGTTAGTGTATATTGGGCAATAGGATTGACTAGAACTAGACATACCACTAGATTCCGAGATTTCGAGAGCATTGCCCGAGTGAAGTTCTCTCGATATGTCATCTCATACGCTTGCAAGACCTCCCGAAGATGCGCATTCCCTCTTACAATGATAATCTGTATCATAGCCGTTTCTCCTCCGTCACGCGATGTCACCGCACGATGAAGATCGATTACGTCCTTACGAACTAAGTCAAAATTCAGAGGCGCGTTATCCGGCTGTCTCTTCTCCTGCAAAGCCAGAAGGATAGCAACACGGAATTTGTCGGCTTTGAGTTCGGTTTGCATGCATAGCTCAAGGTTATCATGGTATCTCTTATCACGGAAGCAAGCTTTGATTTCCTTTATTTCAGCATTGGGTCTCCCTATAAGGGATTCGATGAGCAGTTCATGGCGGGTACGGCTTGATTGGTACCAGAAATTGGCCCATAGAGCTTCGGACTCCCACTGCCCCAAGGCAGTCGCATAGCACACTTTGCCGAAGTTTCCAGGAACCACCATTTTGATGTGCTTGGCCATATTCACCCCTTTTCTAGTCATAACTCTCAGATGCTTATATGCGGAGCGAAGGTCCAGAATCTCGTTGGATGTGAGATATGGAAGAATTTTTATCAGCGTTTTCGGGTTGATTTTCGAATGGGTCAAGGCAGAATGTATTAATTTTGCATCATCTTTGGGATCATAGATGTAAACCGGTTGCTTGGGCGTGATCTCCTTGATAGGGCCAGATCCCAGACTGGTGGACAACCTTCTACGGATTTCAAGCTCCATAGATGCATCTTCTGCTTTTTTCTTGTCCTTCTTGCTTTGCTTGCGGCCCAGGGTCTTGCTTCCTTTGCCACTAAGAGGCTCCATGTCAGATAAAGCGTCATCTGCAAGGGACGTTGGCCACTGAATTGGAGATATGCTTTGATATGTGCCTCTGTATGGCTCTAAAAGCGGGCTGGCTGGGGGGTGGCTGCCATCTGGAAAACTGCCAGGTATTTTCATGTGATCATCCACAGATAATGTCAAGTTACTTGGCCTACTACTGACAGTTTGACGGCGGGGTTTTATTTCCATATATGAGGCCTGCTTCGGCTGGCTAGCTGGAGTTGCAGTGTACTGAATCTTGTTGTCATGGCTCGCGGCAGGGGCAGGGGCTGGTGCCGGAGCCTTGGAATATCTGATTAGTGACTCTGGTACAGCGTACTGATAGACGTCTGGTTGGCTATATGTCTTCTTTGTAGGAATATTTCCAGTGGATGTTGCACGTTTATGGCCACTGGAAGTTTCTGGCTTCGGAGCCAACGTTGGAGCGGCAACTGGGGTTTGACTGTACTGTGGCACATATCGTGCAGCCGGAATAGTAGGATACTGGGTGGTGGACGTTGTTGGGCTGGTGACATTCGCTCCTGGTATCACACTGGGGATGGGACGGGTATAGGCAGAATTCTGCGGGCGAGGGGGTACCTCCGGGGGTGCTGCCGCAGGCGCAGTAGGGGTTACCGCGGGCGGTGGCCGCTGGTAATATTGGGTAATATCCGCGTATATGTTAGGCATATCTGGCAGTTTATTACTCGGCGGGGCTGCAGCTGGCGCTTTCTCGGCTGGTGGGACATATCCTTCACGTTCACATTCGGGTATTTCTGCCCAAGCATTGAGGTCAATCTTTGATGTTTTTTCCTCTGGTTGGGGAGGCCCTTGGGAGAAAGAAGGATAGAGCTGCGATTTGAGCTGTTCAAATGCGTTACCGAGCCCATATTTCTGTGTCATAGGGGGTTTCTCTTCGCTGGGAGCGTAAGCCGTGTGGGAAACCTGATCTTGCTCGAATAAACTTCCATGCCGAGGGGATTCCCTGGTTCGACTGTGGGAATACCGCAACTGATCCTTGGTAGTATGCTCATAGCTAGAGTCAGAATCATATACTGGTCTAGGGTCCGCAGGGAGCCTGCCGCGGGAACTTGATCGTTGGTGGTTGTGGTGGTTTCTGGCAAGGGGGTAGTCGTAAGGGTCGCCATAGGCTAGATGATCATCGTCCTCCTCTGAGTCTTCATAATATTCAGGCTCAGGAAGTCGGGACGACCTTGATGAAGGATAGGTGACGGCTGGCGGTTTAGGCGCCGGAGCACTCTCAACATCTGAATGCGAGTCATACAGGTAGCTCGACCGCTTGCCTTTGGAATGTTTAGAGCTGGATGAATATTTAGGAGCTAGCGCATGCTCGTCGGAGAGATAGTAATGATCGTTTGGTACCGCTACAGAGTGCCTCGAGCTTCTTGACGTACGAAACCTTTCGTCGTCGGATGGCGAAACCTCGCGGTACTGACTAGGCATGTGTCGAGAGCTTGCCCGGCGAGGAGCTTCGTCTTCGTAGGAATCATAGTCATAATACTTTTTTGACTTCTCCTTCTCCCTAGGCGGAGAAGATATGCGAACATGGCTGTGACTGCGACTATGACTGCGACCGTGGCCATGGTCGCGGCCATGGCGCGATCTTGACCGTTCTCGAGACTTGGACCTCGATCGAGAGTACTGGTCTGGGATGCGGAGGGACATGATTGCGAGATAGCTTTCTCACAAGGGCAAAGCAAGACAACTCCTCAGCGACTGGGGAAAGCAGAATCGGATCTGAAAATACTGCTGGCGACCCTGCAGCTTCACAGCGTTGACTCGAGTTGGTGAAGAAGGATCCGAGTTGGGAGGCCGACGCAACGTGCGATAGCTCGAGCCTTGCAAAGTGGGTTTCAGCCGCTCTGCAAACCCAAGCAACGGCCGCTTGGCCCCCATATTTGCTTAACTTTCATGCCGCAAAGATGGCGCACATTGGCTGGTCACGCAAAGGTACCTGGTGATAGCAACTGAGCCGAGTGGACCGCGGTCGTATTGTTTATTGTTGCGATTGGTTGTACAGTGGACATGGCTGTTGGCCTGCATCCGAGGCTTGCGATTGCGCATGCCAAAACGTCAAGGCTCCATAACTCGTCCAATTATTATATCTATGTATATTATAACACCAAGAAGTAAGATAGAAGCTTCCACGGTGAAGCAAAAGGCAACCAAAGAGGATATATGCAAGCCGGAGTCGCAAAATCCCTCAACCGGCTAACCTCATAAAAATATTCGTCGTGATAATCATCATATGTACCGCCAGCACCAGGCTTGGTCGAGTGAGAACAATTTATATATAGAAAATTCGCTTCGCGCTGGATCACAAGATACGCGGTATGTTAAGGATCCATTTTTCCCTCTCTGATGAGCCGTTCCCTCATCTTTGCCTTGATAGGGACATTGGCCATTGCATCAGAGAGTGGTCGACCAGCCCTACGCCACGTTTAGTTATGAGTTGGTATAATAAGAGCGCTGTGGAACAACTCACATCAAATCATCATAATGCATCTGACCGCCTTTGTCCTTGATCTGTACTTGAGTGCGCTTGAATAGTATATTCCCTGCCATGGAGTCTCGCTTCTTTATCTCTGACCAGGCGGGCCCGCCACACTCATCGATCAGTTCTCTCAGACAGGCTTCTTCTTCAAGTGACCAAGCTCTACGTGGGGCCCAATTCAATACAGGTTGTGTCTCTACAGCTACCTGTTCAAACCGCTGTGGTGGAGGAGCAGTGCCAGTAGCTGAGTTGTTGCTGATAGAGGCCTGTCTGCTATTACTTGTTGAAGCTATGCGAGGGCCTGAAGCTGGGGTAGGCCGAGGAGGAGCTGGTGTGTTAGCTACACGCCGTTTCTTCGGCGGGCGATTATCAGTTTCGAATTCATCATCATCGTCATCATCATCATCATCCTCAGATTCATCATCGTGAGGATCTAAAGCTTCGGCTGCAGAGCGTTTCTGCGGGCTTCGTGCAGGGGGCCCATTAGAGCGCGGGCTAGGGGTGAAGCTAATGGGCGAAACCCTGCGTGCATCAGCTTGTCGGTCTATGAATGCTCCACGAGGTCTGTTTTCTTGCTTTATTTTTAGGGTCTTCTTTCCTTCTTCCGAAAGCCTCCATATCTCTGCTGATGAAAGAGGAGGTAACTCTTCTTCGTGCCTGTTACTTAGCCCGTTCTTTTGTGGCGATTCTTGGATGCCTATTCTTGGGGTAGGCCGGGGCGGTGAATTTTGTAGGAGGGACGCGGATGGTTCCTCAGAATTTATGCGCGGGCCTAACACAGCCGCTGGTGTCTCCTTGTCTTGGCCTGGTGGTGGTATGGTACCATTCTTCGTAGCAGGAGGTAAAGTAGAGGGAGCTTCATTCGAGGGCCCAATCGCAAGGACACGCCGGAGCGCACCCTTCCCTTGAAACCGACGACGCGGGCGGGGTACTGGGTTTTCAGCCGCCTGAGGCTCTTCGTTTACCTCCACAGCAGTTGGTTGTGCGAGAATCGGAGGAATCTCTTCCACTGGACCAACCGCAAGCACTCGCTGAAGTGCACCCTTTCCTCGGAACCGGCGATGCGGACGAGCGGTTGGGCTAGCGGCCGCTTCAGATTCCTCAATTTCCCTATCATCACATTCCACTGGTCTCTCTGGTGTGGTATTCCTCTCTACCGGAGACTCAACCTCATCTAGGATAGGATCTGAGGTAGTTTCCAACGGATTTCCCGGCCCAAAACTGGACCGTTTGTCCAGCTCAGCCTGTAGAATCTTGACGGCTTCTTCAACAGGCCTTTGTGAGCTAAGCTGCTGGTCAATGTCATCCGCCCGTCGTCGAATCCAATTTGCAATATCGATGACAAAACCTGACCATGGGAACTCTGCCTCCAGGCCTCCCTTCCTCGATAGCAATCTACGGATTAACAATATCCTTTCCTGAACTATGCCATGAAATTCTTCAGGCAATTGGTCCTCATCGTTCTCAAGGCCATTCATCGTCCAGCCCTTCAGTCCGGCATCGTACTCGCCGAGAGAAGGATTGTAAAACACATCTTCTAGCAATTCTTCAGGCCCGGAACTTTGGCTTCCCGTGTCCGACTGAAGGTTCGCAATGAAACGTTGAGTTCGTAGCTCCAACCCTAGCTGGACTATTTCTCTTCTGCAATCCTCCTCCCCAGAAGGCCCAGCTAATCCAGATGGAAACGAGTCCACGAATGCAACTGGGAAGTTGTCGTCGGCGACTGCTGTCGATGTGGTTGGGTGAGGGTTTATCAGGTCCAGAGCTAGCTGTGCCAGATTAGCTTTTTGATATAGTCCCTGTGATTTCCAATTTAGTTGTTTGATGGAAGATAACGCAACGGCAGAACGTTCGACGGGAATAAAATTGGCTTTCCCAATGCACTTCTTTTGTGTTTGAAAGGTCTCTCTGATCCTATTGAGCCTGGCGGCAAACTTGGGTGTTTGAAAATGTTTGGATATTTTGGTATAAGAAATCCCTGGTGGCGCCAGAAGGTCCAGAGCTTTGTTGGATGCATTAAGTAAGTCGGGAAGGGTATCTAGTATTAGATGTGGGTCGAGTTCGTCAGACTCCTGCTCCGAGTCATCAATTTGAAGCATCGTGGTCCCTGAAATGTTGCCATGATCTGCCTGTGATTCGGCAACATATGTTTGACTGATATTGGACTGGTGCCCGGGAGAGAACTCTAGACCATGCCTTGTATCGTTGGTACGGTGCTCCTTGATGGTCGAAAGGCCTTTAAATGCAGTTAGCTAGTGGACTATGGACCGCGCCAGCGGAGTCGGTAGTAGTTTCAGTGTGAAAGAGTTAACCTGACTCCACAACCCCCCATAGTAGTGTTCAACATACCATTTCCCCTTGATGAAACATCAGAGGTTCTTGGAGTTCGTGGCACAGATTTCCTCCTGGCATCGTCACTCCTTTGTGGCACTGAAGGAACCTTGAAGCTCAAAGGTGCCGGACTCTCTCCAAGCTCTCGACTGCGGCTCCGGGTTACGCGCGAACTTGTCCCTTGCTGGCGTTTAGCGGACACGGAGCGACTTTTCGGCGGCCGACTTTGCGGAGTGACGCTATGGGCCTGGGCCATCATTTTAATTTTTTTTCTTCACGTTCAAAGGGCCAACAAGGCCGCTAACTCATGCTATGGGTATATGTGATATAAACATGTACAAGCAACAGCTAAAGGTCGTATTGGAAGCTGAAAACTGCAAGGTGAGGTTGGTTGAAGCGGTTGAGATGGAAAATATTGAGGTTGGAGCGTCGTGAAAATAAACAACCATGAGCGCTAAACCCGATTCGGGCTGTTTTTATCACGTGAACAAGCTATACTAGATTAGCAACCCTAACCCTAACCCCTAACCCTAACCTCAACCCCGGAAGAGCCCCCGGAGATAATCGGAGAACCGAAAGATCTCGGCGTATTATTAGTCATTTATTACTAAGACGCTCACTCCGCGGAAGTCAAAACTCCTTCTAAAAATAAGATACAGGAACATACATAGTAGCGGATAAAAGCATATAACGAAGAGGACGAACATCTTAATTGGCTACCAAGGCCGATCCGCATGATAGCGCTGTTTTTTATGCACTAGGCAGCTCGAGATATGTACGCTAGCTACCCATGGAGACTATATCGTGTCTGATAACAGCTAACAATGTGATGGAAGGTTGTCGCGATTGCGACTTGCAGGATGATGCTGGGAAGCTTGCCATGCCCCTTGCTTCGCCCCCCAATATACGGATTACGAAAACCGGTGCGGATAGCAACCGTTGTGTCGGTAACTTGTGATCTCGAGGACTACCTATCGAGAGGAGCTCAAATCGGCCTGCTATCTGATGTTCAACGACCTATCGAAGCGGGCAGACGAGCCGAGACAGAGCTACATAGCGAAGAAATCACCTTGAGAGCAAAAACAATGGAGACAAATGGGGAAATACTATGTAAGCTAGCACCCTTTTTCGAGGCCAAAACACTGGTGGTGCCAGGGGCATCCATGGCGGAGGCCCAATGCTTGCCCCAGCCATGGAGGGGGTAACACCAACCTCCATAAAATAGGCCCAGTCGATGTTTAAGATGTTGGTGATGAGATATGATCTGTCTCCTGTTGTACCCTATACACAATAGTACAGGGTACATTTTACGTACATGGGTACGGAGTAACTACCTCTTATCGATCACAGAGGACTGAAAGCTCCCGGATCAGTGGCACGGAAGAAGGGAGTGTCCTGGCTTTTGTTAGCAAGCGGGTGGATCTACGGAGTATATCTAACATGGGCTAAGCAGACGAGCTGCTGTCTCATCGTTGGCTCTTGAAACCTCCCATTTAAACTCGAGTTGTTAGTAGTTACTCGTCGCACATCTCGCTGTCTTTTACCTTTTCCTACCTTTTGATAAAACCGACAGCTCTGACAGACGGCGAAAAGCCTAACCTTCCTCTCGTCTTCTTGCCTCTTCTTTCCAGAGGAAAATGGCGAAGAAAAAGGGGGTCTTCTTCTCCATGTCACAAGTGTTTTATCCCTGATAGTCCCAAGAAGAAGCAAAAGAAACAAACATCTTGTTGCCAAGAAAACTGCGCCAAAAAAAGGTCGAGGCCCAAGAGGGCTCACGTGAGCTGGCCGAGCCTCCAACCCCTTTGAGGAAGTTTTTGAACATCTTCAAGTTTCTATAACTACCACATATCACTTCTTCTGCTTCTGCTTCGACAAGCAACCTCTTTACGGCTGGAACATGCAGAGATAGGCCTTCGATCACGCTCATTCATTCATTTCTTCTTGTTGTTCTTCGTCTCCTTCCTGGTACGCTTTGGTTTTTGGGTATTCTCGGCCTCGTCATCGCATTTGCTTTCGTTCAGAGCGATATCACGGACTTTGACAGACGTATCCGACCAAGTCTTGCTCATATTTTGCGATCTGGAATTGCTTTATTTGCAGGCTGACTGTTGGAGTAATCTGTCTTGTCTGGGAAATAACTGAACACCACCTAATCAGACTACTTCGCTGCAGCTCAACATGCGTGTTCAGCCTTTCGTCTCATCCGCCCTTCTCCTCCTCTCCGTATCTACAGCTATAGCCGGCCCCGTATCGAACCCAGATGCGAAGAAGAAGTCGCCTTCCAAACATAGTCCAGAGTCAGACTCTACCAAGACCGTTGCAGAGGCTCTCGCTACAGACAACCCCCAAACATGGGACTTTAGCGGTCCCTTTGACGGAAAGGATGGGAAACCCCATGCCGGACCGTTTGTAGAAACAAACGCAGAGCGGGACCGTAAGAAGTCCCAGAATGGGTCCAAGATGAAAGACGAGGAGGACGATACTTTCTCTGAAAACACCGAACATATCGCCCCAGACGGGACCAAGATCCCTCACTCGAATGATGGAGTTATGGACGATAAGAACCGTTCGGGCCCCAAGGAAGGGACAACAGGGACAGAGGGTGGAGTGTCGGAGAAATCTAAAGGAAAGGACACCAGCGGAGACAGGAAACCAGATCCTCCAAAGGAGGCCCCTCCACTACCTCACAGTGAACAGAAGAAGATCCCCGGACAGGACGACCAGACAGAGAATTACGAGGATGAGAAGAAGGGGTCTAAGGTATTGGAGGTATGTTAATTCTATATCATGACCTAGCACGTTGCTTGACAATTATCCTAACACGTATATCCCTTTGTAGAAACCAGACGATCTTCCAGAGTCTCCTCACTCTATCTCCTCAGGGAAATCCGACAAGCCTCTTGGCCCTGGTATTTCCACGAAACCGGGCTCATCTCAGTCGCCTGGTACAAAGACACCGACTGGGGCTCACAACAATGAATTCATCCACCCCTCTGATTCGTTTTTCCTATCCCTGACGATGATTATCTTCTCTGAGATCGGTGATAAGACCTTCCTGGTTGCTGCGCTTATGGCTATGCGCCATCCTCGGATGCTCGTCTTCTCCGCCGCATTTAGCGCACTTGCTGTCATGACCGTTCTTTCTGCTATTCTTGGTCATGCCGTTCCTACCATACTCCCCGCACATTTTACCAGCGCCCTCGCATCTGTACTATTCTTCGTCTTTGGCTGCAAAATGATGTTAGAGGCGCGCAACATGGCCCCGGACGAGAACGTGAGCCAGGAGATGAAAGAGGTCGAAATGGAGCTGGAGGAGAAGGAACATGAACAGCGCCGTATGGGCCGCAACCGCTCCGGCATCAGTGCGTATGCGCTAGAGTCGGGACATGGTGGACTTCCTCGAAAGAGCAGATCCTCAAACCACATCCTTCCCTCTCCGGAGAGCCTGTCCTCTTCTTCGTCAAGGGACAACTCTCCGTCTCGCTCTAACACCCTCGCAAATGTCACATCCGGCGTTAGCAACCTGTTCTCCTTCCTACTGAGCCCCGCTTGGGTGCAGACCTTTGTAATGACATTCCTCGGGGAATGGGGTGACCGAAGCCAAATAGCCACCATCGCCATGGCTGCTGGTGCTGATTATTGGTGGGTTACCTGTGGTGCAGTAATCGGACACGGGTTATGCACCGCTGGCGCCGTTATAGGCGGACGAGCCATCGCTGGCAAAGTCAGCATCCGAGTTGGTACGATTAACCCTTCTGGTTCCCCTTTTTTTTCATTCATTCACTAACATAGTCCTTTAACAGTTACCTTTGGTGGCGCCGTTACCTTCCTCATCTTCGGTCTTCTTTACCTTTTCGAATCTATATACTAAACACCATTGCTTACCTATATCCTGCCTGTGATAACAGTGCTACCACATTGCCTTCGCGCTCATGAATTACTACTCTACCTTAATTTCTTTTCTCCCATTTTATCCCGGGAATCACATTCGGCGCTCAACTTCGCGCGCACTCTCTCTCTCTTACGAACTGATCATATGCCTTTAGGAACCCCCTTATCTTTCTCCTTTTTCCATTTACTTCAGATGTTTTCATGGCGTGCTGTCCATTTCCCCTTTCCTTTTTCTTTCTCTTAGCTCTTGTTTCGAACTGTTATCTCGACGGATGGTCCTCTTGTATTCTTTTTTTAGTATGCATCTCTCACTCCCTACTTTACAACCATTTTTCATCCTGGCCTTTCCATATCAATCCCAACATCCCCGTATGCCAGATATACCAGCATTTTCCTTCTCTCTATATATATCCTCTAGTCTCTTTTCCTTTTCAATACTTGGTCTACCCACCTTTCTGGTATTTTTTGCTGAAGTTTTCCTGCAAGGCAAGGTTATCAAAACATAGAAGGATATGGTTTTTTCGTTGCTTTATTATGAAAACACAAACAGGCTGGATGACACTGCCACATATGCTAATCAATAAGATATTGTTAACCCATACCAATTGGATGTGGTCATGTTGGAATGAAACTGCAGGACTGCTTTGTATTGGTATTTGGTTAGAGCAAACACCAATATCACTATTGATATTAGTTTTCTTCTTGTCCAAACAACTTCTCACCCTGAAGTTGACGGAGGATGCCGTCTGTTTTACCTCTACGATTCCTACTAGCACAATAGTTAGCTAGTAGGGGTTGAGAGGACAAGAATATTAACTACAGAACCCCTTCCACCGAAATACCAGTTTATCCATCTGGTGCATCCTCATCTACCAATCTATTATCATCAAAGGCAAGGCCATTCAGACTCCATGGCTCAGCTCGAGGTTCCCAAACAGCGCTCTACAGGAAGCCCAAAGAAGAAGACAGAATGCAGCAAGGAATTCTCCTCCTTCTCGTCTTCAGGATCATCCTCGTCTATCGATATACCTGTAGTCTTCAGCGTATTTTATGGCAAACCACACAGCCCTTCTTGTCAGCCGGCCTCCCCACAACCACTCCAACACGCCTCTTTCGAGACCAAAGTCAGCCATACATTTATTGAACACGCTCGAAAGAGTACGGAAGAATCGCGAGGTAGGATATGGGAACGTCGCAAGCATCGCCGGGACTGCGACTCCATCCAGTTTAGAGAGATAGTCTCTCTAGCGAGCGCACACCATGACCAGATACTAGAGCTGTGGGGGAGCAAACACTGTGCCATCTGTGAGAAACAGCCCGCTGCAGCAGTGGTTTACCTGCCTATTTGCTGCACGTATGATGGATACTATACGCTTGCAGACGGAGATAAGTTGTTTGCGCTGATGCTGTCGATTTCAAAACTTGTTGCAGAGCTCGACTCGGATGTGAAGGTCCGTTCAGCCATCGGAAGCAACGTCCATGTGCCATATATCAACGGCCTTGCTGTGCCAGTCTGTTTGACAGGCGATAAATGCCGCAAGGAGGCCAACTCGGATATCGTGAAGTTCTTAAAGGCCTTCGGATTCGATGACAATCTCGCTGCAGATGAAGCAAAAGCCGATAGCGAGCATAACGACGAGGAAAGGGCAAAGGATGAACAGACACGGGCATTCAGACCGTTCCCGCAGCGTCGATCGACTTGCAGCTCGAAATTTGCCACGGATATGGCCATGTTTCGCGATGCCATCGAAGCCGATGAATGGGAAGACGACGATGTCAGTGATAGCAGTGATGATGCTATGCCAAATGAACCACCCATCCCTAGCATCCCTGGCAACAGCCCTACGCGAACGTATATGCGCGAACGAGTTCCGCTGAGATATACGGTAATATGTGGCCAGCCGATACTGAGCCAGAGTCAGGGCTTGAATGTTACTGAGGTTGATGCTGGTCGTCTAACTTGTCTGGTCTTTACCTCTCGATGGGAAGCCGGTCTGCTGGAATCTGTTGCAAATGCCAGCAATGATCCAGAGCCATATCAGATAATAGCCTCGTTCCACGAACGATTTATCATGGCGTCTGCCGAATTCCGCTGCTGCATTTGCCCGAATCCTGTGTTGGCCACAACGTTGGTTCACTGTCCGATCTTCTTCAGGCGAGATTCCGATAATGCCCCCTGTAACTTGCCTCATCGACAATCAATGATTAAGTTATTACAATATACAAAAGGGCGATGGAACTACCCCCAGACAAAGGCAGCGTTGGGGTACGACGGAGTATGGCATATCAGTGATTTTGTTGTACCGATATGTCATAGGGCCTCCATATGTGAAGAAACCGCGAGAACCGCAGCAAGACAGTTCATCGACGAAACACTAGTTGCTGGCACGAAGAGATGTTATCCTGAATTATTGCCGGATACTGACCTTCTAAGTACATACTGGGTTGAGAATGGAGGCAAAATCCCCAAGCTGGTAGTTGAAAGGATAGGACTTGGCATGTTCACTGACTCCAACCAAAGAGATGATGTTAGGTCAGAAGAAATAGTGAAGAACAACCGAGCCATCGAGGAGTTAAGGCTCTCTGTCAAAGCTAAACGAGAGAATGGAGGCGGTACTGCTGGTTCCGATGCATACGTGCCTAGCCTCGATGGTAGAGGAAACGACGCCGGCCCCTGTCTTCCCGAAGAGCTACGTAAGGAACTCATACAAGAGGGAGGAAAAGTCTACACTTATAACATCGAAGATGAAGATGCAATGGGCTCTGCTGAAGCCGAGGAAAGAGGCATACCAACCTGGGGCGGATATCCTCTTAGTGAAGAGTCAGCCAAACTGGTAGCAGCAGGACTACATGAGACGACGCTGGTGAAACCTATGATTACGATGGAGGTGCTTAAGACATTGGAGAGTACGAAGGAGTTTATCAAGGAACGATATCATCTACGTGAAGACGAGGGAGATGTCAAGGAAATGTCATAAAGGGTTGTTGACATGAAGTAATAATTAACTACAGGATATCCAAAATTCAAATGAGTCACTTATACATGATTCACCACCTTTAGGATCCCCAATAAAACAGATCAAACAGCTATTTTTGTTTCTTCCCCCCCCTCCCTTCCGTCAATACCAAGTCATACACACGCCATATACAGGAGTAGACAAGTAGCAAACACTCTTCCGTCCACCAAACGAGTAGAAAATACAGACAGCCACCATATACATGATTAAAACAGTAGTAGTAGGCAACTATCGAGCATGAACCATATTTCCAAAGATAGCAACCAGATCCTTCTTGCTGAATGCGGGGGCTGGAAGAGCCAGCTTGATAACGGGTGGAGAGTCCGGTATATGGATGACAGGAGATGATTCCACCGATGAAGGGGTCGATTCGGAAGCGATCGAGCGTCTTGAGTCTAGAGTAGTCGGATAAGATGGTCCGGGGTCGGGACGGTCGCATGCAGAGATCACTATCGGAGGTGGTGCACGCGGGGCCGGCATGGAAGCAACGTCGGGTAGACCGCGTTCCGGGTAAGGGTGAAGGGGTTCACCCCAGCCTTGACGACAGATGTCGAGTGGGCGGAATTCCTTGCGAGTAACGGGAGTAAGAGCAGTGATGTCTTTGCGGTCTGCCTCAGGTTTCGTCCGGGCCTGTTCTTTGCCCTTGTTGCGTTTTTTGAAGAGGTTGGCGAGCTTGCGGAATGGGTTGGGGAAGGATAAGTCGATACCCTCGAGGGCATCGACGTTGAAGATCTCTTCGACATCGCGGGCGGGCATTTTGATTTTAGATGTTTTTTAAGATGTTTGTAGATATTGTTGAGATGCCTTTTTGAAGCCTTGAGGCTTTTCGCAGGTGGTATCAAGTCTATAGGCTGTGGTATTGATGAGCTAAATGCTCTGATATACTTGATATATGTTTATGTATGTGAAATAAACGGTTCAAATGCAGCTTGGTATTTGCTGTGAGCTTTGTTGGTTGCTTGTGTTGCCGTGAGGATGGATCTGACGAGGACTCCGGACTGTTTAGGAGATGAGTAGACGGTGCAGAAAATAATTAGGAAGACAAGTTAAGAGGAATGAGAGAAGAGCAATAAATCTGTCTCTCTTCTGGCCACCGATCCGTCATATTCCTGAATTCTATGGGGAGTCATCGCGAACCCTGGATAGCATGGACTAGAAAGAGTCAATGACGTCTTCATCTCATATTATCCCAATATGGAAAGCGAGAGAAAACTGGTAGAACCACGGTAGAGCACTGAAGCAGTAGTGAAAAGACCACTTTGACTCAGGCGATGTTGCCATGGTATCTGTATTATAGCTTTCTTCCTTGATATCTCCTTGTCTGCACCAGAATAGATGGCGAGACCCTGGTACAGCCATATCAACGTCGTCAGCCATTTTTCGTGCTCTTCCAGTGCTTTCTCAGCGATAGAGGAGAGCGAGTCATAGTCATGGTTGCTGCATATTCTCCTCAGGCACGATACGTGGCTTCACAGCAGAACCGTGGCACATGGGGTATATTGGATATATACGTATATATTCGAGATATATAAATTGAGCATGTCGGGTCCTCTGTAGATGTAGGAAAGATGCAAAAGAGATGTTTAAGAGGAAGAGAAGATAATGCTGAATCTCCACATCCCGCTCTCCGATTCTCCGGTGTGGTGAGGGATATGATATCATACGAAGCCCTCTTCACCGTGCGCAGCATTAGCATCAAACCTGAAACCGCCATTCTCATGATGGTGTATCTCTCAGTTATCGAGATGCCTAATTATTGCTTTTGATAGGTATGTAACCCGACTCCTGATAGAGAGAGAAAGCTACATCACCCGTTCACCTGAGCCAGTGGTGGGTGCATTTCCCCCACAAGGTAATACATGTTTAGCAGTCTGAACACTCCACTCCCAAATAATCAGACGAGAGAAGCGTTATCGTGAGCTTCGTAAACCCGGGTTGATCGCAGTAGCCGCCACCAACCTCGCGGCCGCTGTGGCCGCCACGAACGCTGATCCCGGTGTTCTCTTGTTGGCTCTGCTCCCTTTGAAACTTGACTGGAAAAAAAAGGGTCAAAAAAAGGAACAAGCTATGCACCCTTTATCTAAGAGACGTCCCATGCACTGCTTAAAGTGCCCCTAACGCCCTTGGCAAGGATATAAAAAGCGCTGTTAAGTGCTGCGCGGTGACGTTATGATATCATCGGGCTAGTTGCGATTGGACGACGGCCTTGCTCTGTGGAGGGAGGACACACTGGGGTTCCCATGCGCAGCGAGCACCCCTTCGCGTAGCTTGTGGATGTTTCTGTGGAAGAGAGCAGAGATAGGAGCAAAGGGAGAGACATCAAGGTGGCCACCGACACCCACGCGGGCGGTCGAGAGTTGATCCTATGCGCCAAGGGGCAGGGAATACGTATACGTAGGATGTTGTACAGAATAGAGAAGAGAGAGAACAATGTCAATACTGCAGTCGTTGTAGCTGTTGTAGCCGTTGTAGCTGGTGTGGTTGCAGATGAAGTCGTCGATATATCCGAAAAGGGAAACGCGAGGAAGTGTTACGGTGGTGATGCTTAGTGACTAGCGTGGTACTTACGTTTAGCGCAGTTTTTTGCGGGTAAAAGAAGTACCGTGTAAGTACCGCGTCACATGGCTGTTTGAACGAACCACCAGCTCCAGCAAAAAGGGAATTTATATAAAGACGACGCTGTTCCACTTCTCTTCTCTTCGTCTCTTCTTCTTCTCATCTGTTTTCCCTCTCGTAGAGAGCACAGAAGATGCTTGTCTGAAGTTTCCATCATCATTTTGCTGTGTTTTGCCTCCCTGCTGGGTTCCTACGCCTCCTTCGACCAGCTTTCACCAAACAACAAATTGACCATAGACGGGACAGCTCGACATTGTCTCTTCCGAATATAATATTACAGTATATACATCTCCTGCTTCTCTGCTGGTTGACGTAGCAGACGATAGCAAGCTTAGAGAGCTGGTTCTCTCGCATATATACCTACCAATTGAAGGCAAGCGGACAGGACGGGCTCAGATGGCGGACGAGGTGCAAGCAGAGCGTTCCCCAGCTCAATCAGACGTTATCAAGGAAGATGTGGCTGCTCCAAAGCCTGGTGTCAAGTGGACGAAGTATCTTGGTCTGAAGGGCAAGGATTCTCAAGCCCTCGAGGAGAGATGGGCTCACCGGGAGAAGTGGTCGATGGGTATACTCAGTGACAAACACACCGATGAAGTACCAGGTAAGACGTCTTTATCTCTTATTCTTCGCCTGGTCATGGCTAACCTGTATAGGAACCATCCTACTGCTTGCTTCAAAACGAAATGAACCTCTCGGTCTCAGAAATACACCAGCTCGAACATCCGCTACGTCACTACCCTCGCCATATCCTCCATCCAGGTCCTCTTCACGCGGCCCGGCAGCGCCCAAGAAGCGTACAGCAGACGGGACGATAGTCTTGGATCCACAGCCGGAAGAGTCCATGAACGACCCTCTCAACTGGCCTGTCTGGCGTCGAGACCTGGCGATGCTGTGTCTGGGCTTCTACTGCATGCTCGGAGGTGGTATGACTCCCATCCTGGCTGCTGCATACAATGAGGTCTCGCTAGAGTACAGTATCAGCTTCCACAAGGTTGCCTTAACTACGGGACTCTACATGCTGGGTCTTGGGCTCGGTTCGGTCGTCATGTCGCCTACTGCCATATTATACGGTAAACGGCCGGTCTACATCGCCGGTGCTACCATGTTCATCATCTCTGCGGTCTGGTGTGCTCTCTCTCCTTCTTACGTCAGTCTTGTCATTGCTCGCATCTTCCAGGGGTTGGCTGTTAGTCCTGTTGAATGTCTGCCTTCTGCTACCATTGCAGAGATCTATTTCTTGCATGAGCGTGCCTATCGGGTGGGTATATATACATTGCTGCTTTTGGGAGGGAAGAACTTGATTCCCCTTGTCAGTGCAGCCATCACAAACAGTCTGGGATGGCGTTGGATTTTTTGGTACGTGTGGTCAATCATTATCCAATGCTTTGATACATAAAACTAACGTTTGGCAGGATGGTTGCTATCACTACTGGATTTGGTGCGATCTTGGTGTTTTTCTTCGTTCCAGAGACCTTCTGGGATAGAACTCCACGTCCTCGTGTGAAGAGGCCCAATATGCGCAGAAGCGTCTCTGATCTTGTACATACCCTCCGAGGCAGGTCCTCGCAGCCTGTCACCCCTGGTCCCGAAGAACCAGACAAGCAGCTGGGCGCTGCTACACCCCGGAAGCACAAAGATGTGCATGTTGGCTTCGCTGATAATGAGAAGTCAGAAGTCGGGATGGAGGCCAGCAGGGCAGAGTACGAGAAAGACCTTGGCCAGCCTTCCGTTCCGGCTATAGTGATTGACCCCGAGGCCCAGCGGTCCGTTCCTGCGTCCAGGGACCAGGCGGATCCCACAGTCCAGCTATCCCAACAGCAGATTTACACCAGTAACCTTCGCGCCAAACCGCCAGTCAGCTTCATCCAGTCCCTTAAACCATGGAACGGCCGAATTGCCAGAGACAGCTGGCTCCGCGTCATGGTCCGCCCATTCATCCTCTTCGCCTACCCTGCCGTCCTCTGGTCGTCCATGGTCTACGCCCTCTCCGTCGGCTGGCTCATTGTCCTCTCGGAATCGGTGGCGGAAGTCTACGCAAACCGCGACGCCTACAATTTCACCCCTTTACAAGTTGGATTAGTGTACATCTCTCCATTTGCCGCTGGTATCCTTGGCACAATAGTGGCTGGCAGAGTGTCCGATATCGTCGTTCGATTCATGTCCCGTCGAAACGGAGGCGTTTACGAACCTGAGTTCCGTCTCGTCATGGGTGTTCCTATCACATTGGCCACAACCATCGGCCTAATGGGCTTTGGATGGAGTGCTCAGGAGAGAGATAACTGGATCGTACCCACTGTGTTCTTTGGCATCTTGTCCTTTGGTTGTACGCTCGGAAGCACCACGTCCATCACTTTCTGCGTGGACAGTTACCGTCAATATGCCGGCGAGGCGCTAGTGACGCTGAACTTCAGCAAGAGTAAGCCACCTCCATCCTACAGTATTTACCATTTTGACTAACCATTGCCCATAGACGTTCTTCATGGCTTTATTTTCTCTCTCTTTTTCGTCCAATGGCTCCAGGCAGATGGAGCCAAGGCGGTGTTTGTTGCATTAGGCGGCATTCACCTTGGCTTAATGCTTTTCACAATCCCTCTATATATCTATGGTAAACGAGCGCGTATGTGGACCGTTCGAAAACGTTTGATGGAGAAGTTTTAGACCAGATGCCGTTCTTTATTTAAGCGTTGCGTTGTTGATATTTCTTCCTGGTTGGTTTATGTGTTTACGTTCTTATTATGGCCCTTAAGATGATACCTTCTTCGTTCCAAGCTTGCTTGATGTTTTTGAAGTTATATATCCGAAGATTTCATGATCCTTCTTTGCCGTTTATGAATATATGTTGATGATTCATTTCTGTTAGTTAGGCGTTGAATTGGCGATTCATATTTCATGTATCAGAATGTCTACTACATAGTTCCTGAAGCCTAAAATAAGACGAGTATAGCATCCGTGAACTTATAAAACTTATTAACGTTAAAGACTGAAAGAATAATTGTAAATACCGAAATCCCCGCCTGATGGCTGCTGCTACCTACTCGAAGGTATGTATCTATAGATTATTCGCTTTTCTAACTAATATTTCTCAATCAACCAGTTACGCTGCATGGTATCACTCATACTACTGAGCAACCTCTGCTCCCCCATCCGAACACCAATATGCCGTTTAATAAAGGTTCTGCCTAACAAATCTTGGAGTGCTGAATCTGCCTTCAAGGCCTCAATACTCTCTTCGATTGATCTGGGAAGGGCCGTAGTTATCCCTAGTTCCGTACGCTCTGCATCGCTCAAGTCTGCAGGGTCAACTGTATACAAGCAATATTAGCCACGCGTGTCCGTTATCATGAAATAATGAGTAATCATTTTGTGAACGTACCATTGCATGCTTTCATTTCTAACTTTAACCCCTTTTTCATACCCAGATATCCTGCGCCAATCACCGCGGCCATAGCCAGATACGGATTCGACATACCATCCATGGATTTGATTTCCCAATGTCCCTCGCTAATTTTGCGAATGGGTGTTTCTCGATTCTGATCTCCCCACGCAACCCAGATTCCACCAGCCCATATACCAGGCAAAACACGCTCATAGCATGCCTTTTGAGGGAATGTAAATGCCAAAACGGATGCAAAGTGTTTTAGCATCCCAGCAAGGAAGCTATCTTCGCGTGTAGGTGGCGTGACTGATATATGGACGTGAGATGCAGTCCCAGCATGAGTGGGGCTGGGCCTAGGGTATAGAGTTGCTCGAACACCGTATCTTTCGGCAACGGTGACAATGACCTGTCGAGCTCTGATGAGTAAATCGACAGAGGCCAGAGGCCGAGCCGGAGGAAGCACAAATTCGAATTGTCCTGGAGATGACTCGGCGTGGAACTGCTCAATTTCAATACCTAGGGATAGTAGCTCTGAAGCTATTTCTTCCACAAGGGGCAGTGCTGTCCTTGTATCCGACGTCATGTTTGACCATGAATGATTGAGAACCCATGGGGTGAAATAGTCTTCTGCTTCAAGATAGTTGTAGCCATGGTCTCGCTCCGCACCGGATGTTTTCATGAATACCACCTCGACTTCAAATCCTAGGAGCAGAGAAACTCCAAATTCGGATTTGCACTTGTCGACCATATTCTGTACCATAGTTCGCGGGCAGCCTTCCAAGGGTTTGCCCTCTGAAGTTTTCCAAAATGTCATTATCGTTGCGCTATTAGGAGGGCCAGACCTTTTAAAGTTAGGGGATAGAGTGGTGACATCGGGCCTTAAGAGGAACTGGCCAGCAGTCAAAGCACCGGGTTCACCTAACGTATCATTCTGGAGTAAATTCATAAGAGCCGTAGTGATTCCGATAGACTTTCCCTGTAGGATACGGTGGAATTGGCAAGCGGGGAGCATACGAACGCGAACGGTGGCCGTGTAATCAACGAATTGGAGCCAGTAGAAGTCAATGTTAGCGTAGAGAGAAGTAAATCTTTGGGCTGTTTGGAGAGCAGTTTCTGATGATTCCCGGGGGAATAGCTCGGGGAACGGCGTCTCCTCAGTCCGCTGAAGATTTGAAATGGTCTCGAAACTTACCCTCTGTTCAAGGCCGTATAGCTCGTTAGAGTTATTGAACAGGATATCCTTAACTGAGTCTGCCGCGTGCTCAATGGTAAAGTCTCCTTTGTATACGTACTCAGTGAATACCTAGAATTACCCTTGAGTGATCTCGTTTCGTTTGAAAAAGGGGAGTTAGAGGGCCATACCGATTCTAACGCTTGTCTAAACTGAAGGTTAGACAGCCAGAAGGTCTCAGGGTGAAAGTGACCATCAGTGCTCCAGAGAAGTTTAGACGTAGGCACTAATTCCAAGGCCTGACGGATGACTGATATCTGACCATCCCGGCTGATCATTGGGAATACTTCTCCGAGGTCCAAGTAGACGTTTTTAAAGGTACTGGCCAGGTATCCTGCTTGCCGTGTAAACGGGTACGACGAGTGAAGTAGAACAAACTTAATGGTGTCGTATTCCTCAATCACAGGCTGTAGAAGAGCAGGATCAGAGAGGCTCAGTTCTATGTCTGAATCACCCAGGCCTGTATGGAACTGGACCGGCTTCGTCCTCCCTGAGGTGATTTGATATTGCCGGATTATATTAAAGACAGACAGTATCAAATAGTCGTTCAATGGTTTGCTATCGATACGGCTATTCCCATCTGTCGACATTGACTGGAAATAAGCATTAAAACTCCGTAGGACATCTTCGGTTGCTGGCTTCTTGACAGCTAGGCCAGACCGGTAGCAGATAATGGACTTGAACCCAGCAACATCCAAGTCCTCTAGATATGCCCTGATTCGACTCCTAAAGGCCACCTCAAAGATGCTTAGGAGCTGTGTAGCAGAATATTTCCCCATAATAAGGCCATCTTCATCTCCAGTTCCGGGTGTGGTATCGACAGGGAACTCGTTCCCTGTGGCCTTTTGCAACAGTATCTTCAGGATCGAGGCAGCCAGAGTTTCGATACGGACGATCCTCCTCGTGGCTCCAGGAGTGAACCGGTCATGCCATTCGTACGGCTCTGAGTAGGTAAGGTCCAAACCGTCGTCCAGGAGAAGCATATGTGTCCCATGGAGACATTTCTTCACCAGCTTTCCATAGTCGTCTTCAATCGCCTCTTCTCTGGCAGCTTTGATGGCATTCCACTCTGCAGGACAGCCGTACAAGCTCGCCAACTGGCTGAGGGCTCTGATATGCGGAAGAGACTTGCAGCCATCCTGGAGGAGAGCGTCGCCCTGGGCCTCGGATACGACGCTCTCGAGGGGGTATTTGCTGTAGTCTGCCGCATATTCAGCGCTCAAGATGTTGTGTGCATGGTTGTCGATGAGCGGATGAGTCTGGATAAGCCGCCGAAGGGCCTGAATGTCTGCCATCCCGGCCTCCTTTGAATTATACAAGCCTGGTTGGTGGCTTTTTGGGACGTTCCGTGGTTGAAGCTGAGGGTTTGGCTGCTTTTTGGCGGTGGAAGAACAAAAAAGCGACTTCAAGCCTCCAAACGTCGAACCAACAACGCGGATGAATATTATACAAAGTCACTCTGTA